ATCATGAGGGTGGTCATGAAGTTGCTACAATTATAGTTTGATGAGAAAATTTGTCGTGAACTCAGAACTATCACATCCCACATACACTTTATGATGTAGAGATGAAAATTTCGCGACATACATGATCAACTGATCTAATGAGAAGCTTTCTCGCAAATTAAAGCAAAAGTTCAAAAACGTCGGTATGAATTATCAAGACAAAATCTGAAAGATTTCTTTAGTGTCACCAAAAGAAGCGGATATTTATGCATACATAAAAGACATGCTATTGCTGAAATGTCTCCTCCTGTGCACTGAAAGCGATCAAATCAAATTCGATAGCAGGATTGGAGTTAGGAGGAAGTGTACAGTACTAACGTAGACCAGAAGTTCTCGTTAGTCAGATCGAAATGATCTAACCACGGAACGGCAATTTAGCTAGTTTAAACGCTGACATCATCATCGGTGTACCCAGTCACTGACTGACGTGACTGGTTTTTAACTACTTATGTGAATCACTAGTACATGTTGTCTAGCAGCTTAACTTGAATATTATGCTGTCAATTTTTATATGAATAAGATCCCATACTTCTTTACTTTTCACCTGTGAGGACGTACTTTACCAATAACGACTTAGACTCATCAAAGCGTGATTAATGAAGATAACTTTGTCATAAATAGAAAGTAGGGCGCTGAGATCTGTCTATTCTAGGTAGGTTGACAGTAGCGTCGGTAGTTGAGTGGCAGATTATTCACCAGGTGCGTGTTTGATATGCGACTGTCGCATAACTAATCGTCATTTAGTTTACTGAGCGGTCGTAAACGCAGGAAAGAGGGTAGTTTGAGCCTGAGGCTAACAATCTCAAGGGGTGAAAACAACACCATCTTTAATACATGTGTAAAATTTGGGCACTGTGGTAGTAAGTAATTCCGTATTAGTTTGTTTATTAGATGTATCACAGTATTATTTACTAGATGACATTTCGAACAAAATTTATTGTTCATAATCGTGTAATCAATTATAATCACACGACTTTGAACCTTGAGTTTTTAAACCCAGAGACTCCCATCTTTGGTTTACTTGACTGAAACATTATTTCACTGCCAATAAGCTCCCTTCGCAGGATTCCAAATTTGGCATTTTGAGTACTGTACTACCGGACGAAATCGGCGAGCACTGAATCTCCCCACGATAAATAGAAAGAGGAGGTACTACGATGCACATAACTCTCCGATAGGCAAACACCAGACTACTTGATGTTGAGCGGGTAAAACACCGTTCCAGCTCATGAGATCCATACAAAGCCTCGTGGCAGGTAGGGAAATTGATGAACAAATCCTTTATCAAATCTGGCTACAACGACTGCCTGTTAACATTCAACAAGTTCTCGCCTCTGGAGATGACGACATTAACAACATAGATAAACTCTCTGAACGCATGTTTGAAGGTTCAGCACCCCAAAACCATCGATTTCACCAACCAAATACCGGTAACTCAGCACCATATAAAGGCTTCAGAACATTAAGTTGATTCCTTAGTGTGCTGGTTAGCAAAATTCAGTACATGCACACGATCCACCTGTTCCAGAAGTTCATCTCATTGACGTCGTTCCAGTTCACCTAGAATGTCCAGAGATTGTGATAGTATTTATTGGTACCACCGTAATCATCGAAGTCGTGTGATTATAATTGATGAAATGATTATAAACAATAAATTTTGTTCGAAATGTCATCCAGTGAATAATACTGTTTCATGACTGTGTGATACATCTAATAAACAAACTAATATGAAAGGCCATGTTTACTGAGACTTGAAAGAAGCCTGAAGCCTTATAATTTACTCGTTAGAGTTAGTCGACATTTGTGGCTCTTCAATGACATATGGTTGATATTGGAACGTTTATCAATAAAAAAACAACTCACAAATGGGATCACCACAGTCTGAATGCTGACGAATAAATAATACTTTTGGTTTTGAATGTGGCTCCTCAGTGGGCTCAGTTTCTAAAGCAATTCTGACTTCGTTTCATGCTTATCCTGAACTAATAAACTTCCTTAATGAAATCAATGAGGCGGTATTTGCTAATCATTGCGCTACTTAATGTTTCATCTATCCAAATGCATCATGGATGTTTTGATCATTCAGTTACGCCAGAGAATCGTAATTTGTAGTCACTCTCATTTCATGAATAGTTTTCAACCTACTGAGATGAATTTATCGAAAGAAAGGAAGGCGAAACACTGCAGCATGCTTCAGACAGAACAGTATCTGGTGATGGCATGCTTAAATCATTAGACTAGCAAATTATTTTTCCAATTCACCCATCAAAGTGCATCAGATTTACTGCATTTCATATTAATTTAACCATCCAACTACATGCATGAATCGTGCCTACCCTCGTGTAAATCCTCAGGAAAATTTTAATCCCTACTGAGAGGAATTGTTTGAAGGAAACGCAGGAGAAAACTTCGCGGAGTAATGGAGTATGCTTTGGATGGGATAATATTGCTTCAAGTAATGCATTATCGATTATTATTATTATATTACTTGAAGATCATGCATAAGAAATAAGTATCTAGTGATAAAACTTCATCGATTTCGAAAAAGCCTTCGACAGTGTAGCGTTGACCGTGAAGGAATTTGGAAACTAATTCAACATTATGGTGTGCAGAGCCTAAGTCTTTATCAACCTCATTCAACAGCTGGCTATATGACAATGGCACGTGCCAAGTGGTCCAGAACGGAGTGAATACAAGAATATGACAAGGCTGCCTACTGTTACCGATGATATACCTAATTGTGATAGCCTGAGTTATGCGGAACACCATGCTTGCTTAGGGAGCAAGAAGACAGGAATACCTTCGACCGATAAGAAGACTTTAGAAGATCTGGACTTTGTGAACAATTTATGCCTAATGTCACATAAACTCGAAGACTTATAGGCGAAAATCAACGAGTTGACAGAAGAAGCAACAAAGACAGAACTTCAAGTGAACATAGAGAAGACGGAGGTGATGAAGATAGCCAGCCTACCAACCAACCAACCAACCAACCAATCAACAACAAGCACCAATAGCTATCAACATAATAAATTTGAAAGAAGTCATCGTTTGGATATGATAGAGAAGATTTGTAGCTCAGGTGGATGATTTTGATGTGGTTGTGTTCTCTGACCTGGATAGTTAATTTGCGAAGCTTTCATCACCCTACTGGGTGACATCTTCAGCGCATACTTCAATTTGAAGTGAGCTTTTAGATTTCTCCACGAGTTTATTAATCATCTCTCCTGGCGACCTTGGACGTGATTGGTTGTTCTTGTGTGTTTTCACACCTTCTAGGTTACTTGTATTGTCACTCATTGTTTCTTTGACTTGAACTTTGATACAAGTGCGAAAAACACTACATTGGCCAAAGTGGACGTCCCCTTCGTCTTCGTATCCACGAGCATAAGCTAGCTGTCAAAAGACATGATATCCACTCCCTCATATCACTACATACAGACAACCACGGACATCAATTCGACTGGGACAACGTTCAAATATTAGACAGAGGAAACAACAAGAACGCTGGAGAACTTTTAGGGGGCTGCCTGGCATTCCAGTGAATCATCAATCAATAGACACATCGAAATAGACAAAATTTATCAACCGATAAGAAAGAAACCTCACACACAAAGGGTCAAAGTTCAAGTCAAAGAAACAATGAGTGACAATACAAGTAACCTAGAAGGTGTGAAAACACACAAGAACAACCAATCACGTCCAAGGTCGCCAGGAGAGATGATTAATAAACTCGTGGAGAAATCTAAAAGCTCACTTCAAATTGAAGTATGCGCTGAAGATGTCACCCAGTAGGGTGATGAAAGCTTCGCAAATTAACTATCCAGGTCAGAGAACACAACCACATCGAAGTCATCGTTTCAACTACAGGCGATGTCAAAACCAGAATCGGAAAGTAAGGCAGACCTCTGTTATTCTGAAATAAGTCTAGAAATCTCCCGCACTCAACAAAATTTGGATTTTCAGCACCAGTGTTAAGTCAGTTCTTTTATACGCATCAAAAATTTGGCGCCCGCATTTCCAAAAGCCTGTTTCAGACTTTTATCAACAGATGTCATCTCTGAATCCATACTAATGATCAGATGGCCAGCCGGAAAGAATTAGCAACAAGAAACTTTGGGAATGAACCAACCGAGAGCATATTGTTCAACAAATATTCAGAAGAGAGTGAAGATGGATCGGACACACACTTTGTGGGGCACTGTCGAATGGCCATCGGTTGAGTAGGACACAAATGGGAAATGACGAGTTGGGCGCGGATCCGAGAGTGACATGGAGGCGATCATGTAAGGAGATGAAAAATTGTTGGCAATCGTAGGGTCAGATAAAGAGGACCGCAGAGAATAAGACAAAGTGGAGATGTAATGTTGAAGCTATATGTTCCACTGGGAACCCATTATGACAACAGTAAAGAGTAAAACAAGCTGAGAATTCTCCACTGTATGTATGTGTGTATGCGTGTATGTATGTGCTGCTCGCACCAGCAAGTACAAAAACTCAACCATACCCTACTTAGCTCGTGTTCTGTGTGATAAAGAAAGCATTAGGCGTGACACCTATAATTCATTAAATAGTCAGTAGTACAACTGGATCTCGTCTTTCCAACTCACATCATCAATAGGTACAACATTTTCTTTCTTTCTTTTTCCTTTTCTCTCTTTTTTCCGTTATGTGCTGCTTTGTTTCTTTCTTCCGCTTACGCCAGTAAATATGACAGCACCTACTTTTCTAACACCTTCAAACACTGTTCAACTTCGGCTTTGCTACCGACATGCCAATGTGTTGTTGTCATAATGAACTGAGATTTCCTTAATCTATGTAGAATTCTATTTATTGATAATGTACTGCCTGGATACAATACTGTAGTAAAAATGCTGAGAATTCCATTCTGTATCACAAGTACTGTTTTGGAATAAAGCAAATTATTATTATTATTATAAAAAAAAGACGCAAAGTGTGAACAGGATGGATTTATTACACAGATGGGAATAATGTTACATAATCTTATTTTATTCAAAATAGAAAATAACAAGTGAAACTCTTCATGAAAATTTTAATATTTACACAGTAAAACTTTCCTCTTTATAAAACGGTTATCATTATTATTATTATGATGATTTTTGTTACAATCGTTACAAAAGTTTTCAATAATCTGTATACTGTTTAAATGATTTTAATTCATTCAAATAATTTACAGCTTGATTATATTCTAGTGTAGCATAATACCATTGAGTATAATAATACTGTGCATACTCTAATAACTGATGATATTCATACCATGCAGAGATTTGTCTTGACGTCCAATGATATTCTTCTACATCACTGGGATTTGAATTATTCTTAGAATGTGATGAAGTTTTCTTTGATTTGTTAGTCTTTCGCTTCACTATCACTTCTTCCTCTGTCTCCGTCTCCGCCTCCTCCTCGTCTTCCTCTTCATGATCTTCGTCAACATCATCGTTATCATCATCATGATTCGGATGTTTGTCAACTTTATTTCTATTTACAGGACAAGAATTGTTATTGATCATATCATCTTTATGATAATTACCAATCAGGCTTAAAAGATTACTTTCACTTTCATTATTATTAATATCATTATATGGAGATTTATTGTCTCGGATGGGTGAATTCTTTGCAGATCCACGACCGCCACAATACTAATTTAAAAGAAAATATAAATAAAACAAACATTAGTCAGTTAATTATGCATCAATATTGATTTATAATGTTCTCCAATTGTTTTGGATTAATTTAAAAATAAATCCTTATTCAGGCAATAATTGGAAAGAAGAAGAAGCAACAAGCAGTTCAGTGAAATTACACTTTTTTGCGCAAATTCATTTTCTTCAGCTGAGTTATTAGAATCACAGTTGTTGAATACGAATCAATGCATAAGTGAACTTGATTAAGGCTATTGGAGTTACATAATAAAATATATAATTTAAACAGTTGTCTGAGACGGTGGCACAGAGGTAGAGTGCTCGCCAACCACACACGTGATCCGGGGTACGATCCCCACTCAAATATCGATTAGCTGGTAATATGCCTGGCAAGGAGGGAAGGTTGGGCGTAGGATAAGCAACCCCACCTAGTAAAAATAAACACCACTGCTACCGAAACTTCAAAGCCCTGACTTGAAGCCCTATGTTCCACTGGGAACGCAAAGGATAAAGTAGAAACAGTTAAAATCAGGAAATTTAATTAAATTCCTTGCCACTTGTATACAACGCTTCTGTAGATCTGATGCTTTGGAAGAAGAATTCGACTTTCTGTAAGAAATTTCAATGTACAAAATGGATGCCTACGGCGATTCATTGTTAAGAACATCAAACCAAAAGTACAGAGAAACGAAGCATTACTTTTATCCAAAAAGGAAACTTTACATGAACGTTGATTGCGAAGGAGATTCATCGTTTTCGAGAACATTCTTTGCAGAAATACTAACAGTAGCGTCCTCTAGTCGTCCACTGGTTTTCAGAAACCTGAAAGACAAGATCTTGCACGTGACTACTTTTATGTGCTCCTGTGGTGTCAGATATATACCACAGGAACTCTATAAGAAATGCGATCATTGAATGCCTTGTCTAAGCTGATCATTCTATCTCAACAAACTCCTTCAAAGTAATAAACAAAGTGTAGAATAACCTGCCGAAAATAGTAAGCATCAATGAAACTCTAACCATTCCGATAGGAGAACTGGGACTCTTGTATATAAAAGACAACTTCATAAAAATTTCTACTGCCATGGGGTGACAACCGTGTTTTTTGTTTGTCCATTTTTTTTATAGCTCTTTATAACTCTTGTATTACTTTCGAACTCTTCTTACGTAATATCACACTTCCCTTCGTTTCTCTATGTTAATTGCGATTACAACTCATTCATTAAATTAACTATCTCACCGCATAACTCTAATACCCTTTATTCAATTGCATATATATATTGATTAATATTAACAGCTATGATTATGACAACTCATCACTTGTGTTACTATTGTACATAAATGAAATTGAATAGCTAGAGAAAATGAATTCACTGAAAAAAAAGCCTTTTCACTAAACTAATCACCTGTTTTCACTATTTTCATTTTGTCTAAACCTTACAAGGTTATCATTATCCATGTTCTGGTGTCATGTTTTCATTTTCTTAAGTTATTGTTACTTAGTTGGTATATACGTATATATTCAGGATTTGGAAATACCATTTTGAAAGTTAGATGAAACCAACGAAACTATTCATTGTTGCAAAAAATTGAGAATTTCACCTTGTTTCATTTTATCGAATCAAAATGATTCACCTCTGGATTCTGAGAGTGAATACCACCCTGATGTTATTTTCATATACGGAGCCTAAGAGTGGAAACTAGACAAGAGGTTCTATCCTATTTGAGTCGTGCATTGAGAATGTAATCAAATACAACCATCCCTCTGAGGGGGTCCAAAACTGGACGGAACGCATGTTCTGCGCTATTTCTTGTTTTCAAAATAATCCTGTTTAGTTAGCTGATTCTGTTTTACATTTGCTTTATGTACATCTGCACAATAGAAGTTCAAAATGTTAACCAAGATTGAAGTATCAATTTATTACATCATTTATTTTAGTTTTATCTAACTATACTACTCATTAGTAAACGATATTTATGTGTGCATATTTTCATCACCTGAAAATCAACTAAAGTAACTACGATATTATTGGTCAGTCAGATAATAAGTGGACATTCTCCTACAAAAGTGGTATCGAAACCCCAACATGTTAGAAGTCGGCTTATCCCCAGTTCTAGAGGATCATTAATTCTCTCATTAGTGAAACATGCCTATTGAAAGATATGAAAAGGTTACCTGTCCTTGACCACAGACATTTGTGTTCTATTTCCCGTGTAGAATATTGTGACTGGTATTGAGCTTAGGCATAGAGTGCTAAGTAAGGGAGGGAAGTCAATCGATGAGGTTGTGAAGCCAGATTGAGCATACCATGCCACCTCCATGCTCGTCGATAAATGTTAACTAACCATAAGATTGGATCGTAAATGAGTTAGAGGTGGTTAAACCAAAAACTGGCATCAGTCCATGAAGTCGTTAAAATGTGGTTCAAGCCCAACATATAAAGAGGTGTAGATTGCCTTGTTAGAGGCCTCAAGACACCATGAACCAATGGCTTGAGACTGTTAGTGATATGGATGAAAACCGTCCTCAATGGCGCGGATGCATTCACTCTTAGTATTCTCGTAGATCCATCTAGTCCTCATATTTTTCCAAGTTAATATTCTTTCTTGAGCCTCAAATTTCTGCTTATTACAGTTCACTTGAATTTGATTTTTTTTTCTCCTGTCTTTTCTCTACTTCTGTGTGCTACATGGAGTGTGGGGTAACTTGAAGCGGTGCACTTCTGTGCAAAGTTCTATGATGAAACTCACCCACTCAGTCAGTTAGAATCTAACAAATCCCATCCAACTGTATGTATACTTACATAACCTTGAATTTCGCCTAAACAGTGGAAACATCTCCCGTGTGAAGTGGTATAACAAGGTGAGCAATATTGAGGTTAGGCATCGTTCGAGTGCTAGGTAAGGTGGGGAAATCAATCGACGAGGCTGTGAAGTTACATCGACTGAGATGGTTAGGACATGTGTTACGTATGCCTAGTCATCGCCTTCCTCGACAATGGGCAATGTTAGCTGATATAGGGTCAGGCTGGAAAAGAGCTAGTGGCGGTCAAACAAAGACATGGCTTCATCAGTCAATGAAATCTACAACAGTTAGTCTAGGCCACGTAGGAAGATGTAGACTGGCTTCCTGGTTGGGGTCCTCGGGACGGTAAAAACCAATGGTTGGAAACAATTGGTGAAATGGCTCAAACTCATCGTTCTCAATGGCTGGTGCAGATGCATCCACTCCTTGTGACTTATAATTTCCAATGGAACTATGTTGTCCTTCGTTATTACTACTCTTTTTTCTCATGTCCCTGTTTACTGTCTATATTATGCATTTCTTCTACTTTCTTCTCTTGCTTTGTGTGCTACATGGAGTGTGGCGACTTGAACTGCTGCACATCGGTGCAAAGTTCTATGTCGAAAACAGACAGACAGAAACAGTGGAAACATTTCTTTTAAACTTGAGAATGTCAATTTTAAGAGTTATTCAAGAAACAAAAAAAGAAAGACATAGCGGTAAATGTTCCAACTTGATATGGAATGCGTGAAAATATTTAAAAAAACACCCAATTATAGAAGGAACAATTAATGAAACTAACTAACTAACTAAATAACTGACAAGAGTGAATGCGTTTAATAGTGATATTATAAGATATATGACTAAGGAATATATACAGTCAGAATTTGGATACAATGACCGGAAACTGAAGATTATACACACTTAATATATTTTGATTGGACACTAGTAACTAGTGTGACGTGTCTAGTCCTTTCAGTGCAGTCAGGTTTATAATGTGGACACCATGCCACTAGGTAGCTCGCCATCACGGTGCACATTGATTTGATGATATTAGATGGTTGGAGGGAATCGTCAGGAAGCCCAGCCTTGGACCTATGTTTCGTGCTAGTTGGCACTCCCAGTCCGCAAGGCGTATCTGCAACCAACTTGAAGGAACTCATGTCCCACACCTCTGAGACTCCAACCCGCGTCACCTAGTGCTGCAGTCAGAGATGTTACCACTGAGCAGCTATTCGGGCTCGAGATTGACTTCCTGTAGGACTGTAGTGGGTGCCAACTAGCACGAGACCTAGGTTCACGACTGGGCTTCCTACCGATTGCCTCCAACTATCTAATATCATCAAACACTTAATATATCCCTGTACAAGTCGGACACAAATTTCCTGGTCATCATACATCGCTGGAAGTCTTACTTAACTATTGATATTACACTTGAGTAAAGTAAAAAGAAAAAAAGGAAAATACCAAGGCCCAATAAACAAAAAGTGTATACCAAACAACATACCTCAGATTTTAAAAGATTTGCATACTTTGATAGCTGTATGAATAGATCATTTGAAGGGGATGATGACTTTGACTTTCCTTTCGTCTTATCTATTGTTTTACGAGTTGTTGTTGTTCTTGTTTTTGCTCCTTTCGTCTTCACTCCATCATCTTCAACCTCGTCTTCTTGTCGTTTAAACACTTCAGCTGACTTCTTTCCTATAGGATTCTTTAATTTTTGTTTTGTTAATTCTTTAGCCAATGGACGCGGTTGAATATTACTCATTTTCTTTGTTACTGTCACTAGACTGTCAATGTCAACAGAACACTTTCGTGTGGCTAAATTTACTGGGATAGGATCTGTTGAAATGAAATCAAAAAAAAAAGAAAAGAAAAGGTGAGGGATAATTTGAACAACAAAATTTATTAAAATCCATTTTTTTGCAAAGGAAAAGTATCAAGTTATATTTACTTTTCTCTCTCTCTCTCTCCTTCTCCCTCGACATTATCCTGTCTGATAATGACGATAACTAATACGATGTAATGCACAGCATAGAATAATACTTCCGCGGCTGGATAAGTTCTTCAGTGAAGTAACGCCTGTCAATCAAATCTTCAGTCTGCAAATGAATTTGCGATTTGCACAATTCATTCAAGCAGGTGAAATTTAACCAAAGTTTCTATTTGCAAATCGAAATTATTGAGATCACAATTATTTGATCTCCTTGATACCATGAATGGGGTAATCAAGAAAGTGAGGATATATTTCCATAAAACTATATTACTACCGACTGATTGAGATGATTGGTTGTATTACAGCTGAAATCAACCAGTCGTGCCTACTGCTAGACAGATCGAAGTGACCGAAACACTGGATGGCAGTTCCGCTCATTTAGGACCAAATCGATAAGTGGTGTACCCAGTTTAATTCAACTTAGACACGTCCGAATCAGTTCAGCCCACCCGAAGTAGTTTGTTAGTCACAGAAAAGAACTGTGTATAAATATATTTTTTTTATTCCTTTACATTTTTAGAAACATTCCTCTTCTGGCTAAGATAATTTATTATACACATATATGCAAGTGTATGTGCGTCGGTAGTTCAGCCGTAGAGTGCTGGCCGACCATGCACGTGGTCCGGGGTCCGAGTCCCAACCAAGAAAGAGGGGAGGTTGGGCAACCCTCACCCCGTATAAATAAAACGCCACTGCTACTGAAATTTCAAAGAGAAAGCTTCCAGCCTTATGTTCCACTCGGAACGCGACTGTATAGTTTGAGGATAATGATATTACTGAAAAGAATAACTCTTCATTGAACGCCCCAATCTTTTATATGACTGAATTAATTAATGTGAGTGTGAGTGAATTATTATTATTGTTCCCTTGGGTTCCTAGTGGAACATAGGGCTTCAACTGCACGTCTCCAATTGCTTCTGTCTTTTGCTGTACTTTTCACTTGCATCCACGTTAATCCATATTGTTTCAGTTCCTCTTCACACGATCTCCTCCATGTCACCCGTGGACGTCCCACTCAAGGGCCTGACGCGCGATGTCACCCGATGGCCTCCTAAGCGAGTGTCCAATCCATCTCCACTTTCTCCTGCATATTTGTTGAGCGATTGGTTCTTGTTTTGTTTGTTCCCATAGTTTCTTGTTGGTGATTCTTTCCGGCCATCTGATCTTCAGTATAGAACGAAGACAGTTGTTGATAAAGGTCTGCAACAGGCTGTTGGAAATATTCTTGGTGACCCACCAAGTTTCTGATCCGTATAGCAAAACTGACTTGACGTTTGTATTGAAAATCCGAATTTTGTTGTTGATGCTGAATGAGTGACGAAGATTTCCAGATTGGTTTCAGGTTGATGAATGTGTTTCTCGCCTTCCCGATTCTCGATTTGACATCCTCGTCCGTTCCTCCTGTAGTTGAGACAATGCTCCCTAGATAAGTGAATGAAGTAACCTCTTTCAAATCCCTCCAGTTGATGGTGATTGGCGCTGGATGTTGCTGCTGTTGTTGTTGTTATTGGTTGGTTATTTTCATAACCTCCGTCTTGTCTATGTTCACCTGGAGTCCTGTCTTCACTGCCTGCTTCTTCGACCAGTTTGTCGGTTTTCGCTTGTGAGTCTTCGATTTTGTGTGACATCAAACATAAATCATCCAAGGGCGAAATCCAGGTCTTCTAGGTTCTTCACGTCGGTCCAGGATATCCCTGTCTTCTCGTTTCCCACTATCTGACGCATAATCCAGTCCACCACAATTAGGAATATCATTGGTGATAATAAGCACCCTTGTCTGACTCCTGTGTTTACTCCAAACGCCTCGCTGAGTTTTCCGTTGTGGATCACTTGACATGTGCCGTTGTCGTACATCTGTTGAATAAGGTTGATGAATATTTGGGGTACGCCGTAGTACTCGAGTAGTTTCCAAATTACTTCGCGGTCAACGCTGTCGAAGGCCTTCTCAAAGTCTATGAAGTTGAGGTAGAGATTTGATTGCCATTCCATGCTTTGTTCGATGATGATGCGTAGAGTTGTAATTTGGTCAGAACATGATTTGCCTTTCCTGAATCCAGCTTGTTCTGGTCGGAGTTCTGTATCCAGTGCGTCCTTGATTCTCTCCAGGATGATGCGACTCAGGATTTTACTTGGCGTCGACAGGAGCATGATTCCTCGCCAGTTCTTGCAGAGTCCTAGGTCGCCCTTCTTTGGTAGTTTCACGAGGTCACCTTTCCTCCAGTCAGTAAGCACCTTTCCCTCTTTCCAGATGTTTTGCAATAATGGAGTCAGCATATCTGCCGTCGTTTCTGGGTCCGCTTTCAGTGCTTCCGGGGGTATTCCATCTGGTCCAGCTGCTTTTCCAGCTTTCAGAAGCTTGAATGCATTCAAGACTTCAGCTTTCGTTGGAGGATTGGTGTCAACTTGCAGTTGTTTACGTGCTGTTGTTGGTATTTCTGGACGAGTTGTAGGTGGTGGTCGGTTCAAGAGTCCTTTGAAGTGGTCCGCCCATTGTTTAATCTGTCTTTCTTCTTTGGTAATTGGGTGTGAGTGAATGCTGCGATCTAAATGCATAATTGGAGGATTAAAACAACAAGGAGTCAAGAATAGTTGATACACGGTACTAGATGGAAGTTTACGTAGCTCAAAGACTTAAGTACGCCGCCACCTTCATAATATTCATCATACATGGTATAGACGTGTAAAGCAATCTTCACGATTCAAGTTTAGATTATAAGTCAGTCTTCTTGGAAGAATTAAAAATCAATAGCTTGAGAAGTAAGAGCTGACGGAAGACTATACTTGAAGTAGCATATCTATTAAACATATATAGTCAGGAAGTAACTGAAACAGGATTACACCTTACAAATTAATTTTCATTACAGCTATTCTCATACGAAATCATTACAAACATACAGACACACGCACGCACACAAGCATGAACAAATAAACAAGCTTACCAGGTAATTCACGAATTTGTCTTGGGCACTTAGCTTGTATCCTTTTTAATAAATCACATTCATCGCCTACATCGGAGACAATAATGACTGAGGCGCCATAGCTGCCTGGAAACAAAGGATAATAATAATAAAAGTAAAATATCATAGTCATTTTGAGTAATGAACAGCATATATAACTCACAAAAACGAATTTCACTATATATATATATATATATATATATATATATATTCATGATTCCTTGACGGGAATGGGCTGTCTGAATAGTTTCATAAAGAAACATATAAAAACATTAGACAGAAAACCTGAGTTGATGACAGCACGGAAGAAACCACTATTTATTAAGTTACAAAATTTTTAATGGGAACTTGTCAAGTGAAATTTTATTTCCGACACTAACCGGAAGTGTATACGAAGAAGATTTCATGCAGTAAACCTATGCTTGTCATTTTCTTGTCGGCGAATGATTGAGACTGAAAAAAGAAGGATAAGCTAAACAGTTTTGCTACATCCATGCGTGTATTCATCAATTCAACTGCTCCTGAGGAGATAGTTATGTTGGTCGTACCACTGGACAGCTTAGCCAATGTGTTTACTGAACGCCTCCCATAGTGGTTTGGTGCAGGATAGACAAAAACTATCCGAAGTTATATTTTGTAAGATTTAGTTTGTTTGTGGTTATCTAGTGGAGAAAACGAAACCATTTTGAAGGTAATTCAGCATATCCTAACAAATCTTTTCAGTAGACTCCGTTTTCGTCTACTGCATATATAGCTGAGGTGATCGGCATTCGGATTATTAAGCCTAAACTGCGTATTTAGAAGTCCAGCCATTATCCCTTCCCTTGACTAATTAAGCTCAAGCCGACTGACGATGTAACCACCACCCCATATATAATTTTTAATCCCTTTTCTCCCAAGATTCTATTTGTAGGAATTTGATTTGTTTTCAAGTCTGACCACCGTTTGATACGAGTTAGAAAACCACTGAAAATCAGTACTGGACAGTTGTTTTATGCTAGTTTGGGACTCACTGTCAGTATGCACCCACCCACAGGATCTTCTGGTTGCACGGCAAGCTTGTTGCCTATTCGGCCACTTGGGCAATAAATCAGTGGCCCATAAATTGCAACTTCTACCAATTCGTGATTTTAACGCGATCACCAGTCAATATCATCGGCAAGTATTTGTCCTCACTTCCGACCGGGTGCACCCCACTGGTCACCACTTCTCACTAGAACTTCAGGCAATTTCGTTCTGTAGCCAGTAACTAGCGAGTATCAGCTTTATTCTAAAGAGTTTCTTTGTAGGCATTTCTTTCAAGTTCGATCACAGAGTACTGCCGATGAGTCCCAAACTAGGGCGAAACAACTGTCCAGTACTCTCTGTCTTTCAATGGTCCTCCAAGTGACATCAATCTGTGGTCAAACCTGAAAACACACCAAATCCCTACAAACCAACTGCTGATTAGTTTATATTTAATATTTTTGTTTTGATAACGCACGAAATGATGATGAGTAACGGATTCCACAAAAGAAAAATACTGACTGAGTTTTCACTATACAAAATTTGCACAGAAGTTGCACCAGTTCACCCTTCCACAATTGATGTTGCACACAAAAGTAGAGAAGGAAAAACAATTAAAAAAAGGACTTTAATGAGCACATATCTACGGGAGAATGAATGACAAAGTGAGCAAATATGAGGATTTAATGGATCTGTGTGATCACAAAGAGAGAGAGAGAGAGAGAGAGTGAATGCATCTGTACCAATGAGAACAATCTTGAGGTAAATATCACCAACAGTCGTAAGTCATTGTTTGTTAGCATCCTCACCAATCAGGTAATCAATCAACACCTTCCTATTCAGCTGGCCTAAAACCAACAATCAAAAACATCGTGGATTGTTACCACGTCTGGATGTAACCACCACCCGTAAACTCATTTCCAACCTAATCCTAGGTCAGAATATATTACTCGGTGTAGCTTAACAACCGGATCGATTGACTTGCCCTCCTCCTTACCTAATAACACACCTTAACCTCAATATCATTCACCATACTAAATTGCTTAAAGTAGGGGGATAAAACGCAAACATGTATGGTCAAAGATAGCTATCCCCTTCAGGTCTTTCACTTTCAATGGGTATATTTCACAGCCATAGAGAAGGATAGAGCGAAGTGACGCCCACATTAGCCAGATATAACGTCTACATTAGAGATGATGTTAGATGTTGTCAAATGCCACGTATATCTGTGTATCAGTGTAAAATCCTACAGAATAACAATAAATCGGTTTTAAACTGTTGCATCAATGAAACAATACAGAAGGAGAAAATGAAAAAAAAACAAGACATTACAACAGATAAATATAAATGTAAGGCTAATGAGAAAAATTCCAGCAGTTCGCTCTGCTCTTCTCCTTTATGGCTGCGAGTAAGACATGACCATTGAAAGTGGAAGATACGAAAAGGTTACCTGTCTTTGATCATAGGTGTCTGCGTTCTATAGTAATAATAATAATAATAATAAGGTGAGCAATATTGAGGCGAGGCGTCGGTCGAGTGCTAGGTAGGGAAGAAGAGGAAGTCAATACACGAGGCTATGACCTTACACCGGTTGAGATAGCCAGGAGATGTGTTACGTATGTCTAGACATCGCCTTCCTCAACGGGCAATGCTAGCTGACATAGGATTGATCAGGTTGGAGAAGAGCTCGTGGTGCTCAAACAAAAACATGGCTTCATCAGTCAATGAAATCCACAACAGTTAGTCCAAGTCAGCCAGTCACGTAGGGAGGTGTAGACTGGCTTCTTGGTTGGGGTCCTAGGGATGGTAAGAACCAGTGGATGGAGACAATAGGTGATATGGCTCAAAATCTCTATCAATGGCGCAGATAAATCCACTCTTTGTGATTTATACTATCCAATAGAATTCTATTGTTATTATACATTAATATTCTTTTTTCGATAGAGAAAGAAAGACCAGATCTGCAGTATAAAATGTAACCATCATTCTATTTCACAGGTTCCCTTCATCAGCTAACTGCAAACTACCTGAAATTACAATGGTTATAAATAATAATAACATTTCATACTTCAATGTTTGAAAGGTAATAGAGAAAACATTATAAGATGAACGCATCCGGAATATAAGCAGCATTACAATTTTTAGTTTAAGTTACCATCAATTTATATACTATCAAAGTATGGAAAAAAAGGAGGGTGAAGGAAGACAGAAAACTCTAATAAACAATGTTAGCTTGCACGTCAACATGGCAACTGAAGAAGGTTAAAGTTCATCAAATTGAAAACTTGCTTAGTGATCTGAGCTCACTAGTGTGTATGACTAATCAGTGTAATGCAAGTAATACGGTTACCAAGGGAGTGAGAGATTGACTACACTCTCTTTCTGTGTGCATAAGTTTGGTCTGAAACGTTTGATTGCAATTGCTTCAGCGAATCGTAGTAGATTTGCTATCCTTTGTATGTTTAATAGTTTCAAGGATTTGGAAATCTCGACAAAATGAGTTGTCATACTCTGATAGTATATAAATTGATGGTAACTTAAACTAAAGCGAATTGTAATACTTATATTCCGGATGCGTTCACCTTATAGTGTTTTCACTATTACCTTTCAAACATTGAAGCATGGAATGTTATTATTCATAAACATCGTAATTTCAGGTAGTTTGCAGTTAGCTGATGAGGGGAACCTGTAAATAGAATGATGGTATCATTTTATACTGCAGATCTGGTCTTTCTTTCTCTATTCTTTTTTCCCTACACTTCTGTTCATTATCTCTCTTTACTCTCTTCTCTCGCTTTGTGTGCTGCATGGAGTGTAGCAACTCGAACTGCTCTGCACACCTGTGCAAATTTCTACGTTGAAACCAGTCAGTCAGTCAGTCAGTCAGTCAGTCAGTCAGTCAGTCAGTCAGTCAGTCAGTCAGTCAGTCAGTCAGTCAGTCAGTCAGTCAGTCAGTCAGTCAGTCAGTCAGTCAGTCAGTCAGTCAGTCAGTCAGTCAGTCAGTCAGTCAGTCAGTCAGTCAGTCAGTCAGTCAGTCAGTCAGTCAGTCAGTCAGTCAGTCAGTCAGTCAGTCAGTCAGTCAGTCAGTCAGTCAGTCAGTCAGTCAGTCAGTCAGTCAGTCAGTCAGTCAGTCAGTCAGTCAGTCAGTCAGTCAGTAATGAGAACGATTCAGTAGTTAGTATTTGGAGTTAAACAATGAGATCGAAAAAGTGCAAATAACGCTGAATTTAACATAATATTGATTCTAAACCACATAGAAACAGAATTCAATGAATAAAGATAATGTAAGCCAACAAAAAAATAACATAATAAAAGAATATTCAAAATATTGAAAAATAACACATACCAAATCTACCAGCACGTCCTACTCGATGTACATAAGTTTCATGATCCCAGGGTACTTCTAAACTTATCACAAGATTAACATTTTGAGCATCGATACCACGTGCTGTCTAGAAGTTTGATAAACAATAATAAGATAACATTTAGAAAAAGAAATTGAGCAAATAATATCCTTTTCGATAATTTCTTCTTCTGACTCTACAATTATGTATAAGTTTATATACATAGAATATTCTAGAATAATCGTCATTGACAATATTGATGTTTTTTAAATAATATCGATTTGTTAAGATCAATGAGATTACAGTTCAAGAAAGACACTTAAGTTATAATAAGCATAAAAATGTAATAGCAAATAGAATATCAAATAAAATTAGGGAAATTTCCACAACAAATTAAAGATCATTAAAACCTTAGTGGCCACGGTAAGGACAGTGTCTGAACCAACTTCTTTTGGATACATAAGTTAGGTTCGGATATTCGATGAGAAACACGCCTAATTGTATGGTCTATGTAACTGGCTCCACAGGAACAGTCAAATTAGCAGATATACATAGAAGAGGCGAAATCAGGCAGTTTGTCTTTTACTCCCGAACGCTAAATATGGTTGGTTTTGAAGACACAACATAATTCAGCAGAACTGAATGTTCTTTTTACCACATTCCTTAGGCGTTGTGTTAATATCTCACTGAGGAACTGAAGTTGTAAGAATAAGGCCTTCTTCGGAACTGTTGGTACCTTGGTCTGTCTTCATTTTTGATTCAAAATTCTTAACGATGAATTTTTCTGGATAACCGTTCTCACTCAGCAACTGTTTAATAACATTAAGCTCTTCATTAAGACATTCATCAGAGCAGATTGCTCTTGCTCTGTGGACCAAGCACTTTATTAGATTGCGTTTGTATATCAAAGGCACGAGGCTGAAAAAATGAGTATACTGACCAGTTGATGTAGGTTTTCTATATACACTTCTTCTTATTGTACCGTCCTCTTTTCTAGTCATAAGGACGTCTAGGAATGAAATACTAGAGTCTCTTTCTTTCTTGATGGTAAAATTTATTCCAGGATGAACATCGTTAAATTTGTCAACAAGGATGTTCTTTGCTTCATCCTCATTTTTCATAATCAAAAATGTATCATCCATGTACCGACAGCAGAATTCTAGTTCATCAATTTACATCTTTCAAATACCCATTCTCTAGTTTCGCAAGGAAAATATCGACTAGGATGGGCCCTAGTGGTGACCCCGTTGCCACACCATCAATTTGTCTGTATACTTCCTTATTAAATAGAAAGTGAACGTTCATTGTGCATTTCAAGAGGAGCTCTTTTATGAAAGATATAGAAATGCCGACATTGATGTTTCGTCTTATGAGTTCTTCACATACAAAGTCTACTGTTTCCATAAGTGGTGCACTGGTGAATAAGGAAGATACGTCAAGTGATATCATGAATTTATTGTCAACATTTAGATCTTTTATCCTTTCAACAAATCCAACAGTATCCCTTAAGCTGTGTTTCATCAATTAAGTATGTAGACGCTGTAAGAGTTTGACTGGTGAATTTAACATATCTAAAACTGGTTGAAGTAGTAAACCATTTTTGTGTACTTTTGGCGAACCATGTAATCTTGATGTGAACGTCTCAGTGGGTTTCAGTGATGTATACCGACTTTGTGAGATAAAGCCTTGTTGTTTCAGCTAACTGTTTTCTCTATCTTTTCAATCGGATCCAGAGAATACAATTACTTGAACCTATCGCCCTATACAAAAATTAACTAATTCTATCAGTTTGAGATGATGCTGTTTAGATTTATGCTGAAGGTCTAGGTAAAACACAAGAGAAGAGAACTCATTCTAAGCATAAAATAGCGTGGACAACTGATACAAACAATCTGGATACAATTTACAATGGAACTTAATGTCTTTTATTTAAGTAATTGAAAAGTTTTGCATGAGATAACAACTCGAAATTCCCCTCTGCATGACTGTAGTGATATGCAACTTTGTAGAATTGTGTCTATAATTACTGTACCGCCAATAATCAAGGGGAGAATCATGGGGCAAGCAGGCATAGACACACACACATACACAGACCTGTATACATGATACATATTTTTAACAAACTCACTCACCATTATAGACACTCTAATCCCTTACTACTTCACATCGTTTAATTTATAGGACTAACGCGAAACCATGGGACCTAGGTTTCGTGCTTGTTAGCACTCGTCAGCAAAGCAGATTTTCAACCTTCAAGGAAATGGTATCTTCTCTGCCACCCACATCACACACTGCTGCACTCAAAGACGTTACCGCTAAACTGTTCGGTTTCACGATTGACCTCCTGTAGGACTCAAATGGATATAGGTTACAGATATGTCCTGTTTATGAATGCCAAAAACTAGGTGGTCCACCATGACTTCCTGACGACTGCCTCCAACTATCTGACATCAATTAATTCATAGTCCCCCTCCCTCCCAATAGCTTGGTAATCACATCGTACACTTGACTGATAGAATTCAGTCTCCACCAACGTTAAGGAATACACTCAATTCATGACACTGGTTACTTTATTAGAAATTAATAAATGCAAAGCTTATTTATAATAATAGCATACGATTGTGGATTATTTGACGTATAAACCGTTTTGGTGAGAAGCCTTGAAATGCGATATTAGTCCTAACAGTATTTTATTGATACGAAGAATATCTAGTTGATATATTGATGTAATGGGTGTGCACGATTGAAGGTGAAATGAAGGTCTAACACACTATAGTCGAGTGAGTGAGCATGATTCCATAATCCCTTACTTATTACATATAATAATTGGAACAGTATTATTATTTACTGAACTACACATTTAACTAACCGATAAATTATAGAGAGCAACACTCATGAGCGTCGGTGGCACAGCGGTTAGGACGCTCGCCGACAATGCACATGGTCCAGGGTTCGATCCCCTGCCACAGATGCACTCCTTTATCTGCCCAAGCCAGTAAGAGAACTAGCAAAGAGGGAAGGTTGGGCATGAGGCTAGCAACCCCATCCCGTAAAAATAAAATATCACTGCTACCGAAACTTCAAGGCTCTAGCTTGAAGCCCTATGTTCCACACTGGGAACGTGAAGGAATAAAAAAGAAAGACTCATGAGAACAGAACTAATATTCATTAGGAGAAAGTACAACGAACATTATTGATTAGAATAATAAACATTGCATTTATCCCATTGTTTGCAAATAATATCAGCTATTGTGAAAGGAGGAAGCTGTTTTGCTCTTAATTGTCTACCAACTTATTCAGTTCTTTTATAGCTGATATTAGACTACACACTACTTATATCCACTGTTATTAGTAACATATATCTTATGTGGTAATATGAGCCACACACCTATTGTGTGTGTGTGTGCGCACTGTGGGGTTATTGACACCTATCTGGCTGCCTACACCACGGTAGGTGGAGCGGCGTTTGTAACCTTGATCCATTTGCTTCAAAGTTGATAGACTAAACCAATGAGGCGGCACAGTTGTTCCACAGTAACACATACTACACTCACAGTGTTATTACTCTTTCACAGGAAAATAGGATACACTTCTTTTGAATCAGTTATCAAGTGAAAAACAAAACACAAAAACAGTGCAAAAGATAATAAACTTACTAAATCTGTAGTAATAAAAACACGACACTGGAATGTACGTAGTTTTTTGAATGCACTAAAGCGTTCACCTTGATCTAAACCACTCGATATATAACTGACTGGCCAACCATGTGAAGATAAAGAACTACAAAGGTCTTCAGCACTAATTTATTATTAGCAAAGAAAGAAAGAAAACGAAATGAAGTTAGTTAGCAGTGAAGATGTTGTGTCCCTAGACGGATAATGAAACTATCCAGATCGGAGGAACACTGCCCACTGTGGCGTGTGCTACTAACAAGATTTAACAGTAGTATATAAAGAGTGCGTTCATCGTTACACAAAAATATCAAATAGCGGCGGAGAGATAGATTCGACGTTAAAGCGACGAAATAAATTAGTATTGCGGTAAAAAATGAGAGACACGAAAGGCAGACAATACGACGAGGAGCAGAAGTAGCACATCACGGAAGATCTGTGCAAATAACGACTTAATTATATATAATAATTTCCCTATAGGCTTACATCAGACTGCAAGTAAACATCTTATTACCAAGTCTATTATCTTTTCTCTTTATACTAGCTTTGGAAACAGTCATTAAAACAACATGAATCTAGGGATTATTCACCTCTTAAAAATCGTTTATATCAGGGTCGTAGGTCAATCAATCAATACCTCTGTTTGCATTCATAATCTAGTTTACCACTCATAAATAATAATAATAATAATAATAATAATAATAATAATAATAGAATCATCAAAAACATGAGTGTTGTGATAAGTTTCGACAGTAGGATTCGCCTTCCTCTTTTGACCACAACTCAACGAACTTGTTCTCGTCACCTGAAGGTCTTGGGATTTGATCCCTGGTGGTGTCGTGTGCACAGTCAAAAAAGAGTTTCAAACTAGGATGAAACAGTCGTCCACTGCTCCCTCCTCACTAGCTTTTTAATGATCTCTCTAACACTCAGGGAGATGTTGCTTCGTGACGAGATGTAATGAATCCCAATCTCTACAACAACAAAAAATAAATAAAAATATCCACTATTTACCTGTTATGAAAATTTGTGAAAATTAAACACTGTTGAAATTCAATAGCATTGAGTAATTTAGAGATAAATTTCATTTTAGCCACGAATATTGAATTTGGAGAACGTGTAGCCGGTTGAATAAGATGAAAGAATTGTCGAACACCTATGTAAGGTAATTATTTATTATCAAATTGTGAAACAAGACGAGTTGTAAAGGGTATGCAAAAAAAGTAATATTGAAAAATTTAAATTGAAGTTATGAAAGAGTTATTCTCTGCTTCTATAGAGTTTCGAGAATTGGTGCGTACATCGGTGCCTAAAAGCATTTCCAACAGCCTGTTATAGACTTCCATCAACAGAGATGTCTACACAACACTCAAATACTGAGAATTAGATGGTCGGTTGGAGAAGATAAGCAACAACAAGGAACTCTGGCACGAAGAGATCCTTTGGATGCGGTTGTCTGATGTTTGTATAGGATTTGTTGTGAGTTGTTGATATACATCCTCATCTTTGAGTAATTCTTCAGTTTTTTTGGTGTATTCTTCTTTGTTCATGACTACTGTGGTTCTTCCTTTGTCAGCTGGTAGAATGAGGATGTCTTTCCTTACTTCCTGTTTTTCGGGGCCTTTAGTTCTTGAGAGTTGAGTTGTGTGTGAATTGTTTCTTCTGTTTGACCATTGGTACAATTGTTTGGCGTATCTCTTCTTGTGTTTCCTCGTTTAATTTTGATGATTTGAGTGATGATTCAAGGACAGCGAAGAAATCAGTTTTCGAAGCATCCTCAGTGTTGTAGTTTAATCCTTTTTGCAGTAGTTATTGTTCTATTTTTGTTAGTGGTTGTTTTGATAGGTAGACTACGCAGTCAAAAGGTGTATTGTCTGGTTGTTGTTTTCTAATTTTGGCTGCCTTTCCGTCTTTGTTCGCTGTGTTTCCTACTTGACAATGCAGTTGCGGTGATCAGCGTTGACAGGTGTTCCTAGTTAAGGATTTTCTCTAGTTTTTCTTTATTTGTTGATCCGATAATGTGTATTTGTAATCATTAATTTGACTATTCGTCTTCCACATTGTTCGGGTAATTTCTATCCCATTGGGCAGTTGACTGGTGGTTTGTATCTGACACTGGTTGGTAGGATTTGATGACGGAGGAATTCAAGGAGAAGGTGGATCCTTGCCATTTGGCGAGGTCTTCCCACTTTCTAGCAGAAAGAAGCGTGTTCCGCTCGTAAGATTTAGATATGATGGAGAAGATTTGTACCTCAGGTGGATGATTTTGATGTAGTTGTGTTCTCTGAGCTGGATGGTTTATTTGCAAGGCTACAACTCCATTAAATTCATCCACCTGAGCTACAAATCTTCTCCATCATACGAAGAGATCCAGCCAACAAATATACAATACGGAATGCAGATGGATTGAAATCTCCCTGGGGAGACAATCAAATGACATCCTACGCTATACAGACCATAGAGTGGGACGCTAATGGGAAGCGACAGGTTGGGTGTCTACTGGTAACATGGAGATGATGCAAAGAATGAATGAGAGCTTATGAGCAATTGTGGAGCTAGCTGAAAGTTATAGCATAGAACCAAGTGGAATGAAGATTTGCCATTAAAGGCCCCATGTTCCACTCGAAACACACGGAGTGAATAATTGAATAATAATGATAATGAAATTAATTGAGGCGTTGAGTGAATCAAATTTAACCTCACCTGAACTTCAGATTGTGTGATTAACACGAGAATCAAATAGGGTAGTCTTAATTAAAAATGATTTGACTCTATATTTCAAAAGTAACTAATAGTTGTACAGAAAATATTATTATCTGGATTCTTTAAAGAAGAGAGGAATTCCTTAATTTCAAAGTCATATAACCAAAAACGTTAATATCCAATTCGTCAAAATGTAACGGCAGGACACAAGAATAACTGCCAACGGAATTATTTACTGGCCACTCCGTATACAAATATAGACAAAGTGCGTCTACCATATGTTGAAATTACGATTTGTATATGCTTTCCTTTCATGTTTTCTATGTTGTTTGACTATTCAACATTTTTGTAAATGTGACATACATATTTAAGTATTTACCGATATACTACTTACAAAACTTGTCAGTAGCATGAGACATAACTATACTAAAACAAATACAAAATTGCAAGGTTCGTGTATGCATTAGAAATGTATCATTCTTACATTTGCATTTATGCTAAAAGAGTAAGGTGAACTTATTCCTCACTCTGAACACAAAATCACTAAAGCATAAAAAGTGTTGTTAAAAGTGTATTTAGCTCTTGGACTTGTGGGGATTTAATTGATTTTTCAGGTGAGTTTCGTCAATAACAGACACCATTCAGAGAATTACTGAAGAGTTATATTTCCCCAAGTTTAGGACTCTTCAATGACTAACTCGCCTCGTGACATGAAGGTCCTAGGCTCAGTCCTTGATGAGGTTGGTTACGACTGCATATACTGCTGAAGGGCCTCAAACTAGGACGAAACAGATATCCATTATTCTGTCTGGTTTTTAATGATTTTTTAAAACTAATATCAGTTCATAATGAAGTCTACTTTGTTGCTCTTTTCAAAAGTATCTTGAGTTTGGCTCCAAACGAGGGAAACAGCCGTTCGGCGTGTTTAGATTACCTCGATCTGGTTGGGGTTAGAAAGCACTACCGGTTGATATGAGTATTATGCATCTACTACTCATCTCAATCAATCAGTAGTAGTATATATTGTTTTAATCAATTAAACCAATTGAATACAATAGAACAGTAAATAGTAAAGTTGTTTTCAATTACCTATGAGTGCTGGATCTTTTACAGCTAAACGTATAATCACTGGATTGTTCATATAACGTGGTAAATATTCATTGACTAAATAATCTGTATATGTAGCTGATAAGGCCAACATTTGTCGACATGTTGGTAGACACCAATAGATATAATTAATATCAGCCGGGAAAGCATTATTTGCACTGCCACCAGTCAGCTTAGCATCAGCACCACCAGATAAGAGTAAATCAGCTTCATCTAATATAAAGTGTTTCACCCCATCAGTTGACATATAACCAGATTCTATTAAATAACGTACACGTCCAGGTGTACCGACAACAATATGACAATTTGAAAGATTTTGTAAATCATCAGACAAAGGTAAACCTAAAATAAAATAATAATAATAATCATAACGGGGATAAATAAAGTTTTTTATAAAAACTTAGTAGCAAGATAATGAACTGATGAACCCTGATGTTACCGATTCAGAATACTATTAAACATAAATTGGAGTAAAAGACTAAACTTGATTTTTCGTGCTCGAGAACATCTCCCAATATGGCTAAGTAAAGGTGTAGTGAAAACCATTAACAGTTCGATATTGGACCATCTGGTGCAAACCAACCACAAAGCCAGCTAGCATTGAAGAATCCTTCTCTATAATCTACCGGGTGCCTAATAAATTGCCAAAATCATCGAAGCACCACATGCTTCAAACAGCAGAGGCTATTACAATTCGCCTCAAACAACCAGTGCTCTGTGTTCAAAAGAAGCAAGTCCAGCCCCTACTACTGCCCTGGCTGGCCTTCAGTAGAGACTATAAATTCATGAATTTGTAATATTATTTTTTCTAGTTTTTCTGACATTCAGCTTATTTTATGTTGATGCTATTGAGCTGTAATCTATCAATATTATTGATTCGATGTTATTTAGACAATATTGATGTCGTTCATAACACTAATTCATTCATTCACTATAATGTATATACACCTGTAGAGCCTGATGATGAAGTTATTGAAAAGAGTACTTTTTGTTCAGTATCCATTCTTTTGAAAAATTTCAGTGGGCATATTAAATCAGTTAAACTGGAAAAGTTAAATTATACCAATCAAAGTCAAGGTCTATTGAAACTTGACCTTCAAGAACCAATCAAATTGAGGAAACGTTATGAAACTTTATTCTAAATTAATTTACGCCTGTCTTTATGGATTTGATGGATGAGAGCACCATGAAGACCGAGTAATTTGACTACTGTAACAATAACGGATTCATTGGAGTCCCCAGGATTTATGTGTGTGTGTGTGTGTGAGGAGTGATTACAATAAGACTGTGGTGAGAGCTGTCTGCCAGCCGAAGTTGTAGACAACAATTTACGTCAATGTTTACAATCAGAATCGGGATCTCATGAGAAAAAACAATAATAAAGCTTAACTTTGTGGAACTCACTCACTCACAGCAGACTTAATGTGTGCAAATACGATTTGCAGATATATGGCCTGACTTTCTAAGAAACAGCCGCAAAGAGATGACAGAATAACCTTCAGCAAGAAAACAACCAATCAGAAGACGCTGCTTCTCTGCTAACAATAACGCTAATAATAATGCACATAAAAATCTATAAATATCTTTTGATTTTCTGAATAAACGATCTATTACCCGGGCTTTGTCTTCTGTCGTTACAAGACAATATAACCTTGAGAGAGATAAATATTGCTATAGATACAATTTATGCCATAAGAGAAAATCCGTTCATAAGGGCAGGTACAGACAGTATTTTACTTATTCCCTTGGTAATTTTTTCTGTAAATCTAATCTGATTTTGTCAGATATCCTAGGGCTCATCTATTGTTGGCCTGTAAGGATGGCAGCAGCGGTGACAGAAAACAGTCTGGTCTCTACAGTGCAATGGTATCAGCATTGTAGAGACGTTATATCATGGAAGTTAGAGAGGATTAACACTTGTCTAGTCTAGGAAGGAGCAAGGACTATCGTGTATATTGATAAAAGTGACATGAGGGAGAAATATAATAGAGGAACCAGAAGAGTTAGTTAAAATTTGCGGTGGCTGGAATTTACGACACTTCACTAAGTAAGGATTTTTTAGAAACAATACCCAATGGAAGTGCCATCGTATTAATTCCAATAATTCAGCACTTGGTAATACGGGGGATGATGATACATACAGGCGAATGGAAGGAATATTTTTTTAAAATTTTGATTATAGCTTGATTCCAAACACTACTTTTGGTAGAAGTATGGAATTTTCAGCATGAGATATCGGTAGCCCAAATTTTGCAGGCCGACCATTGATATCAGATGTGCATCGTCAGGTGATCGATCACCGAACCATGTGCATGGTCGGCGAGAGTCCTAACCGCTGTGCCACCAATTGTCACCTTTTGGTTATATTCACACCGTGTTAACCACGTTAACCGATTTCGTGGATTCAATCACAGGTAGTCACACAAACAACTCTATCGAAGAATTTTAGGGTCAGCTGAAGAACAGAATCAGAAATATCAATCGATCTCAAAACATCATGATCTACAGTCACCTGGATGAGTACTTGCATAGCAAGTGAAATGACTTTTCTATTGGTTTTCTATTGGGGGAACTGGGAAACATTCCTACAGCAAATAAGAGACAATTATTCAGTGTAAAACCATGTTTTTTAATACATTTTTAACAATTTTGCGACTATTTCGCAGCTGAATTCTAACTGGTTGTTCAGGGTCACTGTGTCTATGGCTGTTATATCTTAACTTCGCAGCTGAACTAAATATGGGAGCTATTGAACTGAGTCTTGTAATGATTCAAAGATGCAGGCATAGAGTAACGTTAGGTAGTATAGGATTGGGTCGGGGAGGAGTTAGAAGGCGTGGTGAAACTAAAAACAACATGGAATCAATCCATGTTAAATCTTTGACTGTTGGTTTGAGCCAGTCACGTAGGTCGGTGTAGACTGACTGGTTGGGGTACTCGAGATGCTAAGAACCATTGACTTGAAGTTGTTGGTGAGACGGATCAAAGCAGCAGTTGTATCCACCATGATCCAGCCATCCTAATTATTCTCCATTTCATTATTCTTTTAGTCATAAACTCCAGTTTACCGTAGTTTTTTTTGAGTCCCTTTCTACCCTTATGTGTACTTTGATGAAGTGTGGTAAATCGAACTGCTGCCTCGTCTATTGATTTCCTTTCCCTACTTACCTAGCACTCAACCGATGCCTAACCTCAATATTGCTCACCCTACTTTACCATTTCACACGGGAGATAGAATGCAAGCACCTATGATCAAAGACAGCTAGCCAGCCTTTTCATGTCTTCCACTCTCAATGACCAGGTCTCACAGCCACAGAGGAGGACGCAGCGGACTGAGCAAGATATCACTTCTACGCTAGAGACAGCGTAAACTGACATATGTGAAACGAGTCTTCTGTATGAATTCATCAAAACCTACTTTATTAATCTTCGTGGCTTGTTTTAAATTCGTATCGGGAAGTTCAAAACAAAGTATATTGTATCAATTGTGTACGTCAAAGTGGACGTTCCCTTCGACTCTCCAAATGTGAAAGGACATAAACTAGTTTTTGAAAAACGCAACACATATTATTTCATCATATCAATGCATGTAGACAACAATAGGCACTGATTTGACTCAGAGAATGTAGTCATTTTCAACAGTATAAACACAAAAAATGCTACAGAAGTCCTAGAAGTCTGGTACTCAGACGAATTTAGAGATCAAAAGACGTATTAATTGATATAGATCAGATCAAATTTATCAACCAACAAAGAATAAGTTACACGACAAAATAAAAGAGTTAAATTCCAGGTCAGTCAATCAATCAATCACAACAAATATTGTCAGGGGTGTGTGGAGAGATAATTCTATCATTCATGAAGAATTCAAATTAGTTTACTTCAAATTGAAATCTGTGCCGAAAATATTGTCTAGAAAAACAAATGACAGCATGACAAATAAACTATCCAGTTCAGAGGATACAACTACGAATTGAGAAGTAGGAAGTAGTGGTAGAAAGCAGTGCATAAAAATTGATCAGATTTACACTTTGGATTCCCTAATTTATAACAATTTCTCTGCTATGGTTCCAAGTACATAAAGTATGTTACTTTTATTGTTTTATAACCATTGTAAGTTGACGTAGAGTGCTCTGCAGATGATGAGAACGCGAGAAATGAAATCATATCGAATCATAGAGTAAATGTAGTCTATCACACTCTTGATCAAGAAATATCATTATTTGAAATTAATTGTAACTCTCATCAAGTGATACACATAGTAGTGGGAAGTAAAGACATGAGATTATAAGGCGATTAAACAGCAGTTTTAGAGAAGATATGATCCTGTTAGATATTTTAATTTTCTGGAATTTTCTTTGGATAGATTATATGTTGGTGTTCTTGGTAGCGAAACGATTGATCGTAAGGGAATGCTTGCTTTGTGTAGTTTCGGTCTATCGTAAAATCGAGGTAAACTAAAACCTACACTGAAGATGTTGTCTAGAAAGACAACGAAAACTTCGCAATTAAATCAACCAGCTCAGAGAACATAATTAATTCAGTATTCTGAGTCTAATGTTACGCTAATTCGAAGACTTACAGGCGACGACCAACAGACTGGTAGAAGAAGCAGCAAAGTCAGGACTTCAAGTGAACACAGAGAAGACGGAGGTGATGAAGATAACCAACCAACCAACCAACAACAATAACCATCAATCACTATCAACAGAACTGTGGCGTGTGCTACTGACGTTCATCGGCATAAAAATATCAAATAGTTAGGAAATAGATTTGATGTCAGGGAAAGTGAATGATTCAGTGTTGCGGAGTAACATGGGAGATTTGGAAGGAACACAAAGAAACACAATACAAAGGAAGGCCAGAAGTAGCACAAAACGGAAGATTTGTTCAAATAGTGATTTGAAGATAAGGTGGACATAATTTTACTACATAACGATACCAAATTCCAGATATACATTCCTTTGCCAAGTCTCTTATCTTCTACCGTTACAGAATATATTTGAGAGAGGTCACTTGCTTCACTTATCTAGGAAGCATCTGTTCAACTACAGGCAGTCGGCACGGATTACAATGTCAAAAGCAGGATCAAAAAGGCAAGACAGACCTTCATCAATTTCAAATCAAGGGAATAGACACATTAGACCATGGGAATTATTAAAAAGACGATTGCAGCAAAGAAAATTTTCCTTTCAATAAAGTCATCAACTAGGCTGTACATTCGTGTATTTATATTGAATGTGTGAGAAAGTTCTAGAATTATTTTCCGGTCAAAGGTTAAATTAATAAAACTACAAAGTGTAATAATCAGGTAGATCGGTTAGAAAAGAAACTTGTCAGTTTGTACAATTACAGTTTAAGGCCGTAGTGTTAACAAAATAGGTAGGAAGGTATAGGCATGAGTATACCAGTTTATTAGTTCATGTGGAGCCGAGTACATTGACCGTAGCATGCGTCCGCTTGTAAAACGCTCTCGGAAACACTATCCAACGTGGTTAGCAAAGGAAAAACGCAAGGGTGTATACAGTTCAGTAGCAGAACATCTAGTGAATTCAGGACATGCAGCTCCATTTGAAAAGTTCTTCAAAGTCATATAGAAGATTCGATCAAGGCATCTAGGAATAGCTGAGGCACTGGTGATCCAAAAACTCAAGCCATTTTATGTGCTCAAAAGAAATACGTCCAACCATTGTCCCTACCATGGCCATCATGAAAAGTCAGTTCAACCAATAATGATTATCCTATTACCTTTTTTATTCAACCTTCCTGTTTACTTCTGTAATTTTTACGTTTTTAATTCCTATCTGCATTACTAGATCTGGTTGCTTTTTTTAAATTTTTATATATGTCCGAACTTCCTACCTATTTTGTTATTACTACATCCTTAATCCGTAACTTGTACAGACTGACAAGTTTTCCAGTAATTATTATCTTATTGTGTCTTTTCTACCCGATCTTCGTGATTATTACACTTAGTAATCTTATTAATCTGACCTCTGACCGGAAATAATTCTGGAACTTTCTCACACATTCAATATAAATACACAAATGTACAGCCTAGTTGATGACTTTGTCGGAAAAAAACATTTTCTTCGCTGCAATTGTCTTTTTAATAATTTGAAATCAGTTCGGAAAATCTTCTGCACCCAGAGTAAGGAACGAAATTGGAAAATTTCAACACCAATGTTCATTCAATCAGTTGTTCTATAAATAGGTCAAAAACTTGGCGCATCATGAAATACACTTCTAACAGGTTGCTGCAGACTTTTACCATATTATTTTGAAGGATTTGAATGGCGCTGAATGTCCTGAATTGACCCAAAGTTCTGTCACTGAACTATATACACATTTTCGTTCTCCTCTTACTAGCCAGACTGGCTGGCTAGTTTTCACGAGCGCATTTTTCAAGTTGGCGCATGGTACGGCATTTTAATTCCTAATTGTAATTTTATTAATTTAACCCTTGATCGGAAATTATTCTGGAATTTTCCCACCCATTTATTATAAATACACAAATGTACAGGCTAGTTGATGACTTCGTCCAAAATAAAATTTTCTTCGAGTACATCGGCCGTAGCATGCGCCAACTTGAAAAACGCGCTCGTGAACACTATGCAGCCTGGTCAGTTTAAAGGAGAACGAAAACGTGTATATAGTTCAGTGACAGAACTTTGGGTCAATTCAGGACATTCAGCGCCATTCGAAAAATCCTTCAAAATAATAATACAAGGTTCGATCATACCTATCAAAGGGAGTAAAATTAAGACATCTGGGCATAGCCGAGACACTAGCCATCCAAAAACTTTTACCATACTGAAGATTCGATGGTCAGAAAGGATTAGCAACAAGGAACTCTTGGAACGAACCAATCAAGAGCTTATTGTTCAACAATTATGGTAAAGAAAATGGAGATGGGTTGAACACATGCGTGAAAGGCCGTCACCCGAGTAGAACTCGAATGGGGAGTGACAAGTTAGGTAGGCATGAGTCCGAGGATGACACGGAGGAGATCATGTAATGAGGAGGAGGTGAGAGCTTAAGAGGACTGCAGAGAAGAGGGAAAAAATTGGAAATGTACTGCTGAAGGCTTATGTTCCACTAGGAAACCAAGGGATAGTAACATAATAACATAATTCTGAGTTGTACAATGAATCATATAACAAAATCAGGTATCGTTGCCTGTCATTTCCTAACATTTATCACCTGAAATCATGATGCACATCACAGCAGTGTCTGGTTATATCAGCACCGTAACGTTGATTGACAGATTTATCAGAATTTAATTTGTGGATGGTGACTGGCAGTGGAATCCAGGATGCGCACTTCGTCCTATTTGGGACTCGTCATCTGGACGTAGCTGCATTTCCCAGTGAGTGCTGATGTTCCCATGAAGGCTCGAACCCAGTACCCATAGTTTCAAACTCCAAAGCGTTATCCACTAGACCACTTGGGCCACCATCTCTTGTGCAAAGGGTCATATTAATTACATTTAATTGAATTTTAGATTTTCCCGTCAATTGATTGGACCAAATAGGACGAAATGCGCGGTATCCTGGATTCCACTGCTAGTCACCATCCACCAATTAAATTCTAATTAACATGCCCAGACATCGTCGAAGCATCTGCACAAGAAACCGCCGACATGTCAACCTGAGACCGAGCACTTCGGTCCAATCAATCGACGGGAAAATCAGAATGATATATGTTTGAACACCTTCAATATTGTCCTAGACCATTCAAAGATATATACAAGACTTTATTATTATTACTACTGATTTGAATAAAATATTAATTTACGCTTCAACTTACCACCAACGAATAGATGACACTTTAAATCAGGTATATGACAGCCTAATTTTTTAATAACCATTTGTGATTGTAAGGCAATTTCTCGTGTAGGCGATAAGACTATAGCTTGTATACTCTTTTCTTTCACATTAATCGAGTCTAAAATGACGACAGCAAATACAACAGTTTTCCCAGTCCCGGATTTAGCCTATGGTATAAATTTTTTTAAAAAAAAAGGAAAGTAAAGAAAATCGATTAGAATAATGAATACTAGTTTCATTATTATTTCAAAGGATTACAAAATATGAATAAACGTAGACAAGATATTGATATTTAATCCGGTTGACGATGTTCAAAAAGGAGGCATGTAGAATAATTCTGCTGTCTAAATCCTTTAATCTTGTTCATCGATAGTAGCAGTAATAATAATAATAATAATAATAAAATTCTGACTACATTCTCAGGATTTATTAGAACGGACAGCCGTGAAGTCATAATTTATGCACGCCCTTAGCATGCTAACTTTACTAGGCAATTTTTGAATTAGCTGTGATGTTAGATTGTGAAATAAAACGAGCAGAAGCAGGTAAACTGCACACTAGCGCTTTTTTAAAAAAGTCAACGCATTCAGCTAATAGATATTTAGACTTTAATTCATCTCATCCGTTATCTGTCTGTGAATGCAGGCTTAGTTAAGTGTCTGTCTAACAAACAGAGCAGTAGCACTAAGTAGTGCAACAAAAAACCTAAGTGATGAAATGAAAAAGATAGAAGAAGCGTTGGTATCAAATAACTATCGTATAAAATTCATTAGGAAGATCAGAGAAGGTCAGAGGCAAAGTAAAAATAATAGTAAAACTAATAGTGATAACATAAATAGGAAAGAATATAAAACATCTACAGTTTTACCATTTAAGGAGGGGACGTCTGAAACTTTACGTAGGACTCTCAACAAAGCAGGAATTAGGGTGACATTTAAACCTACAAACTCACTCATGGACAGGTTCTGTAGGTTAAAGGATCCTGTTGACTCAATCAGGCAAAATAATATAATTTACAAGATACCTTGCAATGACTGTGAGTTAAGTCAACTACATAGGTCAAACTAGTAGATCAGGGGGAAATCAGATTGTCAGAACATAAGAATTTAGCTAATGTTAGAATAGTTGATCCCACGAAGATAGGTAATTTAGAAAAAAGCTCAGCAATTGTACTGAGTGCATTAACACAACCACACAATAGGGTGGGTGGAACAGAGTCTATAATTGAACAAATAACCAACACTGACCACTCAATATTTAAGTAGAATTTATTCAAAGTCAAAACAAGCCTCCCGTTGAAAACGGTAAGCATTGCCCAAGGCCTTAGCGATTCAGGTGGGAAAACCCTGATTTATGTACACAGAAGAAACTTTTTCATCCCCTCCTTCTACCTTGGGTATAATTTCAAGGTCGACTGCTTTGTTACTAATACTACTTTATCTTAACCAACCCATTATTCACTCTTTTTACGCATTACGCAACTTATCTTGGACACGTGTCTCCATTAACATCCTGTTTCATATTACGCAACCCTTATCAGTACTTGCCAATCTTCACCCCCCCCTAGTTATAATTTTGATTATTTATCACATTTTTGAGGCATTCTGATGACGTAAACAATAACTCTAACTAATTTTTATGTTTGTTTGAAAATTTAAATGTACACACACACACACGCAGACATTACACATTTGCTTACTTGAACAATTAAATCCAATCCTAATGTCCCCATAGGGATAGCTTTAAATTGTATCGGTGATGGTCGAATGAAACCGGCATCTTGAAGTCCACGTAGAACCGGTTTAGATAATTGTAAATTGGTAAAGTGTATATTATTAATACTAATTTTACACTTTTTATTTGATGTATTACAGCCATCATCATCCTCATCATTGTCATCGTCATCCTCGTCATCGACTTCAAAAATATCAGCAGTTCGTTCTTCTTGTTTATTGGTTATATCATGCGCCAAACATGGAATATCAGTGTCGTCTTCTGCTGCATCACCATTTGAAGTATTCAATGTTTCAATATTGTCATTGGATTTATTCTTTATGTTCTTATTCATATCTAGTTAGATTGAAAATTGTAAATAATATATAAGAACGGGTGGAAAATAAGTCAGACAACTTTATTATGTATTCTAGGAAATAGTATACTGCAAGATAAGTCTATATGCATAAAAGTAATATAAATGCTAATATTGTTTATTATATTCCTTTACGTTCCCAGTATGGAACAGAGGGCTTTGAGCTAGGGGCTTAAAGTACCACTAGCAGTGGTATTTATTATTACGGGATGGAGGAGGTTACTAGCCGCATGCACAGCCCTTCCCTCTTTACTAGTCTTATTGTAACGACAGAAGACAAGGGCCAGGGTGACAGACCGTTTATTGAGAAAATCAACAGATATTTATAGATTTATATGTATATCATTGTCAGTGGAGAAGCAATGTCTTCTGATTGGTTGTTTTCTTGCTCAAGGTTATTCTGTACTGTTTGTGACCGTTTCTCAGAAAGTTAAGCCATATATCTGCAAATCGTATTGGCACACGTTAAGTCTGCTGTGATTGGTTGGTGAGTTCCTCAAGGTTAAGTTAGCTTTGTCATTTTTTCTCTCATGATCCCGATTCGTGACGTAAATTGTTGTCTACAGTTTTGGCTAGCAGATAGCTTTTACCACATTATTACTGGCTTACCAAAGTGTAGGAGTGCGTCTGTGGCCAGGGATCGAACTCCGAACCACGTGGAGCGCGGTTGGCGAGCATTTTATACCGGTGTGCCACCGACGCACATAAATGCTAATAGACGATACAATGTCAATTCCTTAATATCTTGCTTACTGAACTAGCCACATTTATAATGAAGGTAACTTATTGACAAGTTTGGTATCATACACTAGGAATCTGTAAAAATACACGTTTGTCTGAGTCATTTCATCTAAGTAACTGTACCTACCAAATGTTCAAGCTTTGGAAAGAATAAACTGTAAGATACCAATAAATAAGTTCAATTTTATACATGCACATTCTACAATGTTTATTGTTTTTTTTTCATTACAGCTTGAATTCCACACCGTATTTTTTGGGACAGGTATGGAATTTTCAGCAAGTGATATCGGTAGCCCAAATTTTGCAGGCCGACCATAGATATCAGGTGTGCGTCGGAAGGGGATCGAACCTAGGACCATGTGCATAGTCGGCGAGAGTCCTAACCACTGTGCCACCGACGCACAGTTGCTATTGCTATCACAGTCGCATAAGAATCCCTAAGGATAGGAATTACGATACAACAAGATGAAAAACTAATATTTTCATTCCGTCGATAGGATTGTGTAAGGATTTTGGATTCATTCCAATTGTTAGATTTTATCACGGACCAACATCAGTTACGGTGAATGACTGTCAACAAGATTGGTCTCGTAACTGGAAGGTCTCGAGTTCGATCTCCGGCGAGGTCGTGTGTGTACACTGTTGAAGAGTCCCACAACAGGATGAGACAACTTTCCAGTGTACCATGACTTTCAATAATCTCTCTGACTGATGTTGGCTCTTGACAAAAATCTAACAATTGAAATTAGTATGTTTATTCGAGTCCTTTCAGTGGTAAGAATTCCAAAGAATTGAACTGTATTTGGCTAACGTATTTCAACGATATATCTGACTACTCCGTAGTCGATGTATATTACATCTCATAACACACACCGTCTAGTTAGCGCCTTAACAGTTGGTCAGTGTTATTGATATGGAGTATGATGTATGCAACATCAAGTACACCAGTACTGACCTGTGTTCCTAGGGTTAGTTCTGAGGTCGAGAAAGTGGTTACAGGATTTTATCATGACCTGACATTGGTTAGAGAACCATTGGAAAACCTGGGAGTACTGGACAGCTGTTTTATCCTAGTTTGGGACTCTTCATCAGTACACACTCAGCAGGGTTCGAACCTAGGTTATGTTGAAGGTTTAAGTTGGCAATGGGGGGGAGCGCTTATTATACTACCCAGAGTGAATTAGAGAGGGATGCGATTTGAACCTGTGGATGCAATTGGTTGAAAATGATGTGCCAGTCATCTAAATTTCCACAGACTAAAAACAGACGGCTGTTAGCACTCAAGTGTATTTAGAGTAGAACTTTAGAAATTTATTTCATCATAACTACTCATTTCTTATTATGCACTATTTGAGCATTAGATATGTGCTTGTGTACTGTATAAGATAGTTTGGATTGAAGGAAGCTTTACAGCTCATGGTAAAATTTTTAACACGGGGTCGATAGGTTAACACTGGACACCATGACACAGTTAAGTGACAACCGACTAGCACTTTAGGCTAAGGGGCAAAGAACAAGCCCAAACATTAACTTCAAAAATCATCCTAACTTGATCGTTATAAGAGGGCTTCAACTACGCCTGCAACAACAAAAAAACTAGCAGTGAGCAACTCCAATTATATTCATCTCTCATCCAACAAGCAGATCATTTAGAGAGAGAAAAGCTCCCATCATGTCAAATGGGAACGGGACGATAAATCAAATATCATATAAAAGAGTAAATAAGACAAGAAAGTTGGAGCTTTCAGCAACAGGTGACGGCCTCATTTGGTTTTACTGAATTAAATAACAATTATAACTTAGTCAAGAAGTATGTTCGCTGCTCCTAAACTTTTACGTTATAACCCAGAATTCACAGAGTTGTAGGTTAGAGTAGGAGAGTATAATGTGATTTTATGATAGCCCCTACCCCTCAAAAACAAAAAAAGTCATAGTTAAAAGATACAAGACAAACTGAACACTAACAGACTTTAATAGGCAAGAATACAAATCATACTTCAGAATTTCGTAATAACACAATAGCCCACACTACGATGCAGTTTGCCTAATTGTCCAATAATCAACTTTCCGGGAGTATGGTTCGAGATATGACGAACAATTACTCAAGTGAAAATGACTATCACACTTAGAAAACAATGTCCTAAAATAAGAAACACAAACGCTAAGAATTCAATAACTGTCTACTCTGAATTGATGTTAGATGACCAGAGGCAATTATCGGCAGGAAGGGCGATTAACCTAGGTTTCGTACTTGTTGGTAAACTCGTCAGCAAGGCGTATGTATAATCTTGAAGGGACTAACTAATGTCACCCAGTGCTGCAGTCAGAGCTATTCCGGGCTTACAAATGAATATAATGAATATCACCTTCAAGTTGATGAGTGCCAAGAAGCTCGAAACCCAAAGGGCCACAGCACTTACTATCGACTGCATCCAACTATCTAATAACATTAATTCAGAGTGTACCACACAATGATGAGTCACCATAACTTGGTGACTACCACACACACTGAAAACTTGGCTGATAATAGAATTCAGTCTACACCGACGCTAAGGACTACTAGACTCAATGACACTGGTTTGGTCATCCCTCCTGGTGACCAATCAACACCTAGCCATCGCCTTCCTTGACAATGGGCAATGTTAGCTGATATAGGGTCAGACTGGAAAAGAGCTAGCGGCGGTCAAACCAAAACATGGCACCAGTCAATGAAATCTACAAGTTAGTTTAAGACAACCAGCCACGTAGGAAGGTGTAAACTTCCTGACTAGTTTGGGTCCGCGGAACGGTAAAAACCAATGGTTGGAAACAATTGGTGTTTTGGCTCAAACTCATCGTTCTCAATGGCTGGTGCAGATGCATCCACTCCTTGTGACTTATGATTTCCAATGAAACTGTTTTGTTCTTCGTTATTACTATACCTTTGTCTCACACCTCTGTTTACTGTCTCTATTATGCATTTCTTCTACTTTCTTCTCTTGCTTTGTGTGCTACAAGGAAGGAGTGTGGCGACTTGAACTGCCACACATCGGTGCAAAGTTCTATGTGGAAAACAGACAGACAGACAAAGACAAACCAACCAACCAACGTAACTACCTACCAACCAACCTAACTAACTAACTAACTAACTACTCTCTTTTATTAGCACAAAAGAAAAGAGGAAAAGAAGATCAATAATGATAATAATATGTATAGAACAGATAGATAGATAGACAGACAGACAGATAGATGTCATACTATGCCGCACATCATGAGAGGAAAACAAAACCAAAGAATGTAAAAAATATTCTATTAAACAGTAGAAATATATATATATATGTATAGGCTACGTATGCACTTGGGTATACAAATAGAACAGAAGTATGTATATTGTACACGTATATGTATATATGTATGCATGTAGGTTTGTGTGTATGTGTATGCATGAGATTAATGAATGATGAAACAAGTTATTGATTGATAGCACTCATCAAATAGATAATATGACAATAATGGCGACATATATTGGCGACAATGACATTCTTCTTCACCAACACACACACTGAGGGGACGAGGAGAGGGAGGGGTCAGGAGTTTATTAAAAATAAATGGAGTACAAAATACAAAATAAAAACACAAATAAATAAATTAAACAAATAAAAAGGAGGTTGGGGGGGGAGATATACAAAAATAATGATAATAGATATACAATAACGATATATATATATATTTGGAGAGAGAGAGAGCAGTAGTATTATGGAACGCGTGTGGTAGATTAATAATAATAATTATTATTATCATTAGTAGTAGTAGTAGTAGTAGTAAACGAAGTAAGTATCTGTCTTCTTTCTTGTTGTGTCTGTGTGCTTTTTATTTATTTATAGAAATGAGTACAATCTTGGCGTTCATTACAAAGTAGAGAAATATATGTAGATTAACAACTTTATATTGAGATAATAATACTACTACTAACCTATCTTATACCAATGAATGATAATATGACCATAAGTAGTATAGAGAAAAAAAGAGAAAAAGTGTGAGATGATGTTGTTACACCTGTGTGTGTGTGTGTGCATATGTACGTACACCCCCCCTTGTGTATACACGGAGACAGACGCTTAAAAAAAGAACGAAAAGTCAAAATAAACAAATTCTATACAATTGAAATGTATACACTTATTGAGGAAGGAAGAGGGAGAGAGGGAATGGATGAGAAAATAATATCGGGACAATTTTTTTTTTCGAAAAAAAAGAAAAATATATGAAAAAACAGGTGAATATTAATCAGAATGATAATAATACTAATAAACATGAACATTGAGACTAATCTAGCCTAACAACTGTTGATCAGCCGTAACAAATTCTAGAACATTTGAAGCCGACGAATGATCCTGTATCATATCTATGCCAGTGAATTGTGCTGACATGTCATCACTGAGGATATCACCAGCACTTGTAACAATTGCATCATTATTATTATTCAATGCTGCTGCGAATTGCATACTTGTTTGAGGCATTGATATAGGCGTTTGTTGAATAACTTGAGAATATTGCTGCTGTTGTTGTTGTTGCTGCTGTTGCTGTTGTTGAGGTGGAGCATATCGCCATATGCATACAAGATTATTATCAGTTACAGCGGCTAGATAATAACCATCAGAGCTCATTTCAACGGAATTCACTACGGGATTACGAAAACCAGATGTAATACTCTCTTTGAGTTGTTGATCTTCATCACGATTCCCTTGAACTGAACACTCTGGCCATTCAAGAATCTACAAAATAATTAGAATATGAAAGAAAGAAATAAAAAAGCTGTTGTGTTTAACTGAAACTTTTAAGTATGTTGGTATAGTTGTATTCTCTGACCTGGATGGTATTGATTCTCTTCGTAAGCAAAATGTTCAGAGATGACTTCAATATGAGAAGTGAGCTTTTAGAGTAGTCTCCATAACAGCTGAAAACTCATGAATAAGTTTTAACAGCTCGGTTCCTACTGAAGTCAGCGCGCTGAGAGGGGATGTTGTTGTGCTGAAAGACAATGAAGGCTTCACAGATAAAGCACCAAGTTCAGTCAATGTATCTATGTTCTCAGTGGAACATAGGACTTGAAGCTAAAGGCTTGAAGTTTTGGTAACAGTCGTATTTATTTTTACGGGGTGGTATTGCTAGCCTCACGTCCAACCTAACCTCTTTATCGATCTTATTACCGGCTCAGAGAGGTGTCGGAGTGCGTCGGCCGGGCATCGAACCCCGAACCACATGAAGCGTGGTTGGCGAGCATTCTACCGCTCGAAAGGAATAGTGTAATTTTCACAGGATATAACTACAGAAAGCAAAGTGATGAACTTATACGTTATTATCCATACCTTTTAGAGCCTCATTCTATCCTGTGTTATACCCATTTAAAGATACAATTAGTAAGTTAGTTTGGATGATGTTAGGGATGTTAATTAAATTTCACTGTCTATATTTATGTTGCACTCTGGTAGTCTAAGGGGAAAAATAGCAAAGATAAAGATCATAAACAATCTTTTTTCTTTAAAGTTTGAAGTGTGTGTATGTGTGTGAATCTCAAGACAGATGAGATGATCAAACAAGACGATTTATAATACAAGTAGAATGTGAATGACACACTAAAACATTGGACCATAGGACACAGAAAATATACTTCGGAACAGTTCATAGGCAACAGAAGCTGGCGTGTAAGGCTGTATATCAGTGATGGGAAAAAAGGTTAGTTAAGTACATTTATATACCAAAAATATTCATTCAGACATCTAGAAAAGAATATCCTTTTCGATAATTTCTTCTTCTGGCTCTACAATTATATATAAGTTTATATACGTAGAATATTCTAGAATAATCGTTATTGACAATATTGATGTTTTTAATTACTATCGATTTGTTAAGTAAGATTACAATGGAATTACATTTCACTAAAGATGCATAAATTATAATAAGCATAAAAATGTAATAGCAAATAGAATATCAAATAAAATTAAGGAAATTTCCACAACAAATTGAGGATTATTAAAACCTTGATGGCCAAGGTAAGGAGAGTGTCTGAACCAGCTTCTTTTGGAAACATAAGTTAGGTTTCTTAATGTGGATTCCAATAGCCTCAGCAATATGTCGTAAACGAACTCTTAAGGTGAAGTTAAGACTAGTTGGTATGCAGCAGATGACTTTGAAAGCTGCCTTGATAACATCAATTTCGTGTTCTGTATCCACAAGCTGAGATAGAATAAAGCTATGGATGGATTTTGTTTGTCCTTTACATAACCACAATGCAGGGTGATTTTCGGAAATCCGACGAGAAACGCGCCTAATTATACGGGCTATGCAACTAACTGGCTCCATAGGAGCAGTTTCAAATTCGAGTGGATTAACTTAGGGTGTTTTGCCTCCAGAAAACAAAATAATATTCTCTGCAGATAGGTGCAAACGTTATATGAAAATACAGTGAGAGATTTGTTGTACAGACATATATATTATTGTTGCTTAATTTACTCATCTAATCAACAGTGACTAAATATATATGTATGATGTTTTTAACCAAAAATGATACGCTACATAGTAGTGTTTGTTAAACATGCAGCTATTGGATAACATTTTGGGCACAATCAATTGTTTATCATTAGTATATCAGGTGATTGTGTAAAGCAGTGGGAGAAGATAAGAGAATTGGTAACGGACCTGCGTCTGTAAGTATGGTATGTACTTTGCACCGTCTAAGTGCAAAGTACTGTTACAAGATTGGCAGGAGCCTGTACCTGCACTCACTCTTGCGGATGAACCGCTTGAAGTTGTTGATAAGTTTGTGTATCTAGGTAGTTGTGTGAGTGCTGGCGGAGGGGTGACGGATGAGATTTCTAACCGTATAATGAAGGCTAGGGTAGCATACATCAACTTCAGCCACCTCTGGCGCCGTCATGACGTTAGCCTGGCTGTCAAAGGTCGGGTATACAATGCTTCGGTGCGGGCTGTCTTGCTCTACGCCTGTGAAACCTGGCCTCTCCGAGCTGAGGATGTGCGGCGGCTCTGCGTGCTCAATCATCACTGTCTCCGCAGGATTGCTTGCGTTCGATGGCATCATCGCGTGAGTAATTCTGAGGTTCGGCGGCGTGTGTTTGAACACAGTGAAGATCACACCATTCACTCAGTGTCATCATCTGGAAACACCGGCTCCGGTGGCTTGGACATGTGCTGCGAATGTCATCCCAGGGGCTTCCGTACAGTTCTCTGTTCGCTAGCCCTAGGACGGGATGGAAAAGCCGGAGGGGTGGTCAGTCCATGATGTGGCGTCGTGGGACGAAGGAAGTTTGTGTTAGATTAGCATTGATTGGTGCGTCACGACTCCCTGGTTGGGGTCCGCGAGATAGCTCGAAACGTTATCAGATATGGCCGAGAATCGCAATCAATGGCGAACATGTTGCAATTTCCTTCTTTCTTTCCTTTCCGACAATAATTGACGAATGATTTTTGAACTTGCTACAAATGACTGTTTTCCTTCCAGATGAAGTTCTTTACCCGTTTTCTACTTATTTTTTACTTCTGATCTATGTTGTTTTATTATTATTGTGTGGCGCATCTTTCTTGGTGCCATATTTTTTCTGCGTTTAAATAATAAATGGAGCTTAACCAAGAAAAAACACACACCATATTTATACACTCTCAGAGACATTAGAGTTCGGCTAGGTTACAGGGGGAATAAATTGTTCTGATTGGTTACCGATTGGACCAAGGTTAAACATGTTGTCCAATGAGGTTATTTCATGTCCAAATTCGAGAAATAAACACTTTTACCTGTGCAACCATCCACTTAAAATGTTGATTTCAACTTTGGCCACTTCTTATCAGTCTGCATCACGCGTTACAGTCGTACTCTAATATCACAATACCTCTTATAACAGTTTCACAGCTCAACTGGGATAATACCACAGAAAATCGACTGTAATATATAGAAAATGAAATGTTATTCAAAAACCAATTGCATTTCCATGCAGTTGGCAATCAGCCACGCCTACTGCTTATGCGGGCTAATTATACGTACTACCTGGTTGCACAAACCTCGATGAGTGGGGCAACGTTCGGACACGTGACCAACTGGTCGAAAGTAAAGAGCCAAAACTCCACAATTCTATTACGTAAACAGAGATTATACAAATTTCGAACACTAAACAGTGGAAAACAAAGACATTTCAACAAAACAAAACAATAAAAGAGAGAAGAAATTGCCTACTTTAATTGGTTTTACATGAAAGCGTTTACGACTAGAAGCGTGTAAATCATCTAAATATGGATCCAAATCATATATCCAAATTGAGCCTTCATTATCACCGCATAGGACAGCGCCAAGATTTTGTCTAACAGATACATTGATGTAGATTTCATCTGTTTTTTGCCATAATAAATGTCCTCTCATTTCAATTGGAACAATACGTTGAAGACCTATCACATTGAGGGTAAACAAAATAATACAAACATTTATAGGCTGGGGAAAAAACTAACCAAAATAGATAATACACTTTTTCATAGCTCTTTCGGGTTGCAAAAATGTAACGATTCGGATACAGAAATGATCAGAATGAAAATCGTTTATTTTAAGTTTAATCATAGATTTATGTCAGTTAGAGAACCAGTGAAGACCAGGGTGTATTGAACGATTGTTTCGCATCAGTTGGGGACTTTCTAGCAGTGTGTACTTACCAGGATTTGAACCAATGGCCCTGCGGTAACAAGGCAAGCTCGTAGGTCATTTAGACACTAGGACCCAACCCAATGGCCAGTCCATGAATTCCAACTTCTACCAATCCGACAGTTCGTTAACTGACACAAATCAAATCCCTACAAACTCACTCATAAAAATTATTTAAAGATGACTGATAGAATTCAGTCTGCACCAAATAGAGGACTAAACACACCAAACTAGTTGCTAAATATTGTCCAATTAAAAGTATCCAATACAGTTCTACAGGAGGTCAATCACAAACCCGAATAGCCGCGCAGTGGTAACGTCTCTGACTGTAGCACTCATCAGGCGACGCGGGTTCGAATCTCAGAAGGGACATGAGTTCCTTCAAGGCGGTTGCAGATACGCCTTGCTGACTGGTGAGTGCCAACTAGCATGAAACCTAGGTTCAAGACTGGGCTTCCTGCCGACTGCCTCAAATCAATGTGCACCGTGATGACCAGCTACCTAGAATGGTGGCAACATCGCAAGCGGGACTGATGGAACTCAGTCTGCACCAAAGAAAGGACTAGACACATCACACTAGTTACTAACCAATTTCCGATCAAAAGTATCTAAATTATAATTAAACAATGCAGTCAGAATACTTAATTCATGAATACGCAACACAATCCATTTAGATTCGAGACTCTTTACATCATGCTAGAACTCAGTTACGCATAACAGATATATCAATGATCCAGGTTATGAGCTACACACTTATTGTGTAAGGGGACTGATGCTATTACACAGTTGTCCAGACTTGAGCTAGATATGAACCCGATACCCATCAGCTAAAAGTCAGTCATGTGTACTTAAAGCTAATAAACCACATCTCCACTAAGAATATTTTAAACTGAAAAAAATCAATAATTTAACAAGTATCATACTTTGTAATTATTCTTATACCCTAAAGGTGATTAAAAAACAAATTACAATGGCAGATATGACAAGTGATGTTGGAACCACTTCCAAAACTCATTCTATGATGCAACAGTTAAAGTTCAAGGGCGAAAGATGAACCACGAAATATACACTACTGACTGAAATAATCAATATCGATCAGATGAACTCAGAAAACAGCCAACAGCATGTAGATTTATTTGGGGATAAAATTCGTTCAACGAAGATTGATGAAGTCATTGGTCTATTGTATTCATACAGTTACCGGTGTAAAGAAGCAAATCATAACTTGAGGTTTCAGGCATTGTAGTTTTCAAAATCACATATAATCTCATCATTACCGATTTTTAAAAAAATTCACATAGACTACTTGTTCTGAGCTTATATATATTTGATACACTTAAATGTGCTGGAAACCAGTGCACAAAAATGCTGTATGTTTTTCTCAACAGCTGTTAATCTGATTTCTCAGAGGTATGATCGGTAAAAAAAAGACATTTTCCGTTAAATTGATGAAGAGATAGATTGAAGAGCTGCCAAACCAAATGAGTTATGTATATATATATATATATTCTTTCTATGATAGATCTTGCTTGATTTATTACAATGTAGATGCGTTTACTTTCATCAGACCTGTGGTTCAAGAACTTAAATAGGGAAAATCTTTAGATGAAATGTGTACATTCAATGAAAAATAGAAAATCATTCATAGAATAATAAATCTCTGTAATTCAATAAACACGAGCACTTCACATCAAACTAACCTTTACGTCGTTCAAGAATTGATGCAAAATCGAAGACCATAATTTCTCCAGACTCGACAACTTTTATTACTAAAGCATTATCGCTAAGCTGAGCTAAAGCGTCAATACACACTTCATGATTAAAGTCCAACTTCAACTCCATATCAGGTTCACGTTCTCTTTTCTCTAATCGTAAATCAGTTATCTTCCAAGCAAATAAACCATCTTCACAACCAGCTATTAAATAGGCATAGTGTGGAAGGAAAACAAGATTTAGGACAGGATTTACGTCTAATCTAGGACAACGAAGACGCATTAATAACTGGTAGCGTGTTTTGTAGTCTGGTACAGAAGGGATACCAATATCCCAGACGATAACAGATGCCTGAAAATTAAGATAAAGTTTTAAAAAAAACAAATGTGAAAGAGAAAAATAAAAACGACAATACACAAAAAGAGATTTTTTTAAAAGAAAACTACACTAAGGACATAAAGATTTATATCGAAACAGAGACAGGCAGAGAGAAAGATGCTTCTCTACGACGGTATACGCATCATACACTGTCATATACTATTGAGGCATAATTCTGGTATTCTCAATAGTAATTTCAGTAAAGTTATGGGTGAGATTATTTGTAGGTAACTCCAACAGATCGAAGACTAATAATGGTTTTAATGGCATTCTTTGACCTTTTGTTCGTCCATTATTATGTGAATGTGTGGAGAAGACATTGATTTTATTCTCAAAAGCTGTACGATCGCATTTATATACATAAGATTAGAGCAATACAACTATTATTTAGTTCCGCATAATCACGAAGGAGATTTAAGGTGTGATAATAATTTTCCATTTGATATGGAAGTTTGAAGGTATGAGCATAGATTACAAGGGGCTAATAAACAAAATTACACAGGGTTAGAAAATAGTTGCGCTTATGCCCAGACGAGACAAGATTTCTCATAAATGAACAACCACGTCAATACCTGTCACAGCATCTCAACTAACTCATCATTCAGAGGTTGTTCACAAAGTAAACAAAAATCTATCAAAGACAGTGTATATTTTCAACTTCTTTGCATTGCAGAAGCCGTCGCTATGTGCATGGAAAAGCCGGAACTATGTGTTCAAAAGAAGCTAGTCTAAACTCTACATTTACCATGGATCTAGTTCGGTAATACTATTAAGTGTTCTTTTTTTGGGAGGGGGGTTATTTGAGTTATAAAAAAACAATTATTTCAATTTATTTCCATGCTCACCCAATTCACACCTGTATTCTATCTAATCCTGTATAATGTTATTTCTTAGCCCCTTGTAATCTATGCTCAAACCTTCAAACTTTCATATCAACTTTAAAATTATTATAACACTTTTAATTGCCTTCGTTATTATGCTGAATCAAACAATAATAATAATGGTATCTCTGTAAATTTATGTATATAAGTGCAATTGTACAGCTTTTAAGGATGAAATCTCCGAGATGATATCTTTTCTGAACTTTTTGTCCTTTTTTATCTAATGTCCTAATGGGTAATTTTCAGGAGTTCTGTTTCGAGCAAACATCTGTTTACTACGTCAGTGGCGCAGAGGTGAGAATGCTCATCGGCTACTCATTTGATCCGCGGTTCGATTCCTGGCCGACGCACTTGCAAACCTAGTTTAGCTGATAATGCGTCTGGCCAGGAGGGAAGTTTGGGTGTGAGACTAGCAACCCCACCCCGTAAAAATAAACGCTACTGGTACCGAAACTTCAAAGCTCTAGCTTGAAACCTTATTTTCCACTGGGGACGAAAAGGAATAATAAATAATGACATATTCACTCACTGCATTCTACAGTTTCAGAGCATTCTCACTATCAAAGGGAAAAAGAAATTATATCACCATTTATCTAACTAAAAAACAAACAAATCGACAAACAAACAAATTTAACTGGAATATATACGACAAATATAGAGGTAAAAATACCTTAGAATCTCCACTGAATAAAATTGTAGATTGTGTTTGATGAAATATCATAGCGGTTACATCCTCTGTATGACCTTTCATTTCAGCATAACAAACCAATTGTTCCGGGTGAAGTAGTCGAATTTCATGCATACGACCAGCTGCAGCCAAGATATTAGTACGTTTACCGCCTTCAACTTCAACAGTTGTCCAGGCTATGGTATAAAATTCCTATAAAAAACACAAAATTGATTAGATGGATATAATAGAAGAAATACAGGGGACAAAGTGAGACTGGATAAAGTGTATATACAAACAGAGGCGGAGGGGAGGGAGGGCACTGAATACGCCAATGTTGAGAAATTATGGAGTTACGAGAAACCCCATTCGCAAAATTCTGCACTACTTTACTTTAAATGCCATAAAGAGAATGAACATAGTAAGGAATGCATTCGTGAGCTTCCATACAAACATACACCAGTCAGTGGCGATGACTATTAGATTAAAAGAGAGTATTATTAAAAACACTTGAATAGAACCAGCTCTTCAAACGATTGTTAGTCTTTGAAATAACTATTCCCAATTTAGTATATTCATTTTATCTAAATGCTAGAGGTATGACGAATTTAATTTTTTGGTTACAGCTTGATTCCACACCGTATTTTTTTGGTACAGGTATGGAATTTTCAGCATGTGATATCGGTAGCCCAAATTTTGCAGGCCGACCATAGATATCGGGTGTGCGTCAGCAGGGGATCGAACCCCGGACCATGTGCATGGTCGGCGAGATACATATATATAAAATGGACCCACACGATAAACTCGGAGGATCTGGACTTCGCCGATGATATATGTCTGATTTCCCACAAACTGGAAGATATGCAAGTGAAAAGCAACAAGTTGGCAGAAGAAGCATCAAAGATAGCACTTCAGGTGAACATAGAGAAAACGGAGGTGATGAAGATTCCTGGCCAACATCAACAGCAACAACCCCAACAACAGACAACAATCAGCATAAATGGGGGCAACCTGAAAGAAACAACCTCTTTTACCTACCTACCTGGGAAGCATCGTTTGAACTACAGGCGGAACTGACGAGGATATTAAAGCAAGAATCGGAAAAGCAAGACAAGCTTTCACTACTCTCAAGTCTGTGTGGAGATCAACAACACTCAGCATGAAAAATAAGATCCGGATTTTCAAATCCAATGTGAAGTCAGTGCTACTCACTTTACGGATCAGAGACTTGGCGCGTCATAAAGAGCACCTCAAACAAACTACAGACATTCATCAACAACTGTCTTCGCTCATACTACCCAAGACCAGATGGCCGGACAGAAAACATCAGCAACAGGGAGGGATCTCTGGGAGCGAACCAATCCAGCAGGAACCGATTGTGCAAAAAACAAGCAGAAAGAAATGGAGGTGGATTGGCCATACTCTGAGAAAACAAACCATCAAGTGACATCACAAGCCAGGCCATCGTTCGAGTGGAACCCGAATAGGAAGCGGAGAGTTAGTCGTCAGTGTGGGGGTGACATAGAGGTAGTCATGTGAAGGGGAGATGAAAGCAAGTGAGCAGACGTGGAATCAGGTGAAAACGTTGGCAGAGAACCGAACGCATTGGAGACGTGCAGATGAAGCCCTATGTTTCACTGGGAACTAAAGGAAACAATAATATATATATATATATAATATGAGATTTTGTAAGTTCTGGTTTAATATCACTTTGATAAAATTGCTGACAGCGTTAAATAGTGAAACGTCAGTAAACAGAACAATATCGTTTCGTTTTTTTCATTCATTGGGAAATACAAATTCTTTTTTTTAATAATGAATAATGGACTTTAGTTCATTAAGTACAACAACAACACGAAATAATGACAAGAGTATTGCAGATAGTATGTAATACTTACCTCTTCCATGTGCTTGAAACGCTTCATGACTTTGCCAGTTTCACAATTGATTAAGCATACACATTCACCTCCACAAGTGGCAACCACATGAGTTGTTTCATCTGGTCGCAGTGGATTTGGTTCGAAAAGACACCGCCATACTTTAGTTTCACTATCACCAGCATCATTATCTTTAGCATGACAACGAATAAAGTGTAATGGGTCATAGTCGATAGGAGTTGCATCAGAACGTGGACCACCAGCTGCTACTGAATTCACTGTATTGTAGGCATCGGATGAGAAAGGCGTGTCTGAGCAAAGATCCCGTAAGCTTCTTAAACAAAAAGATGCAGAATAAACATTAAGAAACTAGAACAATCTGTTTATTTTTGAAACCATGTCTATCTAACTAATTTGCATAGCATGCATACAATTTTGTTTAAAAAAGCAGGAAAACCCACTGTACATTTTCCCGCTACTTATTATATTCAGATAATGATGATATTAACATAAAAGGCTTATCAAAAATTAAAAATAATAGCCATGTTTAGCTAGCCCAACAAGCTGTCACAACACTCAATGCAATTCTGGATCCAGGTTCGACTCCCAGCCAACATACTCCTAAACCTCGTCTAGTAATTAGTAAGCCCATAAAAGAGGGAAGGTTGGGAGTGAGGCTGACAGCTCCACCCAGCAAGAAAACAACACAAGCCCTGTTGAGACTTAAAAGAGTAAAGCTTAAAGTCCTACGTCTCATCTGAAACGAGGACGAATGAAAAGAAATTATTGGATGCGTCGAATATGTTCCCGATCCACTTAAGAAGCATCGTAGCCAATATGCAACAAAACCTATGAAATATACTTTTGGACCTCCCTGTTGAAAAGTTTCTCGTCATCATTATACAAATGACCGTTATAGTGACAATCATGGTCGACAGTCAGTTCTTAGGATCGCAGTTCATTTCCATCAGCATCATGGGACGAAGTTTGTCTGTACCTTTTATAAAAACTGATAATACCTTATAGATTCAGATTTATTTTTCTTACTGAATCAGTAAGAAGCATCATCATCTGCCTATTCAGACAGTCCGTTTTTTGTCGCTTATGGTGTGGAGCATGCTACTGACAAGATTTTATCAGTAGTATGCAGATGAGAATCGATAGAAAGAGGCTAAAATTGAAATCAACATTTTAAGGCAGTGACTGTAAAGGTAGAACTGTTTATTCCTCAAACCTGGACATGAAGTAATCTTATTGGACAACTACTTGTTTCGTTGTTTGACCTCGTCAACCAATCAGAACAGTCTATTGTTCGATAACCTAGCCGACTTTTAATGTGGTTAAAAATGCATATGACACGTTTTTTCCTTAATAAAGAAGTTCGTAGCCAGTTCTCTCATCTTTCGCCGTTACAATGGGAGCTTGGAAAACACAAAAGACAATAGTGTAACAGACATTACCTGTGCATTCCCATAGACTTGCGTTTCTTTGGTCGTGGAGGAAGACCACCAGTTGCTCCACCTGAATCTTCACTAGTATCAAAATCAACTTTACCCGATCGGTACTGGTTAGCAGATCCTTTTTTGCCACTTGCCCCCGGTGTGTTAGCGTCAATATTAACTTCACCAAGTGGAACCATACCAGATCCAGACCAAGATTTATCCGCTGCAGAAGTACTGACTTGATCTGATTTCCGCGGCCGTCCTGATCCAGTACGCCTTCAAAATATAAGTAATATGTTAATTAATTGGTAGTTCTATTGAAAAATTTCAAATTCGTTTCAGCGAGTATACTCAAATATTACATCCGCAACTAATAGGATAGTGTAGAATGTGATTGTTTCTTACTTTATAGTATCTGTCAAACCGTTTCTACCTAGGCTGCTTATGGGTGGGTGGTGTTACAGACAATCGAATAATTCTTAATCAAAGTTTAATCCATGTTTACAATCGATCGATTCGGTTTCGTGACTTTATTGACATATCTCGTCTAGAAATCTACCAATTAAATGCTTTTGTCATTCAACTTAGCACACTACACGAGTTATACATCAAAGGAAGTAACGACTTTATAGACAATTAACTTTGTAGCAAATAGAATATCAACTAAAATTGGGCAGATTCCACAAATATTCAGGATCATTCAAACCTAGATGGCCAAGGTGAGGATAATGCCTGAACTAACTTCCTTTGGGTGCACAAATAAGACTTCTTAATGTGGATCCCAACGGCCTCAGTAATATTTAGTAAACGAACTCTTAAGGTGAAGTTAAGATTAGTTGGTGTGCGGTAAATGACTTTGAAAGCCCCGTTGACATCAGTCTTGTGTTATGTATCCACAAGATGAGATAGAATAGCGCTGCGAATAGATTTTGTTCGTCCTTTGCTTAACCGCTATGCAGGGTGATGTTCGGGAATTCGATAAGAAACACGCCTAATTGTACGGTCTATGTAACTGACTCACTCCACAGGAGCAGTTAAATTGGTAGATACACATGGAAGAGGCGAAATAAGCAGTTTATCTTTTACTCCCGAACGCAAAATAGGTCTGGTGTTGAAGACGCAGCATAATTCAGCAGCACTGAGTGCTCTTTTTACCTCATCCCCTGGGCGTTATGTTAATATCTCACTGATGTTATCTTCGAGGAACTGAAGTTATAAGAATAAGGCCTTTTTCGCAACTGTTGGTACCTTGAGCTGCCTTGATTTTAGATTCACATTCTTATCAATAAACTTTTCTGGATAACCATTTTCACTCAGCAACCGTTTAATATCATCAAGTTCCTCATTAAGACATTCATCCGAGCAGATTGCTCTTGCTCTGGGAACCAAGCACTTTATCAGATTGCATTTGTATTTCAAAGGCACGAAGCTGAAAATATAAGTATACTGACCCGTTGATGTTTTCCTTATGAACAGAAAAGAGGATAGCACAATAAGAAGTCGCAGGCTGGGACGAGACAACTGTCCAGTACATCCAGGTTCTTTATGGTTTTCTAACGGATGTCAGCTCATGATGAAACAATTGAAATTACTTCCATCTCAGTCGAAAACATACCTAGTCTAGGAAAAGACCACAGGTACACAGTTTACATGGCCATCAGTATGTCCCTTGGTGATCGACCGAATTCACGGAAGGGTTCACTAAAAACACCATATTTTGGCATGCGTATATCAGTAGTATGGAAATCAACATCCAAAAGTCTTTGAGACTTCACTTGTAGCCATTAGGTATCATCATAGTGTAGAAATCCACTTAGTCTAATTCACATTAATGATAAAAAATAAAGAGGCATACACATCTGGACAAAGCGCAATTCTTTTATACTTACTTTTTAGGAGTTACTTTTTGTCCCAAAGTGTCTTTCACAGCTTTTTTATATATCTCAGAAGCCATATAACCTTTTACATAGTCTTTATTACGCAGTTCACCGGGTAGAAATTCAGCCACCGGTCGACCACTAACACCACGTGGACGGACAACAGTCATAACAATTGAACGACCTTGTCGTAATGAACGTCCCAAGTGGAGTTGATAATTTGACAATCCATTATTTGTTAAGCCTAGTTGACAAGCACCATTCGGTGTAAGAAGTACTTGTTGTTGATGTAAACGACCCATTGCATCAACAAAAAATGTGGTTTGCAGTTGATTAGCATTTTGAGCTAATAATTGTAAATCAGGCAGATGTGTACCTAATAACTCATCTGCAGCATCGAACAATGCACATTCATCTAGAATAGAAAAATGGAGAAAAATGAACGAGAAATAATATGACTGCTATTATCTGACAATACCGATTACGCTATGTAAAAAAGTGAAGAAATTTATCTCGTTCGACATCAACAACTGGAGTAATGACCGTACAGTAGGCTAATTACTGAAAATAAATTCACTAATTTCAATTGAACAATGGAAAAACCCAACGACCAAATTCGGGTCTATGCAGTTGGCAATGAACCACACTTATGATGTGAGGGTTAGTAATACCAACCTGGCTGATCAAACCTCAGTAGATGGGACATGGTTTGAACCTGTGACTCACTTGGATGGAAGTCGAGCACGTAGACCAGTGAGCAATAGCTCCATAAACTTAACAGATGGTCCGAAACTCCTAAAGGCACGTTCACAGAACAAGTCTAAACATCGGACGACTTGGAATAATCAATTATCAAACAAATATACCACAGTCTGAACAATGAAAACATTAGTGAATTTTTGGAAATGTGTCTGAGAAGCATCAAACTGAGTATTTCTCTAAAATCTAATCCCGATAAGTTTGAAAATTGCTGTTGTGAATCTATAAAAATTACGGCTACACTGATCTTTCCATTTCTACACTACTTGGTAATTCGGTTAATATCAGAGTCTTTTGAACATCTTGAGCTGCAATCTGCGAATGTTCGGCATGCGATTCGCTCCCGCCAAATGTAAGATGGTGATGCAGGACTGGACTACGTTGACTCCTAGGAGTGAAGTGGTGGCTGAGCGTGTCGACCAATTTACTTATTTCACAAGTTGCATCAGCCAACGTTACCGGGGTGATCACTGACGAAATCTCACCATGGATACAGAAGGCTCGTTTCGCATATGCCACTTTACGCCGTCTCTGGCGTAGACGCGATATCCGGCTGGCTATCGACCAAAGGGTGTGTGTACTGCTCACCAGTCCACCCCGTCCTCCTTTATAGCTGGTTGTGAGACCTGGCCATTGAGAGTGGGAGATATGAAAAGGCTAGCTGTCTTTGATCACAGGTGTCTGCGTTCTATCTCCCGTGTGTGTTAGGTGGTATAATAGGGTAAACAATATTGAGGTGAGGCATCGGTCGAGTGCTACGTGAGGAGGGAGGAGAAATCAATAGACGAAGCTTTGAAGTTACGTCGACTGAGTTGCATGGAGAAGACATGTGTTACGCATGCATACCAGCGAGCTATCGCCTTCCTCAACAATGGGAAATGTTAGCTGCTGACATAGGGTCAGGTTGGAAAAGAGCCATTGGTGGTCAAAGTAAAACATGGTGTCATCACTCAATGAAATCCACAACAGTTAGTTTAAGCCAGCCAGCCACGTAGGAAGGTGTAGACTGGCTTCTTGGTTGGGGTCCTTGGGACGGTAGAAACCAATGATGGCTGGAGGCAATTGGTAATATGGCTCAAAATCGTTCTCAATGGCTAGCGCACATGCATCCACTCTTTGTGACTTATAATACCCAACAAAACTATGTTGTTCTCCGATATTACTATTCTTTTTGTCTCATATCCCTGTGTACTGTCTATATTTTACATTTCTTCCACTTTCTTCTCTTGCTTTATGTGCTACATGGAGGGAGTGTGGCGACTCGAACTGCTGCACATCGGTGCAAATTTCTATGTTGAAACCAGCCAGGCATATCAGGTATCAGAAATGTAGATACCATCGCAAACACAACAAATACGCCTACAAAAAAACAAGTTCATTTCATATGAATTTAAGTTATATTAGTTTTTGTCTATGATTTAATGTAACACAAGATAAATACACGAGGCATTTTAGGCCCACCGCGACTATCCCCCTAGAGGTTTGCGCGATGAGATAATACTGACTACAGGATAAATATGTAAAGTAGTTTATTTATGTTACGATTTTTATTAACAGCTGAGAGCTTTTCTAAAATCTATCAAGACCAAGGCTGTTGATCTATGGGAGACGGGGTGGGAGGGAATCCGAGTGGGTGGGACCAATGCACACCAATCAGTAATCAGATTATTAAAATAAAAGACTATATAGTCAATTTCGTTAGCTTAGATTTGAACCTATTAAATGTTGCGATCAGAATACACTGTGAGGTAAAAGGATATATTTATTTTTGATTTTTGATTATAGTTTGTTTCCACACCGTATTTTTGATACAAGTATGGAATTTCCAGCATGTGATATCGATAGCCCAAATTTTGCATGCCGACCATAGATATCAGGTGTGCGGTGGCAGGAGATCGAACTCCGGACCATGTCCATGGTCGGCGAGAGTCCTAACCACTGTGCTACTGAAGTTTCAGCTGATATGTCTGAAGTAAACATAGAAGATATTTGAAAAAATAATAATAATTTTAAAAAATCGTAAATGAAACTAACTGGCAGCACGTGCAGCCGCTTCTTTTTCTTCTTCATCATCATCGTGTGTATCATCAGATTCTAAATCACATAGAGACAGTTTTGCATTCAAATGAAGCGAATCAACACTTTTATGTGGTGTAGTGGGAGCAGCAGCGGCAGCGGTGACTTTAGTAACAGTACAGTCACCTGAAGGAGTCAATTCACTATCAGCTATTCGTGAAGCTTCAGTTAAGGCATAATCTTCCTCAGAATGTCCATTCTCAGTAACAGAAGCGGTTGGCATATCCAGAGTATTATCAACGCCTGTTGTCAATTTATCATCTACAAGAGAATCGACTGCATTCAATAGTTCTGTATCCGAGGCATCATACAATTTCGACCGGAGTAATTCATCAATAGATCGAAAGAGCTGAAAGGAAATTAAGCGATTGGAAAAAATATTGTAGATGTGTAATTGAATATTCATAATAAAGATTGTTACAAAACTGTTGTATATTTGAAGCAAGACAGTATTATTACAAGGGGTTAAAACACTTGTAAATCGAGAATTAACCTAAGCACTCAAGTCACATTCATTCACGAAACTACTACATGAATATAGAACAGACTTAGTACAAAAGAGGTGTGTAGAGAGAATTATCTCATGTAGAGACGATAACTCATTGGTAACGTTTTGGATTTCAGGACAAAGTAATGTGGGGTTCGAGGGAAAAGAGCTCCCTCACGATTGAAGACAAGCCTTCTTGGCGAGTGCCAATATGCACGAAACCTACGTCCACAGCTTATGGTCCATTCCCTCCAACCATCTGATAACAACAATCCAGAGTGTGCGGTGAAGGTGAGCCACCCAGCATGGTGGCCATACTGCAAACTTGAATGACAGAATTCAGTCTGCAACATACGAAGGACTAAACGCATAACATCAATTACTGTGTAGTATGATTGAGGTGTTTTCGTGCATAGTATCGGAAACGTCACAACAGATATTCTAGTTGAGTAGAAAAATTGACAGAAACCCTTTTAAAAACAGCCAGATGTAGCATCCGATGTAATTACAGCATTCCTCTAAGCAAGCAGTACAAAATCAACTACCTAAGGAAATTCAAACCGTGACTGACGGCTTCCATTCTACCTTAGATGAAAGCGCCGTAAGTTTGATTTGTGAATTAGTTGTGTTCTCTGAGCTGGTTGATTAAATTGCGAATCTTTCGTCGCCCTTCTAGATAACTGCTGCTGCTGGATTCAACATAGAACTTGTCACTGAAGTGCAGCAGTTCGAGTTGCCACGTTCCAAATAGCACACAAATGTAGACAAGAAAATGAGTGAAGAGAATCAATAGAGTTTTGATAAGTATAAGAGTGAAACAGAATGAGTAATGGTAGAAAGGAGTATGAAAGATTACAGAGACTGAATACATCTGCGCCATTGACAACGATTTTGAGCCATGTCACCTATTGTCTCCAGCCATTGATTCTTAGAGTCCCGAGGGCCCCAACCTGGAAGTCTGCATCTCCCCACCTTCTAGATAACATCTTCAGCGCAGGTTTTAGTTTACCTCAATTTTACAGTAGACAGAAACTACATAAACCAAACATTCCTTTATGGTTAATCGTTTCACTAGCAGGAACACCAACATATAATCCATCCAAAGAACTTTTCAGAAAATTACAATACCTAACAGAATCATGTGACCATTCTATCAATTCGGCAATCCAGTTTTTAAAGGAAATCAAAAGCATTCACTTAGATGACAATTAAATGATGGTGTCTTTTGATGTCACAGCATTATATACTTTAATTGGTCCAAACCTAGCGAAAGAACCTATGTAACAACTACTCCAAAGCGATAAGAACACAAACACTTTCAGTTTAACTTGGATGGAACTCATGGGATTATGTCCTACAACATACTGCCAATTCAATACTCAAATATATGAACACCAATGGAATCGCCCATATCAGGACTAATAGCTGAAGCCGTCATGTAAAGATTAGGATTAAAGCTCTACCTATAATCAAACCAAAAATCTGGGTACGCTACTTTAATGATACACTTTTAATACTTAAAAGAAATGATTTGCAAGTATACCCACAAATTAATAAACAACATATCTGAAGACATCAAATTCACAAGAGAAGAAGAATTAGATAACATAATTCCATTCTTCTTAGATGTCTTAATCAAGAGAACTAACACAGGAAATTTAGAAACACAAGTAAATAGAAAATCAACGTACACAGACCAAATACTCAACTATGGTAGTAATAACCCGATGAACCACAAAAAAAACTGTGTGCAGACATTGTTTAAAAGAATTCAAACACACTGTAGCATTCGTGTGTTGAAGAGAATGGAGGAAACATACCACCTACTAAACGTCTTCAAAAAGAATGGATATCCTCACAATTTCATCAAAAAGTGCTTAAACTCAACTCGTAACACCAACACGAAACCATCATCAAAGACGACAAGAAAATTCACTCTGTAATACATAAAGAATATCTCTGAAATAACGACTAGAATATTAAGACCGTTTGAAATAGATACATCACACAAGCCAGGCAGCCAGCACAACCACTTCATTCGATATTGTGCGAACCGAAAGATCCAGCAGAAAAAGAAGATAAAACTGATACCATTTGCAAAATAAATTGTATGAACTGTAACAGACATTACATCGACCAAAGTGGGCGTCTTCTTCGAATCACAATCCAGGAACACAAATTGGCTGTAAAGAGACATGATATATGTTCTTTCATATCAATGCGTGTAGATAATTACGGACACCAATTTGATTGGGAGAATGTCGAAATTTTAAATAGAGGAAACACCAAAAATGCAGTCAGGGAATTTCTAAAAGCCTGGTACTCAAGTGAATCAGCCGGCGATTAACAAACATTATAGACCAAATTTACCACCAGCTAATAAAAAGTAAATCACATGACACGAAAGTTCGAATTCCAAATCAATAGAAAATGATCAATACAGACGTAAAATAACAACCAATCACGCTAGTGGTCGCCAGGAGATGCAATTACATCATCGCTCATGGAGAAATTAAATAAGTTCATTTTATATGAAAACCTGCGCTGAAAGGTGATGTTGTCTAGAAGGACGACGAAAGCTTCACAATTAAATCAACTAGCTCAGAGAGCACAATTAATTCAATTCAATCATCCACCTGAGCTACAAATCTTCTCCATTATTTCAAGTTTGATTTGTGATAGCGTATATCCTCTCCCACCCAGTATTCGATCAAAGAAACGATGGCGTTAACAGGAATGGAGAATGACCACTAGTAGTATTGATTCTCTAATTACTGTCTAGGTAAACATATTACTTAAAAGTGTAATGACAACCTTTTGAGAAGGATAACATATACAAAAGTCAGCAACACAGGAAACTTCTAACCGATACAATAAACAGCTAAGACTATATTATACGTATGTATAGAACAAAACTATACTACTTTCTAGTAAGAAGTAGCTATATTAAAACCACTAAATTTCAATCTTCTGGTCTTTTATGAGAAGCAAACAAAAGCTATTGGGAATCGATTCATCGACTTTTTCCTACATCTAGCGCTGAAAAGTAACATCAGTATATGTATATATATTTGTTTCTGTGGGCGTCTATACGACTTCAGATTACTGATGTATAAAATTTTAACAAATATGTCAATAGTAAAAGCATAAATGCTTAAATCTCTCAGTGATGCAATAACTGCTATTTTAATTGTTAGACTATCAGAAACGCCTATTGACTAAAGCAAAAACAAAGAAATAATGAAAGCAACATTAAGGGTTGTTAGGAATGCAAACGGTAGAAGTGATTTGTATTTTGTTGTTGAATTTTTTCGTAATGTTAAACATTGAAACGACAATAAAAAATTCAAAGTTATTATTATTCAACAACACATCTCCACTTTGGTCTATTTTCTGCTGTCCTCTTCAGCTGGTTAGCTCCACGTTTGTAACTTGTTGGAAATGCTTTTCGTGGCACGCAGTGCAAGTTTCTCACCCGTACAGAAGAACTGACTCACCTGACACTTGTATTGAAAATACGAATCTTGTTGTTTACGCTGAGGCGGAGTGCAGAAGATTTCCAAACTGGTTTCATGGTGATGAAGGCGTATCTTGCCTTTCCGATTCTGACTGGCCTGCTTTGACATCTTCATCCGTTTCGCCCGCCTGTGGTTGAGAAACGATGCTAGCTACCTAGATAAGTGAAGGAAGTGACCTCAGTCAAATCTCTCCCGTTGATGGTGATTGGCGCCGGTTGTTGTTGTTGCTGTTGGTTGGTGGGTATCATCATCATCACCTCCGTCTTCTTTATATTCACCTTGAGTCCTGTCTTCGCTGCCTGTCTCTTCAGGCAGTTTGTTGGTTTTCGCCTGCCTGCAAGTCTTTGAGTTTGTGTGACATTAAACGTAAATCATCCTCACGTGAAATCCACATCTCCTAGAGTCTTCTCATCGGTCCATAGGATTCCTGTCTCCTTACTCATACAAACTTATAACAAACGTTTATATTACTATACTCAAAAGGAAAAACACAATCCAACTTACTAATAAATCTTTGTACTTATTTAAAGCTTCACTGAGTAAAACATTCCGTTCCCTTATATGCTGAATCATGTTTCCAATTAACGTCATGCGTTCTTCACGATTTTTTACAAAGGGATATCGATCAGCAAAGTCAGTTTCCCATTTGGAACGTATCTAACATGGTGAACAGGAAAACATGGTAACAGTGCTAATAACGGTAGTAATATAGTTGAAAATGCAGATCTATTCATACTTATGAAATAATGATTACACATTATCTAATTGTTTTAAGGTTTCTGTAGAGATTGGATTGGTTTCCTGGGGTAGGGGGTGGCTGGGTGGCTGCTAGCTCCATGCCCTATCTTCCCTCAAATGTCATGACATATCTGGAAGAATTAAATGTAGAATAAATGCCGCTTTCATACGAATTTATTCAGTTGCGAGACAGTTCAGGGTTAACAGGTCCCCGTCTTATCTTACCTCCTACCGCAAATACCAATTTAAATGTACGTGCCAAGGCACACACGCATCAGACGAGCAGACAGAAAGATTTGTGACCAGATATCTGAACACATTCCAAGAAGCTTGAGTTTAAAAGGTGAAAAGGGATAGTAGTGGCATTGCTCACCAGCTATGAGACAGTAGTCATGAAATTGATGCATTAAAATCTTTTAAGATAATTAAATTCACAAGACAGTTAAAGACAGATTTATTCATCCAAAAGGAAAACGTTGTTAATCTTTCTTTGTCTTGGTAAATATACCTTACGTGATTTAATAGTTTTCCTCAATTTTGTCATCATAATTATAATTTGTTCTGGCAATGTAATTTCCTACTTATATTCTTGATCAGATCCTTTTCTAACCTCTCTTCAATTAAAATTATTTGACCCTTACATAAGTGTATTTTTGATTTTACACCTCTATTCTATTTGTAACAGCTTTTTGTAGTTCTAGAGGATTTCTTAATTATATATATATATATATATATAACGAGCTTAACAATGAAGAAATTTGTACAGAAGTGCAGTATTTCGGGTTGCCACACTCCATGTGTAGCATACAAATGAAGATGGATACAGAAAAAAAGATATTTGAACTAACAATAATAAGAAGAAATATGAGAGAGAAAGAATAGTAACAGATAGAAAAATAGTAAGGTTTAATGGGTATGGGAGGTCACAAAGAGTGAATGTATCTGTGCTATTTGGAATGATTTTGATCTGTATCATTAATAGTCTCTAGCCACTGATTCTCACCATCCCGAGGACTGAAACCAGGAGGTCTACACCTTCCCATGTGTCTTAAACTATCTGTTAAGCATTTCATGAACACATGCCCTAACCATCTCAGTCAATGTAACTGTATAACCTCGCCAACTAATTCCCCCTCCTTACCTAATACTCGACACGACTGACTGATTGGTTTCAACGTAGAACTTTGCACAGATGTGCAGAGCTGTTCGAGTCGCTACAATCCATGTTGCACAAAAAGCAGGAGAGGAGAGTAAAAAGAGATTCAAAAGAGAGATAATAAACAGAAATGAGAGGCAAAAGGAATAACAATAATATGGAAGAACAATAGAATTTTATTTTATATGAGAGATCACAGAGAGTGAATGAAACTGCACCAGCCATTGAGAACGATTTTGAGCCATATCACCAATTGCCTCCAGCCGTCATTGGTTCTTACCATCTCGAGGACCCCAACCAAGAAACCAGTCTACACCTTCCTACGTGGCTAGCTGGCTTAAACTAACTGTTGTGGATTTCATTGACTGGTGGCACAGCGGCTAGGACTCTCGTCGACCATGCCGATGGTCCGGGGTTTGATCCCCTGCCGACGTACACCTGATATCAATGGTCGGTCTGAAAAATTTGGGCTACCGATATCATATACCGGAAATTCAATACCTGTAGCGAAAGCACGGTGTGGAATCAAGCTATGATAAAGATAAAATAAAATGAGGCCACGTTTTGGTTTGACCACCAATGGCTCTTTTCCAACCTGACCCTATGTCAGCTATCTTATGCTGTCCATTGTCGACGAAGGCGATGGCTCGCTGGTATGCACGCGTAACACATGCGCTAACCATGTCAATCGATGCAGCTGCTTCACAACCTCGTCGATTGATTTCCCCTCCCTCCTCACCTAGTACTCGACCGATGCCTAACCTCAATATTTTTCACCCTGTTATGCCACCACTTCACACGGGAGATAGAACGCAGACACCTATGATCAAAGACAGCTAGCCGGCCTTTTCATGTCTTCTACTTTCAATGGCCATGTCTCACAGTCAGCCATAAAGGAGTACGGCGCGGACTGGTGAGCAGTATACGCGCCCTTTTTTCGATAACCAGCCGGATATGACGTCTACGCCAGAGACGGCGCAAAGTGGCATATGTGTCCGTGGTGAGATATCGTCAGCGGTCAACCCGCTAGCGTTGGCTGATGCAGCTTCCCAAATAAGCGAAGTGGTCAACACGCTCAGCCACCATTCCACTCCCTATCTTCGCATTATGCTACTTAATCACGTGATATCAATTAATATCCATCACTTTTATGGTCAATAACTGGAGTATTTGAATATTTTGTACATTGATATTAAATGATGCATGGTTGTGCGTAGTTGATAAGAACTAATAAGATATAATAACGCCATTTTATGCTGCACAAAATGTCCTTATTTTTGTTCAAAGTTCACTTAGTTTAGTTAGTTCAATTTATGTGATCAGACGATGATTTCTTCGGATGTTATCATGCTTTAATAGCAATAATTAATACTTAATATATTAATATGAACAATAATAATAATAACAATAAACGGTATACAATAAAAGTACTCACAATCGGTTCCATCAATGATCTGGCTTCTTGTATAATACGAATAGTGAAATCATTAAGCGCCTCTTCAAAGTATATACCGTTAATATATTTAAGTTTTGGACAAAAATAGACCAGCATTTGAGGATTTAATAGCTACATTGAAATACAAGAATAAATGGGTGAATGAATGGCAATAGAGATACAGTTAACTACATATCATATTCTATAATGCATAATAAGAAAATAAGTGTGAATCCTACGGCTTCTTCTATTCAAAGTTCCAGTAGTAGTGGTTTTGCTCTTACAACGGGATGATGTTGCTAGCCTCATGCTCAGTTGTCCCTCTTTGCCGAGCTTATTGCCAGCAGTTAGGTGAGGTATAGAAGTCAGTTGGCAAGTGAGTCCAAACCGGACCTTCCATGTGACTTCCACCTGCGCAGACACCAGGAAGCCTAACCGCTAAACCATGTGGGACAGTGTATTAGACAGGGGATTGTACGTAAATATGGAAAGTATAATTTGTTTGCTTTACGAAATTCTCGTTGGGACGGCTGAATTCTATTCTAACTCAATATTTTATTTAGCTCGAAATAATCAACACGTGGACAGTTTCTTTCCTCCATTTTTTGTTGTTGACACAAATGCTTGTCAAATACAATGAAAGTACTCACAGTCAAGTAATGGTGATAAATTTCGGTATAGAGAGCTTTTTAAACAACTAGTTAATACTGATGGTTCAGTCAGGCTGTAGAAAGAGATTCCAGTAACTTGTATTTAATCGTCTTCGAATTTAATTTGATTTGTACAAAAACAGATTTATAATAGAGTTTATGCTGTAATCTGCTGTCTCACTTGAAAAGTGTTTGCATCTGAAATTTATAGTGGTCATGCGTGAAGTTGATTTTAAATGTTGTGACAAAGGAAAGGGTGACATTATTGAAAAAGAAATTTAGAATAACGTATAGCATTTCTGTGTCTTTTGAAAATAATAACTAAGTATAGGCTTTGGAATGATGTAGATCAAAAGTGTAAATTTTTAAAGCTAGTTTGACCAATAGACATTCATGCGAAATACCATGTGGTATCTCCCCACGACAGTTTCATTTATTCCAAATATTCGGTCACATCATTTTTCATTGTAGAGAACTTTGATGAATTGATAACTTCTTTGGATATCTTTTTTCTCTAATGAATATTCTTCAAGAAAGTCAACAAAATTTAGATTGTGAATACACGATATCATGGAGGATTTCATCATGAGCAGACATCAGTTAGGGAACCACTGGAAAGTCTGGAAGTACTGGACAGCTGTTTCGTCCTAGTTTGGGTGCGTATTGATGAAGAGTCCCAAAATAGGACGAAACATCTGTCCAGCACTCCCAGACTTTCCAGTGGTTCTCTAACTGATGCCAGCTCATGATGAAATCCTCCATGTAATCAAACAAAGTCCCTACAAAACCAATACTTGAAAACACGATATCATTTAATTTCCTTGGTATGTTAAATACACTTAAAACAAAACTACATGATGAATTAAGGAATATTAGTACTCAGGTGAAGTTAACACGATATACCTGGAATAATCGACAATTTTAGGGTGTTTTTTTATTCCTTCACGTTCCCAGTGGAACATAGAGCTTAAAGCTAGATGCTTGAAGTTTCTGTAGCAGTGTATACATTTTTACAGGGTGGGGTTGCCCAACCTTTCCTCTTCATCAGCTTTATTTCTGGCTTAGCGAGGTAAAGGAGTGCGCCGGCCGGGGATCGAACCCCGGACCATGTGTATGGTCGGCGAGTGTCCTAACCGCTATGTTGAAGGTGCAAAATTGTGTCTAGTTTAACAACTCAATAGATATTTCAGAGTTTATAGAAATTATTTATGAAGTGATAACCAATATTTAGTCACAAGTGTTGGTTAAAATCTGTCTCTCAGGTGAGTGGTATGATCAATTAGCTGAGGGATATAACACATTTTTGAAGTATGTCATACGGTAATTTGAAGTTAGATGTTTTAGGGGAGGTAATTAGAGGGCAGACACATACAGTCTGGACACCCAGATAGTTTGTATAACTCAGTGACCAAAGTAGTCCTTAAAAGATAACGCTTAATCTAAACAAGAGTCAGTGGCACAGAGGTAGGATGCTCGCCAACCAAGCAGGTGGTTCGGGGTTCGATCCCCAACCGAAGCACTCCTTTACCTCGCCAAGCCAGTAATAAGATTGGTAAAGGGGAAAGGTTGGATATGGGGCTAGCAACCCCATCCCGTAAAAATAAAATACCACTGCTACCGAAACTTCAAGGCTCCAGGTTGAAGCCCTATGTTCCACTGTGAACGTGAAGGAATAAAAAAATCAGGACTTTGTACTACCTATGTTGTTATGTATATAGATTTTGTACAATACAATCATTTTATATCTTCGTTCACAAAAAAATAAGCTGAATAATATGATGTCTTGTCTGGCCTACAACAAACCACGCTTGTTGTCACCAATGAGATCTTGAGTAAATTAATTGCAGAATACCTTGATACATCTGGACATTCGGCAACGGTTTCCATTTAGTTTTTCATACTGAAGTGAATTTCGAGAGAAAATACTTAAGCAAAATTAACTTGATAATATTTTTAAAAATGTCTGCTTACAAAATATGCACTTTGGGGGTGGGGGACAATTACGGTTCTCAGTAGAATTAATTTGGTAGGAACACTCCTATTTATGAATCATTTACTTAAACTGAGATTGTTTGTTTAGAAATATTCTCATGTATATATCCTATGAAGGACAAATAGAATAAAACATCATTTAAAATCTATTAATAATTAAATAATTAACATACTTGTTTTAAATTCTCATCCAAATTCAATCGAATCAGTTTAGGAAATTGTTCAATTAGGGGTACATGTATAAATCTATTCCCTGTAATACTCAGTTTAGTTAACTGAGGTAAATGTAAACGCCTGGGGAATACACGCAGTGCATTTTCTGATAGATCCAGTTCACGGAGATTCACACATTTAGCTAAATGAGTAGCATTAATGCTTGTATATCCGGAAGCAGGAACCGAAAGGATACGAATAGAATCCAAACTTTTTGCTTTAGTCAGATAGAGGATCTCATCTTCATCTAGCGGTCGATCATCCTCTTCTACAGATAAACTTAAAGGACAGTTTGCTGTAAAGAGAAATCGATACAGACATATAAGTTAATGCATATATTTGGATAGATATATAAATATAGCTATGAAAATAGAGCACTTCAAGGTAGCCGACTACTTTGCAGCAAAATAAACAAAGTAAGTCTCTGGATTTATCAGAATTTATCTTTAAATAAAGTTTTCGTTAGCAGTGCTGTTCTACTTTACGAATGATATTTAACAGAGAGAAACTCAAGTTCAGCAATGTGGCTATTCAGTTCTAAGTCTGGTTACTATCGAATGGTCTGTCCCATCGAGGGTCATTAGTAATCGGCAGTTTTGAATTGCTTCAGGGTTACAGATAAGCCATGCGCATAAATCTAAGTCTAATCCCTCCCCTCTGACGACTGAGTCCTTTCCATATCGAACACTATTGCACAGACATGATGAGAAAGCCATACTCCGCTGAAAGTAATCAACAAACAAGCATGTAAGCAGCGAATGAAGATGGAGTAAAAGATCGGAAGTTACTACCATTAATCTAAGCAGATAAAATAAGAAAATACTATTATTCTTTGTTAAAACGTATTTCCTTGCAAACAAAAAATGAAGTTGCAAAGAGTGGAAGAGAGGATAGATAGTACTGGAGTTATTTGATTTCCAACCAAACATTCATAAAGAGTAATCATGAAAGCATTAATTCATAAGTAAAAACACAGTTTATTTTGTTCAGCGAAGAAATTTCTTTTCAACGACTTCATTTTCAAGCTGTACAGTTGTATTTATATTACAGAGAAGGTTATTAAGTGGCACTAAATAATTGATCAGTTGAAGTGGATAAATTACAAAATTATTATAACATTTTAATTACCGTTATTCTTATCACATATATGTATATTGACTGAGCAATTATTTAGTGCCACTTAATAACCTTTTCTGTAATATAAATACAACTGTACAGCTTGAAAATGAAGTCGTTGAAAAGAAATTTCTTCGCTGAACAAAAAAAACTGTGTTTTTACTTATGAATAAATGAGTATTTTTCGTGATTTAAAAGCATTAATTTCCAAAGAAATTCATAGTTTGCCGCCTTTGAATAAAGGAATTTGCGTGTAGAGTTAAAATGAGCTTATCTATAAGTTGCTACACTTTGGCGAGTTTACAGGAGGTCGGTTGGTTCATTCTGTGAAGTCAGAACAGTGATTACACCTTATTTTGGCTTATTCTTGAGGGTATTAATCCCTCACAATCACTTAGTGTCTAATTTTAATTAGTTTTATTACTTTGGTTTTTACTGACATTTTGTAAGCACTTATTAGGACCAATTCTGACGGACAATGATTTTGAGTCACCTATAAGAATGGATGAAATTATCTTCCTGATATGAAAGTGAATAATAAAATGTATGGGATTGTGATTATCGGAAAAACTGATGTAACAAATTGAGGCTAACATTTTAAAATTTGTGTCATCTAGACTTACCTAATTCGTTGTCAGTTCTAGGATCCACAATGGTAAACTGTGCACGACCCAATTCTTCTAGCTGGCTGTCGGACAATTGAGCGATAGCTTGACTGCCTCCCAAAAGCTGGACAAGTTCGTTGCTGTCTAGGCCGGAGTGACCGAGTTCATCATCGAAACCCATCATTCCGCCACACAAACCCACATTACCACCCACTGAATCAACGTAATACGGAAGACCAGCAGAGATACCGGTATAACCAGGAAGTCCAGGAAACATATCAGTGCCAGATGATCCCAGGGAATCACCACTCGGATAAGAGTCACCTTGTAACCGGATTTGCACAACATCACTCGATGACCCTAGAGAACTTCCAAGTCCATATTTACTACCAAGTCCACGAGTTGACCTGAAAATCATATCCGTATAAAAAACATTTGCACTATGACTGACGAATCCACTCTGAATAATGACACTGATACTGAATGAAAAGTTCTACACAAGAAAAATATTTCAAAGACACTGAGAACGGATTATCTATTAGTGTTAAACAGCACCTCTCGTAGCAAAATCTCCCTGCTCTAAATTGCTGTAAACTAGTAGTACGTTTTATTAGCAACATAATAAATACTACACTACTTAAATTAAAGAATCCGCAATATGTATGCGGAAAGTACCAGCGAAACAGGGCAAAAATAATAATTGCAATATCATAGAGTTTTCAAATAAGTCGATGATTATTACCTAATGTCCTATTTTTGAATTGTATTTTTTGTCGTGGTTCCACTTGGAGCTTTCACCCACGGAACCTGGATGCATTCTGACAGCTTAAATTGCATCTTAATCCACGACTGATAGGTTATACTTCAAATGCCAAAATTCAAGTGGAAAAAATAATGATTAGAATAACTTAGCGCCAGTCTTTGTCAGAGATGCGAATTTAAATGCACAGACTGAATAAAGGTTTTCTTGTATTTCCCAATCAATGAAAAACAAAACGTTTCGCTATTTAATGCTAATAGCTTTATCAAAGTATTATTAGACCAGAATTTACAAAATCTTAGCATATATATAACAACTTAATCATCCTTCCTCAGTATGGGGTCATTTTTCGTTGTGGAACATTGAGAAACGATGATTAAGTTGTAATATATATGCTGAGATTTTGTAAATTCTGGTTTAATAATACTTTGATAAAGCTATTAGCAGCATTAAATAGCGAAACGTCAGTAAAAAACAATATCGTTTTGTTTTTCATTCATTGGGAAATACAAGGAAACTTTTACTATAATGAATATGATATACCCAATACCCAATTTTTTTCAAACTGTTAAAAGTGAACTTGGTTTGGACATATATAGCACAGACTTCATTTTGTAATAGGTGCTAACACGTGGTGTGACAATTACATCATTATATCTCGATGGCTTTTGAGTGCTTGGATTTATTGAGTCACAAAATATGATTGCATCATTAGATATTTCAAATTGCCGACAACTAAATTCTTATTTGTCTTGTTTACAACCTGAAGTAAGAATATGTTGTTATTACTCAGTTGCATTGTATTTTCTTCATATTACACTAAAGTGTAGTGCTTAATTAGTATAAGATTTTCTACAACATTTGAAAGTTGAATGTCAGTTAATGACTGACTGGTTTCAACATAGAACTTTGCACAGATGTGCAGCAGTTCGAGTCGCCACACTCCATGTAGCATACAAAGCCAGAGAAAGTAAGAGGAAATGCAAAATAGAGATAGTAAACAGAGATTCGAGGCGTAAAGAATAGTAATGTCGAAGAACAATATAGTTTTATCGGGTATCATGTCACAAGGAGTGGATGCATCTGCGTCATTGGGAACGATGAATTTGAGTCATATCATCAGTTGTCTCCAGCTGTCATTGGTTCTTAACATCCCGAAGACCCCAACCAGTCAGGAAGTCTACACCTTCCTACGCGGCTGGCTGGCTTAAACTAACTGTTGTGGACTTCATTGACTGATGAGACCATGTTTTGGTTTAACCACCACTAGCTTTCTCTTTTCCAACCTGATCCATCCTGTCAGCTAGCTAATGTTGCCCATTGTCGAGGAAGGCTATGGATCGCTGGTATGCATGCGTAACACATCTCCTAAACATCCAACTCAGTCGATGTAATTTCACAGCCTCGTCTATTGATTTCCCCTTCCCTCCTCACCTAGCACTCGACCGATGCCTAACCTCAATATTGCTCACCTTATTATACCAATTCACACTATGGAGGTTTTCTCGGAGGGTTATAAAACCCTGGTCCGTAATAATGGTGCCCATGGGTCCTAGGACCCGAGATGAACAAATAGAAAAATTTGTATAAGTCATTGGGAACATAGCTTCTGAGGATAATATATCAGTGTGAAAAAGACTCGGGTAGTGGACCCTAGAGACAACCATCCGCTGCATTCTGGGCGTCCAGATATTATCTTGATGCTCACATAAACCACGGAGGAACAATTCGGTGGGGATCCCGAGTTAGCTACGTGTGCCTACAAATCATCACACTTATTATTCCGCGGACAAGGTATCGCAATTATCCAGCATAATACTGTTGCTGTTTTTACATATACGCTACTTCATTTTACTTCTATCAACTTCGAATTTGTTACTGTTGCTGTTGTTGTCGGCTGCTTATTGTTTGGTATCTAACTTTGCGTATACAGTTGCTTCCAGAAAGTTGGCCTCTAGTGCGATATCTCACACCTGTCTCATTCAGGAATACCACAGTGTTCGCATGTCGATGAACATGGGAGGTTTTGTCAAAAACGTTGGGGAGTCGTGATACTTATGTCTTTTTTATTAGTGACCAGCAAAAAGAGATACGCAAGTGAAGTGCTCCAAGTGACTTTATGCAACATTTTGCCTACTTACATGAAAGAACTTCCCAGCTTTATAAAGTTCGACAGCTCTACAATTTTTAATCCACAGACACTTTAAGATAATGGGAAGTATACAAAAATTTACTGCTTAACACTAAACAAATAATCATCTGCCATGTTAAGAACCAACTTTGCGTGAATACATACGGATACAGGAACGCATGCAAAAATTCTAAGAAATGAATGGAAATAGCAGAGGTTACTAAGTCAAATTCAGAGCTGCACTATGCTTGAAACAACAAAATGTATCGATATATATATAATGCTCATATGACCACATTTTTATATTAATTATTCGCACAAAACCTGCCAGAAAATTGTTGTGACTTCCCTCTGTTAAGTCCCAACAACATAAGTGAATTAAATAACTACGATATACAAAGAACCCTTAAAGATGGAAGTGCAAACTTCAAGGAAAACTCACCCCATAATGCCGTCCATCGGCGATGACCTGAAAATTTGAAGCACCGCCTAAGCCTTGAAAGGTAACAATGGGTTCAAGTTTCATTTTTGTACCTTTCTCCTGAAATTTTAGAAAGAGACGTTCCGTTATTTACTAACCATATAATCTTGATATCAAAAAGGTTTGAATACAGTTCAGCCATTATTAATGGACTGTTGGGAGGTAAAGAAAATATATTTGATTCTAATAATCATACACTGTTCCGAGTTATCTTCTACATCTTTTTGATGTGGAATTGGCTTGCAGCCACAAAAAATTATCTAAATTCATTGAGAAAATGGTATTACAAGAGGGATTTTTCAACCATTCTGATTTTCAAGCTGTAGAATCGCAGATGTAATTTTTTAAAAACTATATCTCAATGGAAGTTATGTGATAGATGTGAATGCTTATAATGACAATGTGAGTTACAGAAAGACAGTTTTGACTATAATCACAGTTAAGTCTTAAGAGCTGAAATCAGCTAGATGATACGTGCAATAATTCAAAGAATTATAGATCTTGGAAACAGGTAAACTAGTAATAGATGTAGTAGGCAAGTAAAACATTGCATAGCAAGTGTAGCGTTTTGGTATTACTGAGGCCAACACTGCGGAAAACGTACTTAATGAAACTAATGAAGCTGGTGACATCATGCTTTAGATCAGCAAGTTGCAAACAACTTTCTCTTCAGTTGCAGCGTGTGTGAGAGAATATACAGATATATGGTATGCTTTCGTGTGCTCAGTGTGCAAGAGTCGCGTCTTGGAAATATGGTGCAGCTCTCACAGAATTTAGGCGCAACTGAATAATATGGCACGCTCATCTGGAGGATATTATTGTTAACGTGTTAACTGGATAATACATAGACTGCTAATTTGTGAATGTACGTTCTGAGACTGTATCAGAGGGAGTAGGTAAATTTTAATTTTAATTTTTTAGGAGATGTGGCTCGTTGAATTAAGCCAATGGATTTTGGCTAATGGGGTCTGGATTCCATTCGCGTCCCACGTTTTTAATCTTCGCAGCAATTAGTATGATTTCTAGCCAAGTGCTAGAAGAATCTGATCCGGGTATCTGAGTTTCAACTGATCTTAACTGACATGGTATTCTCTTCTGATTTCGGCTTTTTGTGCTGGCATTGAAACATTCTTTAATTCACACATCCAAGGTCTTCGTCATATTGGTTTGCCTATTAGTTCTCTAATCGACTTCTCAGACGTACGAAATGGCCTAATTCTTTACCTCTGATCTTTCCAATCTAAGTGACGATGACCTGTTATGCCTTTGGTAGTGCTACATGCCTGATTTCTCCCGATGAATGTTTATGTGTCACTACTGCTACTACTACTGCTATCTGACTGCCTTGTTGTCTGAATTTTGGCTACTGTGACAGTACAACATTACTACATTTGTAGGAAAAAATATGTACCTTATTATATTATCATTACTAACTATACTTACTAATCGTTTGTGTAATTTATCAAATTCATGATGCCTGTAAACTAGCGTCCCTCATGTACAAAAATGAAAATATATTATTATTACTACCACTCCTCTTCTGCTTGCGTACTAGATTTATTTTGTACTTAGTATGGAGATTACCTCATAATTCAATTATAAAACTGTACATTTTCTTAATGGTCACTGTCTGATTACGTAAAGCCATTTAAATGCCAGCAGACACAGAAAATCATGCTATGCCACTTGCTGAATTCCCTTCTAAAAGCTATTCCGTTTTCTCTTAGAGCATTTATATTCCACCCCAATTTTCGCCCAAAGTTGCACTCTAAAATTACAAAACTGTGACTGGAACCCAACCAATCATTATTAGAAAAAACTAGACAACCTCCTAGCAATTTCAGAACCAGCCCTGTGATCACTGCCACCGCCAGTTAGAAGGTGTTGTGTGCGGCAATATCAGCAGATCTAGTAATCTATTTTCTGTTGTTTTACATTTCAGGTGGGGGTGAGAAGATAGTCGGTTACTTAGTACTTGCGGTACACGACGTATTTGCAACTTTTTGAAAGGAATGAGTTATCATTTCCAGGATTAATCTATCATATTATTTAGGTTAAACTGGCCAATTAATTAAATTATGACAGAAGTCCCTGTCAGCAGACGGCAACTGACAAACTTGATATATGTTTAGGTAAATATCAGGTCCCTGGTGAATGCTGACGAGTAATTACAGGCTAGTAAAGAAAGTTAAGTGTTGAAATGAAAATGAGGCAGATATTTTCCTGGGCTTCACAAAGATTATTAACGGATATCAAGGCGTCGATTGTTTTATTCGTGAGCGAGAAGTATTGCAAAATCCCAATTGTAAACCCAATAATCTTAGGTGTTTTCAAAGAACTCAAATCTATCAATCTCTGTGATTCAACCATCAGTGATTTTTGATTTGCTACGCTTATGAAACCATTTCTAACGTAACCAACACACAAAAAACCAAACGAAGGCATAGAGTCCTACATGATATCAGGGTATGTGCCCAACTAATACTGCAACCGAATTGTTTAGCAGAATAATTCTTTCAAATGCCCCGTGGTCGTCGCGACTTTACTTGGCAATGCAAAAGGAATTAGTGCATGTGAAAAAGCTTGGAGACTATCATGCTGTGGGTGCAAAAATTGTAATAGATAGATATATGGGAACTTACATTCCTTCTCCTTCACAAAATGTGCGAAGTGTGGAGATTTTTTCAAGAGAGTGGCCTTTTGATCATTACAGGATGGTCGTGGTATCCCACAACATAATTGTAGTAATTCCTCTTCATTTGTCTGTATTCGCATGACCAATATATAAGTTAGCCAGCACCACATAGTGTTTTCGGCGATCGGAAAACCAGTCTTATGGTTTAATATCTGCTTTGTGTAAATAGGGAAATATAGTTGAAAGAAATAACCACCGGGATTTAAACAAATTGAATTACGTTGCCACCGAAACAAGGATGGTCTCAAGAAGTTAGTATCTACTTTCTTATTGACTAAAAAGTTGGTGAATAATTCTGACTTCTGTTGCTTCACACATGACAAGTACTTAGTGAGGTGTAGTTATGCTTTTGAGTTTGATTGCATGGGTATAAAGTATTATGAAATTCCTTATGTTTCCCCTAAGTTGTTGGAAGTAGAAGCTGTTACTTTTAAAGAATGTTCGCTTTTCAAAAATACGACTTTAATCAGTTTCTCACACAGACTTAAATGCCTATCAACTGGTGTCAGTTAGGTTATCGGAGCCGCAGCCCACTTTACAGCCCTCAGGCTATCACACATAGACACTGCCTGATATTCTATTAGAAGGCAAAAGGACACTTTGAAGAAGTCTGGGCGGGATGTAAGAATATGAAGAATTAAAGTATGAATGCTGAGTTGTAATTTTGAGTCTCAGTATCCTTATGTACTGCGCTAAATGAACGATTTTCGGAGATCCGTTTGATCTATGATTATCTATTGTCTCACTGCATTATCTTACTAGCAGAAATGTTTATTGAGATTACTGCTTGGTTTAAACATAGTGAATCCGCACGACGAAGCCCAGAGCATAATCTTCACGCAATAACTACGTAGCATATATATGGGTGGGTAGTCTTTGGAGTTGCCTGAAGGTGATAACAAAAGGTGTCTCAGAGACATATGTGTTAAAAGATGAACACTGATGAAACCCGGATGACAGATGAGTGGTGATGATAAGGCTACCCAATGGGATACATGCAAATGGAATACAAACACCGTATTGTTGTTATCGTTATTCGGTCCCAGAGTTCTAAGTGAGATACATATCTTCAGTAGCACATCTCTATTTCAGTCGTTCCCTTGATGTCATTTTCATCTGGCCCTACCAATGAATACAAAGTTTAACTGCCTTATCATCGGATGATCTTTATGTCCCCTTTTGATGCTTAGCTCTCCGGTTTTCATGTGGTTCCGCTCGACATCTGGCATGCTACGTTACTGAAATATGTCCATGGTGTATGTCCAGGCCACTCCCATTCTCTTCATCATATTTGTTGGAAAGTCTGTTGTTGGCTGTCTCACCAACGGGGTTCGCTGTCGCCTACGATTTTCAGCCCCCCATTTGATCTTCAGCATCTAGAGAAGGTAGGTGTTGATTAAAGTCTACGGACTGATTGAATTGCACTCCTTCACTCCCGACGTAGGAGTACTGAATTGGTATTTATGTTAAAATTGCTTGTGCCAAGTGCTACATATTTGAATATTAATTTCAGAATAATGGACGTCTTTCTTGCTTTACGGACTCTGTGTGTCTCCGAAAACCTCGTTCGGGCAGCCTGTAGTTTATGTGCGTCGGTGGCACAGTGGTTAGGACTCTCGCCGACCATGCACATGGTCCGGGGTTCGGTCCCCTGCCGACGCACACCCGATATCTATGGTCGGCCTGCAAAATTTGGGCTACCGATATCCATGCTGAAAATTCCATACTTGTACTGAAAATACGTTGTGGCATCAAGCTGTAATCAAAAATATAAAAATATAAAATATAAATATACGACTCTCCGAGTAAGGTAAGTGATTTCTGACATTGACGGTGATTGTTATGTGACAGAACACTACTTAACAACTAGAATTTAATTATGGATGTTTCATTGTAAAAAGAAAACAATGTATTCAATGACTTTATCACATTAGTTTTATTGAACATTGAATGACTAAAAAGAAAAAGGCTTTTCTTCTGATTTATGGCATTTTGAAACTCCGATGCAATGGATTTCTCATACCTATTCCGATTTTTAATTGTTTGGCCACGTAAAGTAGAGAACTAATCATATATTAGTGTGGGTTGTTTGAAGTTGACCTGGGATTCATTTCCGCCAAGTTGCCAGTGTTTTTAACTGACCAAAAATTGTTGATTAAATGAAGCTGGGTAAGTGTTACATCGCCGTGTTGTCATCTCTTTATTCGCCCACAGTTCTTTTAGTTTTTCTATTATATACGATATTATGTTCATAGTTTTCCTTGTAATGTTCGACATTACCCTGGAGTATCGAACCATAATCAAAGGCTGTATGTTTAGTCAAATTAATGCATCACTAAGTATTCGGATCTCAAAATAAGGTCATGGTGTAGTCATCACTAGTAAAAATACCAGAGTGATATGTGATGCTGCTTCTGTGGGAGGTAGATCAATCATCTGTATTGTAGACCGAAAGTCTAGAACTTGGGAGCTCAGTATGTGCTAACTGGTTTGACTGCATTCTGTTAATTGTGTCAAACAACTGACAATTACGGTATCCCTTTTCTAGTCGTATTTACGGGTTCCTATTTCCATGTCTTAAATGTGTATTAATCGTGTAAATCTTCAGGTAGTACTGGATTGCATTAGTCAACTTATTGCCTTTGGAAGGTGCAGCCCTCAGTATATTAAAGTGAACCAGTCCTCCTGCCACTGCATAAGTTCTCTGGTTGTAACACTGATATGATATTGTTGTTAGCGTCTGTGATTGTATCCTTAAACTTCGACTTTCAGTATTAGTCCGTCAAGCCTACTAAAGTGTTGGCAGTTTATGAATAGGCATAGAATAGCCTATTAGTTGGTTTCCTATGAGCAAGAATCAAACCAACATATTTGTTCCAACTATTTCCATCATACAAGTTCAGGAATACTGTAAATTTTGAGTGGTAATTGTAAACTGTGTTTCCCCACTTGGAACTAAAATGCGTACCTTTCCTATTATCCTCATGGTTATTTTGTAACCACTCCGTATCTTCATGTTGGTTATATCTCGTCACCTGCAGTTATAAAAATTCAACCAGTAATAATTAATTAGCTGTGTTCCTTTGTTGTGGTTATTGCTACGACTTCGTCGTTGCGTTATCATAGATTGTGGTTAAATGTCCCGAGATGTGGAACATAGGTCAGAGTAGGAATTATTCTCATATTGCACATTCGCTTCCTTTAGCATGAAAATTACTAGTGGCTATTGCACACATGGATGTTATTATTGGGAAAGACCATTGTTCTTTGTGACTATGGTTCGTTAAACTGATCAAGTGACTCATTGTCTGTGGGCACTTGATTGAAAAACTGCCTCATCTGTGTTGATTTGGAGTCTAGTAATATCATGTGTTCAATTTAGGTGTAGATCACTGCTAATGATATTTACGTTTACGCTCATACATAGTAAATGACGTTCCTAACACACTGTATTCATCACCTCCAACTCCAAACTACTCCTGCCAGCCGTGGTCGTCGTGGAAGGCGTCAGCTCTGCACGCACGTTCTATTGAAGACAAATATCATACCAAACTAGGTTTAAGACTAGCTACTAAGCATCCAAAAAGAGCACAAAACACTGGTTGCACCTGTAATATCCTATGAAGACAAGTAAAGTCTCTTGTAAACATTTGGTTTCTAAAACTCCCGTTGGACCATTTGCTTAGAATTCTTAAGGCCTTTACTCATAAAATGAAATAACCACTATGTACGACTTGTGAGACTTATTGCTCATGACTGAATAAGGTCATCGGTTGTCCCGCTCTATTTAGACCGTGTACAGGGAAATTTCCGGTGTCAGAGAGGTAGTCTGGTAGTTTTTGATAACCTGGGAGGGTACTGTCGAAATCGTGCTTGCTAGTTTGTCAGTACATATCTAGATTTATGCGAAGAACTATTCGCCATTTATGTTCTCAATACTGTTGCAAGATTAGAAAGTTTGTGCTAAACGAGCAGCTGGTGTCTTAATGTGGTTGTCGGGTTTGCATGTCTCAGTGATTCGACTAGCTGCACTGACTGGAACCAATGGTCCTGCAATCCCTACTTGCAGGGGAGGTTGGTTAGATAACTGTTGAGTCGAAAGTAGTTGCCATCATAGTGCAGGTTATCTACACTGTTAGGGGTCTCGATGGAGTGCCGTGCTGGTTTCATCATAGAACTTTGCACAGATGTGCAGCAGTTCGAGTTGCCACACTCAATGTAGCCAACCAAGCAGAAGAGAGTAAAGGGAGGTTCAAAAGACATAATAAACAGAATTGTGAAGATAAAAGAATAGTAATATGGGAGAACAATAGTTTTATTGGATATGACAAATCACAAAGAGTGAATGCATCTGCACCATTGAGAACGACTTTGAGCCATATCACAGACTAGTGTGCAGTGATAGGTATTTTCCGCACGACTAGGAAACAAGCCACGTTACCTCTCCGTTATAGTGACGGAGCGTTAAAAATGTATCGAAGTTTGTTCACCTACCGACCCTGCTGAGGTCTTAAGCCGGTGATAAGGTCTTCTTACGAGCAAGTATTATATTATTATTATTGTTCCCTTGGGTTCCTAGTGGAACATAGGGCTTCAACTGCACGCCTCCACTTGCTTCTATCTTGTGCTGTACTTTTCACTTGCATCCATGTTAATCCAGACTGTTTCAGTTCCTCTTCACACGATCTCTTCCATGTCATACGAGCGAGTGCACCATTCCAACTCCAAAAGAAGCTGTGCTCAGTATGCTTTTTCGCTTCCAGGTACTCCCAAGAGTAATTGGCTTCTGTTTACTCTTGGCAATGTTATCATGTCAGTAATTGCCAGGTCTCAATGCGCCTAGGTAGAGTGGGGGAAGGCACCGTCCAATAGGTGGTTACCTTTGGATACTGGCTTAAGTCTTTTGAGCATGTATTAGGAATGTTGCTGGTCCTGGGACTAGTTAAAAAATCGGAAACGTGCTCAGCTCAGTCCCGGGCGATCATGTGACTCACTTGCTAGAGACCTAATCGGATATGACTCAGGATAGAAATTAGTGGTAGTCATACTGAATTTTCGTCTACCTTCGAGAATAATATGAGGTAATAAATGCTCCTTTAAGTGTATTTGATAGGTATAATTGTACCCTCGAATTTAATACGTAACACTGGATATGCTGTTGGATTGTTGAATTGCTTTTTGGAGTGCTATTCTTAGGTTCCAGAGATCGAAGTTCCATTCTTTTCGGAGCAGTCTCACGTACCATAATTCATTTGGAGCCCGTTTCCACTAATTCCAAACAATTGGAGAGCCCCTCCAATTTCTGATTTGTTTTGTTTTCTTTGCCTTCATCTACCACTGCTTATGTACGTCGTGAAAAGTCTTGATCAGTTTACATTTAAATGGTATTGGCTGTTCTATCATTTTCGTAACCTGCTGGAATCAATGGACGAGATTACAGAATATCCATTGACCTTCACCAACTCTTGTTGATGTTTTATAGTAAGCGTTCATTGAACATACATGTTATGTTCAAATCACTCAAGTTAGTGTAAGTTCATGGCTACACTAACTGAATAACCCTTTTACTCACACTGTTCAAGAGCTTTGTTAGCAGCTCCTCTAGAGCATGTATTTAATATGTCCATTTACTGAACTGTTGCTTCAAACAGGGACTCACCAATAATTACTAAAGCAATTTTATTCGCCAACCACGTGTTTTGTGAATTTGGGAGTGAGCCGTACATTATAATAATACTGTCAGGCAGCTCAAATTTTGGTAATTAGTATGATAGGTTTTCCATTAGTGAACTATAACTACAGATTTACCTGGTAAGGTGTGGTCAGTTTAATAGTACCTTACTTGTGAAAACATGATCTAGTGCACATACCTAAACGGAGTTACTTGGATATGCTGGTAATAGCCGAAGAAAGTGAGAAATATTTGACACCTGACGTAACGAACTATTTACGTAGAGATTGCTCATGACTGCTCCTTTCTTTCTGTAACCTTTTGGTTTTTATTTATATTACTTCAGGTTTTAGTTAGCGATGATGAAGTGCCTCAAAGTTGAGGATGCGTTATCTTATCTAGACCAGGTCAAAGCGAGATTCTCTGGTCAGGGGGCAATCTATATGGACTTTCTTGATGTCATGCGTGATTTCAAGGCTCAAACGTAAGTCTTTCTTTCAGACCTTAAATATTTCTCAGAATTGGTACGGAAGTTGTCATTCGACGGGTGCGTGAGCTGTTTGAAGGTCATCCTGACTTGATCACTGGATTCAACACTTTCATACCTCAAGGGTATCGTATGGATGCTCCTCCTACATCGCATCAGTCTTTTAACAGCAAACCTACATGCACCGTTATCCCATCAAGGACTACATTATCAATATCCTCATCCGATAATGTAACTCCGGTAAAAGGAGTTTGCACTTCGCTAAAAGTTAGTGAAGCAGTGAGTGAATGGTCACCACCAGGAAGTTTAACTGGTGTAGCCAGCAGTCAGTTCGACGTTTCCAGTCGCCCAAATGTTCATGTATCTGTTGTCTCTAACTGCTTGCCACTGTCAGTTTCATCTCCACCTATACGTGCTTTAACTCCTAATATTCAGCCTGATAATCTTAGTTATAACTCGTCAACTCAACAACAGTTTTTGTCGACAGACTATCAAGAGAACTTTTCCAATGTCATTGTTAGAAACTCACACAATACTACAAGTTTACCACAATCTCCTCACGTTTATCAGCAGAACCACCAGTCATTCCATCATGCTCTCCAGTATGTGAATAAAATAAAGGTAAGTGATATTTACTTCATACGAATGGCGTTGGTTCAGAACCGGTTCCAAGGCATACCTGATGTCTACAAACGATTCCTCGATATATTGCAGTGGTACCAAAAAGAACAAAGACACTCAGATCCTATGTGTCGTAAACAGGCCGAATTACAGGTTTACCAGGATGTTGCCAAGCTGTTTGATGGCCAAGAGGATCTACTTCAGGAATTCAGCCAGTTCTTACCTGAATCCTTTGGCGTTACGAGTGCTGTGGTAGGTTTTTACCGTTTAAGTTATCCTCCTGTTTTGTAGACTGAAACGACGATAAATAGGAAGAACTCTGGCTATTCACAACTCAGTGGGTCAGATTTACTAGATCCGTCTGTTCCAGTGCCTCAGTTAATAAACCGTGTTTCAGAAGGCATCAACCTAGCGCTGTCTTCTAGACAGCGACCAGGTCAAGAAGCTGTTCCTGCAAGTGTGGATTCCAAAAAACTAAAGCGACTTGCTCCTGCACCAAATGCTTTTCAGAACAGTGCCTCAACAATTATTCCACCCAAGAAATCTCGTTCTTCAGTACGAGATGTAAGCATTGTTGATACAAATCAACTGACCACAGGGATTGGCGTGTCACTTTTGCAAAAGGTTTGTTAATATTATAACTAATAACCTATCTGCTAGATTCGAGATGCTTTGGATGCTGACAGTCCAGTAGGGAATCGTTCCTACCAAACCTTCCTACAAAACGTTTGTTTATTCAACCGTCGGATAATATCAGCTGATGAATTGTTAGAAACGACACATCCTCTATTTATAAGACATGTAGACGTGTGGAGACGCTTCAGTGATTTCATCATGGTAAGTGCGCTTGAAATAAGTTTATATTGTTGTGGAGGTGATTATTTATATATTTTGGGACATCATGTATGGTATAGGACTACATTTTATAAGTTTCCAAATCGTAGATGTTACGAGTCCCCTGGAATAATTTTGACCGCCGAGTCAGATTGAATCACAATGAATTATTTAAGATAATCCCAGCGTGTTTAAAAAGAAATCAAAACAAGATTTTTATGAACGTTTCGCTGGGTCAGCCACAGCTTTTCTCAGCAGTAGGATTATTCAGATTTTTTATTAAGCAGCATCAAAATATATAGTCAAAAATTACAGAAATTGAAATCAATTTCATTGAAGGTCACTTGTCGGTAGACATTTGTACCAATAGAAGAGTGTAAACAGTAATCATATATTTATAATGACTAATGTCAAATTGTCATATATGCGTATTTGTCTGTATTAGTCTGTATGTATATGTTGTTTGTTATGTACAAAACACGTCAAAACATGATAATATTTCATAATACGGTCATAATATAGGATTAAATTTGTTTTTCCCCCTCATCTCTCTTGCTTCATTACATCTTGTTAATAACACAAAACGAAAAACGTGTCATCAGCAGTCTTAAGCACTTGAAACGTGATAGTTATAAAAATGACCGAAAAACTATGATGTGATTGCCTAATCTAAAAGGACTATGTTACCTGCGTAATTAAGTTAATTTAAACATCCCCCTCACAGTATCAGTATCAGTATCACTGTGCATATCCAGTCAAGAAAGCAATTCCGATAAGGACATCTGCAACAAATGAATTTAGTATTACTGAAGACAACTGCTTGATGTCACTGCACAGTTAACCGTAGACCCCAATATGATCACCAGTTATCAAGCATAGAATTCTCAGCAAGGTAAAGTGCATGTCTGACACAGTTCTTAGAGAAGCACTGCTATACAACCTATTAGTTGATGAGGTCAGATTTCACTTTCAGACCAAGATATATATATATATATATAATAACTGGCGTCAACATGTGTTTATATCTATCCCAGCATTTAGTAGAGAAAACGAGATTTAGTTTGCTCAGTTTTCAGTTTTATTCTCCTTATTTTCACTTGGGCAATAAGTAATTATAAAGTTTCTAATTCAAAAGATTTCATTGACTGCACTTCCATGTTTTTGTCATCCTAAAATTCATTTTTTGAAAATGAAAATTATTTATTGACACTAGTAAGATGGAATCATGTTTGGTTTTCATAGTGGAAATAAAACTTATTGTAGCTATTTCTAAGCCATGCTTATTGAATGGGATATTAGGCCCTTTGGTTCTTTCCCATTGCCTTATATGAAGTGACTCACAGTCACACCATAGGGTGAAATAGAGTAGTAGTTTTAAAATCCTAATATATTTGCTTGGGAAAATTTAATCACCGCATCTTCATTCATCATTTAAACCACCATTTTGAGAAACCATTTTCGGGTTAACTGTTTTTTAACCTTTCTCTCTTATAAAGAGCAAATAAATTACATAAGGACTCAATAAGAATACTATCATACTATCATACAACTGTCTGTTTAGCCAATGTTACATTTAACACCGTCATAGTATAAATTGCTTATATTATAATTTGTGGTCTGTGTATACCTCTATTTTAACCGACATAACTCATTATGCTACAATGATGTGGATGTTTAGCCAAAACACTCAAATAACAAGCAAACTGACCATGTCAAAGTTAAGTTTGGAATGCCTCTCAAACGATGGGATTGCAAACATGAGTCGGTTGCAATATACAGATACCAGTTATGTTCATTATAGTGGAGATGTGATTCCTTGGCTAAGGCACTCGACTTCCAGTCAATGGGTTCCGCGTTCGAGTCCTGCTCCATCTACTTCAGCCTAAGCAATTGGGTAGTACCATTAGCTCTTACATAATAAATGTAGCTCATAACCCAGTACTGGGTAGTTGAGTAATAACTAACTAGTTATGTGTTCATATTGAATGATTGTTGATTTCATGTATCATATGAGATAAGTGAAATATAAATGAACTGAAAAGAGGTTGAAAGGGATAAGATCAGGATTTGTTAATACTGTCTAGGATCAATAACCATTAGTCTGTGGCTCACGACAACTTGTTATCAAATTCCAGACGAAATTGATGATGATATCCAGGAGAATAGAAATATTGGGTAAAAAAAATGAAAGCATGGAATTATGCAGTTTGTGTGAATTCCTTTGTTGTCAGTTTTATGCAACCATACATTTGTTGACCTCTTTTTTAACCATTTAGTCATCACGAAATTCATCCCAAGAAGGATTTGGACAACTTCAGTCTCATTCTCCTGCTTACTCCCGAGACAGACATGATCGTGACAAACATGGTACCTGTAATTTCCCATGTGATTCTCATACATGTTCTGATTCTCTATCAAACAACATAAACAATCAACCGCCTACATCATTAGTCTCACTTGTAAGTGAAGTGTCTCAAAAAAGATTGGATTTGGATTTCACTAAGCTCCGAAGTTGTGGTGTAAGCTATCGAGCATTACCATCGAATTTCCCGCAGAGCAAATGTTCCGGTCGGCAAAAATGCCCAGTTGCGAAAGAAGTAAGCCAGCTGTTTTTATTAGTATGCTTTTGATATGGTCCTTTGAGTTGGATTGTTTTGTTAACACTATTAGAAATAAGCGTAAATACAGGTTTATAAAATATCTGCTTTGCATTGTGTTATTATTACTCAGCGTACTTTAATTGGTGGTCAAATTGTATAGTATATAGTGGTTCCATTATAGTATTGGTTTTCAAAAATTTCGATCACAGACTTAAATTTATAACTTCGCTTGGTGCGTAATCTTGGTTTCAATTTGACATCACTATAGTTATGAGTTTGTTAATACACACCCACATATATATGCGTGTGGTTAGTTAGTTAGTTAAACATATTAACCTATTGTTGTTGCTTTACTCTTTTAACTCTCACGTGTGTGCTGTTGGTGCAATGACAGTCTTAATCGATTCGTTAATTATATATATATATATATATATATATATATATATATTCACTCATAGTTTTCACACTAACTATACCAGCTTTAAAGATTTCTCATAGAAGACACTAGTAACATTAATGTATTCCTCTAAGATTATATTTTCACTTTTTTCTTGTCACCTATCTTTTTGTTTATTTTTTTCAAAGTTGTTTTTTTACCATCTCTACCATTAATGTCGTCAAATTAACAACTAATTTTTTTCTATCTCTCTCTATATTATGATGATGATATATACTGTAACAAGGTGTGTGTGTGTAGTTAGTGGTTGGACAGCTTGTTGTGCGATTGATATATTTTGGACACTGAGAGATGATGATAGCAAGCAATCAGAGCATTGTGATTTTATCACATCAATTTTTCAGAATCCTTTTCCACAGTTGGAAAAAAGGTTTTCTTACTATCAATTATTTTAAGCCCAAGTACTGAAAAGTAGTTTGTCAAGTGTTATTAATGTGTTGTATTATTCTCTCCCTGGAGAGTGATTTTCCCTTTACTTTTACACTTCCACACTTCTGTCACACGTTGGAAAACCTTAAAGGATGTTTTTATCAACAGTTCCTTATAGCTGACAAGCTATGCAAACTATTTTCTTATTTTTGATGACAAAGCATGATTGATCTCTATACGTGTTGGTCACTGATCATTGTTCCCTTTTTGATATTCTTCGGTTTTCCTTGTTTTAATACGTAGTACATCTGTTGTTGTTGTTGTTTTTTGTTAAAAAATTGTAGGTGTTAAATGATTCGTATATCAGCTTCTCTTCGCTTACCTCCGAAGATTCTCAGTTTGTATCATCTAAAAAGAATCAATATGAAGAAAATATGTATCGTGTTGAAGATGAACGTTATGAAGTAGACATGGTTACTGAACTCAATAGAGCTGCAATGCAAAATCTAGTTGTTGTTAAAAAACGTATGGATAGATTAAATAAAGAACAACTTAGTCAATTCCATATGGATGATAAATTAGGTGGAACATCGGCAATTTTAATGCGAAAAGCTATACACAGGTATTTGGCATTTGTGAATAATTTTATTTTTATTTTATTTTTGCTTTGCATTTTTAAATATTCTATGTACATTAGGATCTATTTATTTGTCTATTGATTTCATCTGTGTGCGTTGGTTGGTGGTGGTGGTGGTTCAGTGGTAGATTCCTCACCAACCAGCCCCATCGTCCGGGGTGGCCGACACACTCCTAGATCGATCTCTCTTCCGGCCAGCAGTAAGCTCGGTAAAGGGGGAAGGTTAAGTGTAAAGCTAGCGATCTCACCCCGTGAAAACGACCACCTCTACTGAAGCTCTAGAGCTCAATGCAAAGGAATAAAAATTAGAAAAAGAAAAAGCATGATTTCATCTGTGTGCATGAATCCATCCTGTACCATCCATTAAGTCTAATAATGTGTTTTGACCCTTTTAAGTCTGTTGTTAAAACACAATACTTGCATGCAAAAAATAGGACTTGTCTAAATGAAGAGAAATATTTGTTAAGAAGTGATGAAATACTAGTTTAAACGAATCAACCTTGACTTTTACTGATCATTAGTTGGTAATTAAAATTTAGTTTCTCCTATGGTCATCTGACCATCAGAAGTGTTCAGATATCCAATCACAAAATAGATATTTTGAATATTCTTTTTGAATTATCCCTTCTGGAGAATAAATTAAGCGTCTGTTTTTCACTTTAATCTGTAGAATAGCTTCCTGTTTGGTATCTCAAATGTAAACAAATTAATAAAAAGAGGGTAAAAAAGAGATGACTGCAAACTTTCGAGTTTCGATAGAAACAGACAGTAAACGTATGTCTCTCATCAGTTAGTACTTTAGTACTTATAGGTCTCGATCTAGCTTCATAGCTTAGGTTTCGGCGCTCAAGCGGTTTCATTGGCCAAGTGTTGTATTAACCTGAATGCTGTAAGTATTAAGCGATACATATGTACTGTGCTTGTTTATTCATTGCCACCGTCATAATTCCACGTTATTGGTTCCATTCATTGTATGCAGGTTGACTATGCGATAATATGTCAGCGCCAGTGATTTCCACTTCTATGTTTAATCATGAATTTTTAGAATTCTACAAATAAAATTTGCTTATCCGAGGAAGTGTTACAAACTGATAGAATTGGCCGAAGTTAAAATCGATTAGGGTACCCTTTTTTTAAAAGGAAACTTGCAAAAAATGGCATTTTTGTCTAATTCAAAGCATTTTATCAATTCTTCCTAAATCTCTAGAGTACTTGAATATTAAAGTAGCTGTTTGTTCATTTGCAGTAACAATATCAGCTAAGTCGTTGGCAAAACCTATTTCTACAGATACATTTATGTAAATCTCATCGCCTGTAACGATAATAGATTCATTCATGGAAAGGCAAATGCTACTAGTGTTGGTTGGCGGGGATGCTTTCCCTGCAGATTAGTGATAACAAGGTTGTTAGAGACATTTAGCACTAATCTTCATTCAATAGTACATTTGGTTAACAATTTAAGCTAGACCTTGTGATACTTGTTCCTGTCTAATTGCCCATTGCTCTTCCAAACTTTATTTTATATAATTATCAGTCATTTTAGAGTCATTTATATGATACAGCATGCAATAACACATGCTTATTTAATATATTTTTATTTTGATATTTAGAGTTTATGGTGATAAAGCAGGTGATGTAATATATGGCTTAAAAAATTGTCCTAATACAGTACTCCCATTGGTTATACAACGTATGCGTCAAAAAGACACCGAATGGCGAGAAGCTATCCGTAATTATCAACGTTCTTGGGCAGATCAAGATGCACGTAATTATTTACGTTCTCTGGATCATCAGGGTGCAACATTCAAACAACGTGATGCACCTTTCATACGTAGTAAAACTATGATTAGTCAGATAGAATCTATCGCCCGAAATGATAAGGTAAGCTTTACAGTTAGTTAGAAAAAATATCTTTGTATTTTATTCTATTTAAGTGTATGTAAAAGTAAGATCAAAGAATATTTAATTGCTTTCTGTTCAAGGATTTTTTGGTTACCTGTCTTTCTTTTGAGATAAAGAAATAATAGAAAATTTTAGTAATCACCTTTAAGAAGGATTACTTTTCTTGACTCATCTTACCTGTTTTCTGATGATCAGCCTAACTTGTAGGGCAAACACCAAGAGATGAATAACACCGGGATGTGTTACCTGGCTGTTATCATGGACTGTATGTGCTTTCTTGTTCTTTATTGCTTATTGTCTAAATCACAGCTAAATTATGTTGACTCAAGTACAAGTTAGTATACTAATTCACGAATGGCACAAAGTATGTTAAACTTCGTGTGTCGGTGGCACAGCGGTTAGGATGCTCGCCGACCATGCACATGGTCCGCGACTCGATCCCCGGCCGACGCACTCCTTTACCTCGCTAAACTAGAAATAAAAGCTGGTAAAAAGGGAAGGCTGGGCATGAGGCTAACAACCCTATCCCGAGAAAATAAACACTGCTACCGAAACTTCAAACCTCTAGCTTGAAGCCCTATGTTCCACTGGGAACGTAAAGGAATAGAAGAAATTATTAAACTTCAGGATTTCAACTGATTCCAACTCCTGTCAAATGCAAGACGATGCTATTAAACTGAACTCTACTAACTTTTATCTTAAACATGAATGAAGTAATGGAGTGTGTTGACCATTTCACTTATTTGGGCCGTTGTTTCAGGTCCAATAGACAATCTCTTTTTGTCCCTCTTTTGTCTACCATTGTGTGCTACACAAAGTGTGGCAACTTGAACTGAACTGCTTCACTTCTTTGCTAAGTTCCGTGTTTAAACTCAGTCAGTCAGTCAGTCAGTCAGTCAGTCAGTCAGTCAGTCAGTCAGTCAGTCAGTCAGTCAGTCAGTCAGTCAGTCAGTCAGTCAGTCAGTCAGTCAGTCAGTCAGTTATAGATGTCTAGGTGATACATAGCAGGTGTAGTTTGCATCTTAAACCTTATTACTTAGGAACTACCACACTTAAATAAACTGTGTTAAGATACTAGGCCCATTGTCATTGTTGTAAATGTAATATTTAAGTTTATTATGAGTTTCTTATTTAGTTATATATGAGATATCATACAATGCGCATTGTATGTGTTATTAAATCTCATTCCATTAAGTTCAATAGTATGGATGAATGGATAAGCAATTGTTTTAAGCAATACGAACGTTATATTTCATCATAGTTTTGATGTTATTAGATAGTTGGAGACAATCGGCAGGAAGCCCAGCCTTGCCTGACCTAGGTTTCGTGCTAGTTGGCACTCATCAATTGTCAGCAAGGAGTATCTGCAACCAACTTGAAGGAACTCATGTCCCTTCTGAGATTCGAATATTCGAGGTTGCAGATATGCCTTGCTGACTGGTGAGTGCGAACTAGCAAGAAACCTAGGTCCAAGACTGGGCTTCCTGCCTATTGTCTCCAACTATCTAATAACATCAAATCAATGTGTACCGTGATGGCGAGCCACCTAGTGGCATGGTGGCCACATTGTAAACGTGACTGATAGAATTCAGTCTGCACCAAACCAGAGGATTAGACTCTTCACCCTAGTTACTAGTGTCCAATCAAAATAGTTTTGATGTTCAGGAAGTTAGCTTTCTTAATATTTACACAATTATTGTTAAGATATGAAAATATAATCTCATCTTAATTTAAGTGTTTTCATGTTTCAATTTGAGTAATTCATTTAACATAAAAATGTGTTTGTTTATCTTCTTCTTCTTTTTTTAGCATTCATCGTGTCATTCTAGTTCAGATCCTGTCGGTAAAATGATCTCTACTTTACTAACTCAACAAAATTTTATTTCTCGTGATATCAGTAATCCAGGATCTATAGGTTCTGCTTTAGCAAATGTATTAGAAGGGAATAATGAAGATGAATCAGCTCATTTAACATTAGTATATCCACCACCAGATATTAGAAATTCACTTTTAGAAGATGCTGCATCATTGATTATACATCATGTGAAACGTCAATCCAATGCAAGCAAAAATGATAAACGATCCATGAAATGTTTAGTAAGTTATAAAGGTGTATCAAGTGTACATGATATTATATTGTATTTTAACTCTTTTTGTTTATTCTTATAGATTAGGTTGTGTGTTTTTTTATAGTGGGTGGGAGGAGTAGATTTCTCATTTGTAAAGTGCAGTTGAATTAATCGATTTCTCGGTTGTTTTTTTTCTTCAAAAATTTGTGATGAATCATTCGTACTATCTAGTGTTAAAGTGTTAGGTGTACTGAGTAGATCAATTTACAAAAGGCCTACTTGCATATAAGTGGGATTTTGCTAACTCTCCTGTTATTTTGCGTATGTTTAGCCTTGGTAACTATTATGGTTTTTGAACTTTGTGAATTTTCAAAAGTTTTATAAAATAAAAATAGGTAAATTGAGTGGCTGAAATTCAATTGTAGTGAAATAGCTTAATCTTATCTGACTCCTGGCATCCTAGCAACTAGTGTAATGTGTCTAGTCCTCTGGTTTGGTGCAGACTGAATTCTATCAGTTAAGTTTGCATTGTAGCCACCATTCTAGATGGCTCGCCACCACGGTGCACTTTGAGTTGTTGATATTAGATGGTTGTAGGCAATGGGCAAAAAGCATTGGACCTAGGTTTTCGTGCAGCATTACACTGGATGCTGACTAGTGTCCAATCAAACGTATCCAATACAGTCCTACAGGAGGTCAGTCCCGAACCAAAACAGCTCAGTGACATTGTCTCTGACTGCAGTACTCACTGGGTTACGTGGGTTCGATTCTCAGAAGGGACATGAGTTCCTCTAAGGTTGTAGATACGCCTTGGTGACTAGTTAGTGCCAACTAGCACGAAACCTAGTTGCAAGGCAGGGCTTCCTGCCGATTGCCTACAGCCATCTAATAGTTGTTTCTCAGCATAGAACTTTGCATCGATGTGAAACAGTTCGAGTCGCGACACTCCAATCTAATAGTTGTACTTATAGTGAGTGTTCCTATAATCACATACAGCGAGTCAAATTATTATCAATAGTATTGTTGCTCAATCAATTCCATTACTACAGTGTAATTCTGTTCCGAATTTCCAGCCAATAACTATTGACTTGGATAAGGTAACTTAGTTGTGTTATTGTTTTGTTTGAACTGTGCCATATGTCTTTTAAATATCTGACGTCGTTTAAGGTATATTATTGCTTTCAAAGTTTTCTGATATTAGTTTAGTGGAGATGTCATTGTTATAACCTATTTTATTCAATTCGCTTTTCCTTGAATCAAATGTTTGAGTAGCGTTTTCGTTTTGGTGAATCCTTAAAGCAATATTATTGTTGTACCTTAAAGCTAGTCTTCACTAGCAAACAGTATAATGAGATTATTCTCAATATGTGATCAGCATTATTTTTCATGCGTGTTCTATAGTCGATACGATTACATTACAGTGTACACATATACAGATCAAAGCTAGTGAATATTTGTCACTTCGTTTTTTGGTGATATTAGTATCGCTAATCGGTGGGAGTAATTATTTCAGAAGGTTTAAGATCTTTTAAAGGATATAAGATGATGGATTTGTAAACCATAAAATGTAGAATTGGTGCAATGTGATCAAGGTATGTTGTCTTAGATAAGAACAGAAATACAAAAATAGTGTGACTTCATGTGTTGAGAAGATTTATCTAAGTATCTTTTACGCAGTTAGTATTGTTCACTCTTTTATTTCCCGATAATTTTCACCTTACATGACTTGTTTTTCACTTGTTTGCAGAATATCACAGAGGGGTTATATTTATCAGTTAGGTTTGTATTATATTGAAAACATTGTTTACCGCGCCATTGAAATTTGGCTTATCTACAGATAGTTATTACATTTTCAGTGATTAGTCTAGTTAAGACATATTTTACACATTTCTAATCACTAATTTCATATCAGTAAGGTAGTGTTGGTGCATATATATTGATTAGTATTGATCTGTGGTCATTTATTATTATTATTAAAACAAAATCGCATAGTTTGTGTGGAAGCTGATATATAATGCCCGGATGTACTGACTGAAGCAGGGAGACTAAAGTCTGTTCACCCGTCAGTTGTACTAGGTTGTTTGTAGGGCATTTATTGTTGGTCTATCATTTTTCAGGTCTGTAGGATTTAGCGATTAGTTGGTTGGAATGATAGTCAATTATATTTGAAAAATCATACGGCTTATTTGCACTACACCATTTTTTCTTTAACCCTGTTACTGTTTTTGTAAATTCTTTTCTTTCATGGAGGTTGTATAACAACTCATTGGATTTTTTTTCTTAGTTGTGCTTTCCCAGGATGGGTATGACCACCTTTACGGTTTTTTATACCTTGTAAATTTCAATTTTTCAAATTCTTGACCTACTTTTTCTTAAGTGGAATGATGAATAATTTTATGAGCACAACCAATGAGTTCTTCTGTTTGGATAAAAAGACAAGAAATAGGGTCATGTTCTCATCTTTTCGTTTTACTTGGGGACAGGGGTGTGGGGGTGTTACTTGCGTTATACACTTCTCCGATACAGTGTCATCTAACCTTATAAAACTGTATTCGGTTCATAGTGTTTAATGTTTTGTAACTCATAAAAACGTAATATGGTATTTATAATTTTGGTATAAGTACAGTGTTAGCAATGTCAGCTGACATAGGGTCAGGTTGGAAAAGAGCTGGCGGTGGTCAGACCAAAACATGGCCTCAGTCAATCAAATCCACAACAGTTAGTTTAAGCCAACCAGCCACGTAGGAAGGTGTAGACTTCCTGGTTGGAGTCCTCGGGACGGTAAACACCAATGACTGGAAACAATCGGTGATATGGCTCAAACTCATCGTTCTCAATGGCTGGCTCAGATGCATCCACTCCTTGTGACTTATAATACCCAATAAAACTATGTTGTTTTTCGATATTACTATTCTTTTTGCCTCATATCTCTATTTACTATCTCTATTTTGCATTTTTTTTTACTTTCTTATCTGGTTTTGTGTTCTGAGTTAAGTGTAATGGTTCGAACTGCTCTGCACATCGATGTAAAGTTCTATGTTGAAACCAATCAATCAGTTTTGGTTGGTATAGATTGGTGTTATTTACGCTTAGTGGACTTGGAGAGTTTTACTGTACATTCCATTAATCCTCAATGTTTTATACTCTATTAATCAGGTAAGAACTGTGCTACAAGATATCTTTATGGCGAATCGTTTTCCAATGTCAGATGATGAAGACGATGAGGAGGATGAAGATGAAGATATAGATCCAAAACCGGAGGATGAAGAACCAATCGATGAGATAGGCGAAAATGATGATGATTGTCGTAATCGACCAGGACGAAATTTTAAATTATCAAAACGTTTTCCTGAGTCCCGTAAACTACTAATCCCAAGTGAAGAGACAACATCATCAGTTGTTATGGATCATTCTGATGAATCTGATATAACTCGTAAAGATAATGTGAAAATGGAAACAGAACCGCTTATTGTACAAACTGATGATTTATCATCGAACCGATTAAAACCAGATGAAACGAATTTTAATTCACCTGGATTATCTACACAAAACATCTCCATATCTTGTCATAATAATAATAATAATTTAGAAAATTCCGTGAATGAACTTCGTAATACGGAACTTGGTTGTATGTCGAATTTACCTAAACAGGAGTACTATTCTGTACTGTATGGAAATAATCACTGGTTAGTTATATAACTTGATTTGCCTGTTTTTTTGTGTATTTACTGTTGATTTTTTCTTCAAAACTTTCTCTATTGATTGATTATGTGATTTAAAATGGACTCAGGTGTATACGTTTTTATGCTTTTTTCTGTTGGTGTCTATTGTTGTATTGAGTAATATGTGGAATTATATCATATAACTACATGTCTGTGTATAGTAGGCTATTCCACTTCATATAGACTTATTGAAGAAAAGTAAAGATATCTGTTGTAGTAGAAAGTTATAAGAGATTAAGAAAGAAACATTCATGATTTCTAAGACAAAATAAACTAGAGGATTAGTTTATCTAGACTATATCGCACACAATAGGTATCCAAACTAGTCACACACACACACTTGTATGATTGCAGCATAGTATACGTTGCATGGATTCATCAGTCACTACTTCAAAGAACCACTCTCTCTAATCAGTGGATGGTGACTAGCAGCGGATTCCAGGATGCACATTTCGTCCTATTTGAGACTCGTCATGTGGATGTACCTGCATTCCCCAGTCAATGGGGGGATGATGTTCCCACCGAGGTTCGAACCCAGTGCCCATAGTTTCAAACGCTAAAGCGTTATCCACTAGACCACTTGGGACACGAGAGCCACCACCTCTTGTGCAACGGGTCATATTAATTATATTAAACTGAATTTTAGATTTTCCCGTCGATTGATTAGACCGAAGTGCGCACCCTGGATTCTGCTGCTAGTCACCATTCATCAATTAAATTCTAATCACGTGCCCAGACATTGTCGAAGCATCTGCACAAGAAGCCGACATATCAACCTGAGACCGAGCACTCCGGTCCAATCAATCGACGGGAAAATCTAAAATTCAATTAAACCGCTTTCTTTGTTTAGAAATTTTAGACTAGTGTTTCTTCAATCATGTTTAGTCTACTTCAAATTGAAGTATGCTTTGAAGATGTTGCCTAGTAAAGGCAATAAACTATCCAGCTCATAGAACACAACTACGTCAAAATCATCCATTTGAGCTACAAATCTCCATTATATGCGATTAATCCACTTCACATATATATTCTAAATGACTAAAACGGTCATCGTAGACTGTCAGTAATAATCTGGCATATGTATTGCTAAAGAAGTTACAATGTTTTTAAAGTTGATGTTGAATGAGGGTTTCGTAAACCAGCCAAAGTAGGTATGCTTGAAATCTATTTATCAGCTTAAGACATCAAGTTGTAACCAGTGATACGCTTCTTACCATAAGGTATAATTATAATCGTAGACTTCGAAGTTATGTTCTTCAGTAGTACTCTATTCGAGTGTTGTTGTAAGTGTTAGCGTATTCGGTTCTTTTCGGTAAATACCTTTGTGTTGTCTTTTCTTTCCAGTTGTGACATTGTACACCGTTATTCCCTTTAGACATTTTCTTCTCTCCGTCATATGATTTATTGCAAACGCCTTACATTTATTATTATTTCAAGAAAAATCCTTCTGATCTACTGGTGTGGAATTGTAACAACCCCTACAAACTTCGGCAGTTATCATCAGATTTTGTGTGCTTCGCTGCTTACTTTGATTAACCTTATTATTTTGTATATAATCTAGGGAATCCAATTCGCTCATGAACAATTATACTAACTGATTTTGGTTGTTTCTTTTTTTAAAAAAAACAATTTTCATTTCAGGTATGCATTTTTAAGGCTTCATCATCTCCTTTTGTGCCGATTGCATCATCTACGTACTCGTGGTGCAACAGCTGTTCAAGAAGCTGTTTCAGACAAAGATGAATATCATGTACAAGCGGCTGAATTACTTCATCTTCGTAGATACGGTAAGTCTTAACTTTAAGAAATATTTGACAAATTGGTTATACATGACTGAAAACTTATGCTGATACAATTGTCATAATAATTATGTTATTCATTACTAAATAGCTTAGAAGAATATTGTATTCTGATCTTGAAATATGTATTTCTAGTGTGAAATGAGGACAAAAAGCCGTGAAGTATTTTTACCTCACTACCGGAATTATTGTTGCTTGTTTTATTATTATTAGATTATTTCCACTGAGATGAATAAATAAATCAGATATAAGTATAAAACTTGGGCACTGTGGTAGAGTGTTACTCCATTATGGATAAGATTTTATTTCATAAATCATACAGTGTTACACAGTAATTTGTGCTCGAAACGTCATCAGTTAATATTACTGTGTAACACTGTGTGATTTATGAAAATGAAATCTTATCCATAATGGAGTTAAATAAATCAGAGTTTATATAGTTCGATTCTTCCTGTATGGTACGGTCAGAGGTGAATAGACTTCGGTCTTACCCTCGGAATGTTCTCATTTAGTCACGCGTTCATAGCCTCTGTCAGGTAATTTCTGTTCAATACCTTCACACATCTGAAGGATTACTCACAAAAGTGAAAGGGTGAATCCGGACGTCTAGCGGACGTGGAAATCCTGACCTCAAACTTATGGTGTACATGGGTTGCAGAATTCGAATCGATCGAATGGCGTATGAACCACTAGAAACCATGGGAACACTGCTCCACTGCTTTATTAATCAGAATTCAAGTCAAAAATTGGGGGAGGAGCGGCCCCTTATGACCAATCACATGCTTCGGGCTGGGTGTCCAAGCTGTATCGTACCTGTCGCATAAACTGTCAGATTTTGTGTGGCGTCTTCCTTGATACTTATTATTGTTTAGTTGTATATTATGTAAATTGATTGAATAAACTTCCGCATAGTTATGTGTCGAGTAACAATTATTTAGGTGTTATAGGAATTGTGCTGTAATGGCAGTACAACTTTGCCATTCTACTGAATGAAGTAGTTTCTTTGCTGTCTGAGGTATTGTGTGTATTACAAATAGTTTGTGAACATCGTTATCATAAGTCATTTCACATGATGAAAATGTTATGATTACTTTCAGTGAAATTCTGATTAACGTATGAAAATTCATATTGTTTACATTATGAAGGTTCATTTGTCATCCAACTTTTTTTTGAGATCATTTATTTGCTCATTGCTCTATTATCATTTAGGAAGTTTAGGAAAGTCCAAGAAGCATTAAATGAACTTCCTAGGAACTTGAAATTCGATCTTCATCAATGATGAATTTCATACATTTATTCCCCTTAATGAATTTGAATAATAAAGCAAGAACAACAGTTTTTGCAGAATAAAGTGGTACCAACATTTATTTCGTTGCCTTCTCATCAGCTGCTTACAGGTCAAAGTCATTATAAGAAACATTATAGGAAACAATTTTAACATACCTGCACAGAGTTCATTTTAAACAAAAATCAGTCAATCAATGTATGCATACATTAATTATATATATATATATATATATGTGCAATATTAAACACTGTTCCGAACAATAATAATCATACACAATGGAAACTTTTCAGCATTTTGCATTCGGATGAAAGAGAGATGAAACATATCCAGTTACCAGGGCAAAGAAAGACTAATAACCGCTTCTTTCTGGACGCATAAATCAGGTTCCAGGCGCTTGATGGAGATCGCTTCGGCAAACTTAGGGAGAATTGAGCTCTTTTGCTTACTGATAATTTTGAAGGATTTTGCGATGTCCACCTCATGAGACCCATGTCAAGGAGATGCCTGGCGATGGCACTGTTCAGACATAAACTTTTTGGTACATTTTCAGAAAATCGTAGATATGCCTTTCTTTCTGTTCTTCCAATGTAACTGCTCCTGCAGATACATGTAAATTTGTATATATAGTTGGAGTTAACATGAGAAGGATATCTATTGATTTTTGATTGCATCAAAGAGCAAGTTGTTCGGTAGATGGGAACGAGCTTAGCTTCAGGATAGACTCTGGCTAGTGACGTACTCAGTCTTCTGTTGACCATTGCTACACTGTTTTCACCTTTATAATCAAGTTGAATGTAATTATGTTTTTTCTCCACTGTGATTTGTTTTACATTTGAGACTTCAGATCTTCCATACTTGTGAATGAACCTTTGAGGGTAACCATTGCTCTTCAACATCTTTTCAAGAAACACAAAAATAAACTCTGTGCAAGTATGTTAAAATTGTTGCTGTAGATTTATTTAATAGTGACTTTGGCCTGTAAGCAGCTGATGAGAAGGCAACGAAATAAATGTTGGAACGACTTTATTCTGCAAAAACTGTTATTCTTGCTTTATTAAAATGATGAATTTCTCTTTCAAAATTCAGTCAACTTGAAATGACTGTATATCTTCTTAATGTTTTCATTTTTTGAAACTGGTAACTTTGAAGAATTAAGTCATACACACAAGCTTACCATTTTTATTGGCCCTGATTCATCCATAAAGTCTATTCAAATTTTACAGACTGAAGCTAAATTATGTTTATTGTGAATCAGCTGACACTAATTATAATGCAATTTGATTCTAGTCCAAACAAGTATCAGGCCACACTTATGGATTAACCTACATTTTTGAAAAAAAAATTGGATTGTTCTTAAAATCATCACAAAAATGATGGTATTGAAGTGTATATATAGCTGTTCACTTCACTATCTGTGGAGTTTGATTTGTCATTCATTCTAGTAGACATTTTAAGATTATAAGGGTTGAAAAAACAACAATGACAACATAAATTTGGTTTCAAGTAGTATCTGTTGCAAATTCACTCTGTCATCACGTTAAATGGTTTTTGTTTTTTCCAAATATTCAGGTGGTACTGATCCCTCGCAGTATTATACTCATGCTCTCAATTTGGTTAAAGATCTATTGGATGGTGGAGAAGATATAAACACCTATGAGGATAGATTACGTGATATGTTTGGCATACATGCATATCCATGGTTTACTATGGATCGTCTGATAATTAATATAGTCCGTCAATTGCAAGCCCTGACCAGTGGGGATGAATTAAGTCGTCGATTGACAGCTTTACATCGCTCTTGGGTCGGTAATTCAGCCTATAATGATCGAGGCATACAGTTGAATAATTCTGCTTCAAATTTTCCTCAGTATTCGTAAGTTTATTTGGTTGTTGTTGTTGACAAATTGTTGCATTCATATAATCCCTTGGGTATATATAAGTATAGGTGTATAATTTCACTTTAGCATTTTTATGTAAGGGTTGAAATTCAACTCTGTCCTTTCATTTCTAGGATTTGTTTGAAAATATAATTGATACATTTTGATGTTTTTACCTACTGGTTCAAAGTGTGAGTGTTTACGATTTTTGTTTGATTGTTCATGATCTGAAAATGGTCAATTTTGTTTTCTGTTCTTCCTAGGGACGTTTGTGGTCCATTGTATACTCGTGTCTGCCGATTGGCAAATGAGAGTGCCTATCATTCTCAGGCTATGGCTATTTGTTCTTCTTTTGCTGGTACAAATAGCTCTTGCAATGTTGGTTCAGGTCCTGGAAATTCATATTCATCCAATACAGCAGGACAAAGCAACACAAATACTTTTAATAATAATAATAATAATGCTAATAACAACAACAATAATATAAATAATCCTAATTCATGGCCTAATTGTTATTTAATTGTGGTACTCTCAGAGGCGTCTACTATGCTTATCCGTCTTATGAAACCTGCTCATCCAACGAAGTGTGAATCGGAGAAAGGTCATGATGCATGCTTCTATTCTAATCATATAAATTTTATTCCTTCAGACACGTCTAATCCTTCAGATCGTGAATTTTTGCACAGAGAAAAATTGAAATCAGGTGTTTCTATTCGTCATTGGCATGACTACCTTACAACGCATCTTTCTTGGACTCTTGGATATGTCCCGCACAATATATGTTCACGCATTTTACCAGTATTTTTATATCGTACTGTCCGTAGATGTGTGAACGCTTTAACGCGTACTGCACTTCAACGAAGACAACAGTTGGTAATTCAGACAGGCGATACACAACCTGAAGAAGTAAGCTTTTTCTTTTCTTTCTAGAAATGATGAGAATCGTTAATTTTTTATGAACTGCTTAAATTTTAGCTTGAGAATGATTGTTTTTTTCATATGGTGTCATTTGGGAAATTATATATAAATGGGCTAGTCTGTGGGAAATCAGTTAACCTTTGGCTCATTGGTTTCGGTGACTGACTGACTGGTTTCAACATAGAACTTTGCACAGATGTACAGTAGTTCGAGTTGCCACACTCAATGTAGCACACATAGCAGAAGAGAGTAAAGGGATGTTCAAAAGACATAATATACTGAAGTGTGAGGATAAAAGAACAGTAATATGAGAGAACAATAGAGTTTTATTGAATATGACAATTTACAAAGAGTGAATGCATCTACACCATCATTGAGAACGATGAGTTTGAGCTATATCACCAATTGTCTCCAGCCTTCATTGGTTCTTATCATCCCAAGGACCCCAACCAGGCAGTCAACTAGTCTACACCTCCCTACATGGCTGGCTGGCTGGCTTAAACTAACTGTTGTGGATTTCATTGATTGATGAAGTCATTTTTGGTTTGACCATCACTAGCTCGACTTCTATTCAGTAGGTCATGGATTCGTACCCCTCCCCACCTAATGAAGTCTGGGTAGCCAGGTGGTATCACTGGCATTTACACTGTAGATGTGACTCGTTGCCGACATACCTATAACTATATAAACACGAGAAATCATCCTAAATGCAACTGTAATATCGATCTTAGCAATATCATTTTATCTTAACCTCCTATTAAATATTTTGCCCATACGTTAAGACGTGTTCTATTATTTCAGTTGGTGTTATAGTTTGTTGGGCTTAGTTACTAGTAAACCTAATATTAGGAGACTTTTGAGCCTATAAAGTACAAGCATATTTCAGTCTCATAAATCAGATATATTAATCTACTATTAATGCACATATCACCAGCATTGTATGACATTTGTCTTTATGATCGATCATCGCTCAAACTCAGTAAGTTATCCTCTTTTTTTTCCTAAACGGTATTCACATGTAGGATGTATCATTGTGATCTAATAGAAATTTCATTTGATGCTTCTAAATAAATAGTTGTAAATCTTTCGCACATAAGAAATGAGTGTTATTACTCGCCTAGATGAAGTTTTGACATAACTGCACATTCACAGTTTTGTCTTATCTAGCATCCAAAATCTTCTTAATACATAGCTGTATTGTACACTACCAATCTGAGTATCAAGAGGGAGTGAGAGAGAGAGAGAGTTTCGCTTAGGGAATCTGTTATTTTTCCCACCCAGCTCACATAAATTATTCGATTTCTGATAAGAAAGAAAAAAAGCCTAAGCTATCCATATTGAATATCAGTCTCACCCTTCCTTCATTCCTTTGCGTTCTCTGGGTGAAATATACAACTTGAAGCTTGAGCGGTGGTGTTGTTTTTTACGGGATGAGGTTTCTCTAGCCCCCGTTACTGCTGGCTAAGCAAAGTTTAGAGAGTACGTTGACCGGGAATCGAACGTGAACCACGTGTGTCTCGTTGGCAGACAGTCTATTATTGAACAACCTATGTATTAAATAGATTTTATTTCTTTAACACATGCTGTCTTTGTTGTGTCACTCTACTGAAATTTAATTCTAAATAAACTTTAGGTCTGAAGGTTATCGAATTGATACAGAATCATGGCTTAGATAATTAGTCACTCATTGGTTCGGGGTCAAGGTATTGATTGTCTTTGACTTCTTAATGTACGTTAAAAAGTGCAGTTGCTAAGGTGCTATGTCTATGATAATTTATCTGTTGGACGATAATCTCATTTATGCATAAATAATTGTAATCAACAATGTAACTAAGATTTTTATAACTATTAAACGACTATCGCGCAATATATATATATATATAATCTGCTTGTGTGCAGCTTTTTTTCCTGTATATAGCCTGCTAACATTTTGTGACTGTGACATATAAGTATTGTTATCTCTATTATTCCCTCGGGTTCCTAGTAGAACATGAAGCTTTAGCAGCACCCGATTTTATCCTGTTCTCTGTGGTTCCACGATTGCTCATAAGTTCTCATCTCCTCATACTATCTCCTCCATTTTCCCTTGGACGTCCAACTCGTGGTTTACCATTCTGTTTTCATTCAGGGACCTAGCGTATGGTGTCACGCAGTGGTCTCCTCAAGTATGGGTCCGAAATATCTCCATTTCCTTTGGCATATCTGTTGGGCATGGTTGGTTAGTCCCAGAGTTCCTCCCTGCTTATCCTTTCTAACTGGCCATCTGATCTTCAGCATCGAGCAAAAACAAGGCAGCTGTTGATGAAATTATATAGTAGCGTGTTAAGAATGCTTTTCGATGGCTCACCATGTCTTTAAACTATATATTTGGAAGCAATGTGTTGAAAATCTGGATCTTGTTCCTTATGCTGGGTAAAGCAGATTTCCACACTGATTTCAGACTAGTAATGGTTTTAGAAAAGAAAAGGCGTTCAGCAAAGAGTTTCTCTTTTCGGCGATATCATTCTCAAGCTGTACAAACCGCAAATTTATAGTAACCTTTCTTGGCAACAAAAGGAATATTTCCAAAGATGTGTTAATGCAGTTGCTAATTTTTGACAACAAATTACGTAATTTAGAAGGCGTTAATCGGTTAGAAACTAAAATAAAATTACAAAAGTAGGTTGGGTGACGTAATCTAATTGCTAGGGTTCAATGAAAAATGAATGAGAGTCAAGTTAATAATCTGAGTAGAATTCACTTCAAAATGAATGAGAGTTAAGTTGATAAGTTGAGTAGAATTCACTTAAAAATAAACGAAAATGGAGTTAGCAACAGTCGTCATGAGGGTAGAGATTTAATAGACGGTGGGGGTAGAAAATAATGCAACTAAGAAACAGACAAACAAAGAAGAAAGAGGTAAGACAAAATTACGTATTTGGTGTTGAGATAGATCAGGATCATTGTAGATTTAGTGACTGAACAAACTTCTTTTGTATGCAGAGTTCAGGATTCAATATGTGAATTGCCATTGCTTCTGCAGTTTGAAGAAGTTTAATTCGTACCCTTTTGGCAAGATTCCCACGTATTGTGTAGATAACTGAGAAGTTGTTTTGTGGGTTTGCTTGGTGTCCGGATTCGATCAAGTGTTCTAGGATAGAGCTGTGGCGGGGGGATCTTCTTTCTCCTTTATAAAACCATGAATGTAAGTGTTCGCTGATTCGTTTGGATAGCAAACGCTGGGTTTGGCCGACATACCTAGCTCCACATGAGCTAATGGTTTGCCTTGCTTTTCGATTATCATGTGGGGCACCGCCTGAAATGTCAACTAATCTGCCTAAAAAGTGACTTCAAAATTCTCCCTTCTATATACACAGCATGGTGATAATCTAGTTTTATCAAGTTTTATAATTCAACTTTCAAACATGACAAATTTTAAAGTGATATCAACAAAAGTTTATATCTGATTCTGTTGTCTTATTCCAATTATTATTATTATTATTATTATTATTATTTATTTTCATTGTTATTTCAGATCTTAGCACAAGGAATAGCCTCTACTGGTGAAAAGTCTACTGAGTCAGTAGGTAGTTCCGAGAACCAGGAACAGCGATTCAAATCTCCTAGTTCATCTAATTTTGAAAGAGATGTTTGGGAGTTTATGATCCGCGTTTTCAGAAATGATCTTACACATAAAGAAGTATGTGCCATTTTTTTATTTTGTGTTGTCGCCGCCTATTGATATCTTTAGATGTGTATGTATCTGTCTATCATTATTATTATCTTGAATGTCATTTCATATTTTCGCATGGATTACTTTATTTTTTGAACATTCGAATATATATATATATATATATATATAAAATTATCACTATCAAATTCTTTCAATTAAAATAACAGTTTTTACTTTCGGTAAGCAATAATATTTACAACCACCTTGGAAATACTTTCAGATTTCAAAGCTAGGCAAACTTTGAACCATCATAGCCCCCCAAAATCACGGTGATCTTGAACAGCCAATCAGAATTCAGATGCACAAAAGTTTCATAATCGTTGAAGAATACATGAAAAATATTGTAAACTTGATATTACACTGTTGTAAGAATGTCTCCCAGTCAATACACAGATGATCTATAGAGAAATTGTACCATGCGCCATATTCCCAATTCATCTAAGTGACTGTGTGTAGGTCATGGTACTTTAAGATCCATTGGTATTTCTGACACTATTCTTCAACCCACTCCTAACTGTAACCATAATCCTAACTTTAACCCTAAACCCAACCCTAGACACTAAACCTTAATCTTAAAATCCATAACCCTACCTAACAGTATATATTTTCAGAAAAAGTACGTAGGAAAGAAGTAGAATACTGCATCTATCCTCTTCAAGTTCCAAGGAAACAGGCATGATTTGATTTGGAAAGATATTTCATAGTATTTTCAAGTATTGGTTTTGTAGGGATTTTGTTTGATTGGATGGAGGATTTCATCATAAGCTGACATCAGTTAGTTGTCCACTGGAAAACCTGGGAGTTCTGGACAGCTGTTTTGTCCTAGTTTAGGGCTCTGGGACTCTTGGGTTCGAACCCGGGTGGGTGCGTACTGATGAAGAGTCCCAAACTGGGACGAAACAGCTGTCCAGTACTCCCAGGTTTTCCAGTGGACATCTAACAGACGTCAGCTCAGGATGAAATCCTTCGTCCATTTCATAGTATTCCCTGTGTCTGATCGGCTTTTGAAGGTCAACTTTTGAAAGACCTTGACTTTGGCTATGATACTTTAACTTCGTCTAAAGCTAAAAAGACCATCAGTATATACACCTTGATTAATTTAGTGATATTTGAAGATATTCGTGATTGTTTTAAAACCTTAAAGTAGTTACTGTACTGTGAAATAGACTCCTTTTATTTCAAATATGCTATCTATACACATTTGTCGGTTATTTTGGTTACGACTAATCATCGTCAATTGCACGGATGTGCTCCATACCATTTCCTTTAACTTTATTCTTCTAAAGCTAGTCCTAATTTCGTCTGTAATATCGGTTTAATGTATCCAACACTTATTTTAGTACTTTTCTTCGAGTTTGTTCATTGTTCCTGACATACACACTGCACATACAAACAAACATACATTCAAAGGAGTGTTCATTCTTGTGCGTTAAAAATTATACTGCGTTTCCTACTATAATTACTTACCTGGGTAAACAAAGAAATTGTAATCGGTAATTTCTTTAGGAAAATACCTAATAGTTCATGCATACATGTGCATATTAAGGAAATCATAAGTACTTCTTAACAACTTCTGCTTTAGTATTTGTCTAGTTGAGAAGTCGACGTACTGCAACCCCTATCCTCACAGATAGTTAAAAAAAAAGTAAATCTGTTTAACTGACATAGACTGAAGTAAACAGTGCTTCGTAACTCCCTATCTTATTATTTTTTTAGTTATTTATCATGTATTATAATATTCTATCAGTGATGTACTATGCGACATAAAACAAGGCTGACATCGAATTGTACTCTACCAAATTACTCAAACAATGCCAAGTCACTTCTTCTATATGGGTAAGAAACTTGGCGCATCAAGAAAAAGCATTTCCAACAGTCTACACTGCAGACTTTTTTCAACAGCTGCCCATCTCGCTGGTTGCATACTGAAGATCAAATGGCCGGAAAGAATCAGCAACGAGAAACTCTGGGGAACGAATCAACCAAGAGCCGATTTCTCAAGAAATATGCAGAAGAAAATGGAGATGGATTGGGTTATACGCTGAGTCTTCTTCTTTACTTCGGCTATCTCCTACGGGAGGGATGAGCCGGCTTCATGAACATCTCGAATCATCGCTGCCCAGGCGCGGTGATCTGACGCAAGGTTTTGTGACATCGTTTGTAAGAGAGTTCATGAAGTTTCATGGGAATTTGGTACGAGTGATGTCCCCAGAATCGCTCGGCCTTTTGTTTGAGAGTGCAGCTCTAGCCTTTACACAACCAAGTGTGACCTACAAGGCAGTAGGAGTGGAATAGGGAGTCCACTATCCATTGGCAGCCGGTGACCGGAGTTCGGTTCATACGCCTTTTTGAATGGGGCCAGACATCCAGGGCATCCAACAAGCCCTTTGTCCATACGTCTGCCGGTGAGCTCCAGTGAGCTTCATACACCAATCGTTGGAGGTTTGGAATCAGGGTTTAGCCATCTCCCCTAGACTGTCATCCAATGGACAGTCAACCCGGTGAAGAGCGCCGGGAATCCGCTTTCGCCCTCTCACTATGGTGAGAAACACCTCCGCCACGTGACGGTAGTGAGTAGGACTTCCTCAGGAGAGGCTATGTAAGACGCCCGGTCATATGGGAGCATTTCAAGAGGTGTGCGGGGGGGGGCAACCCGCAGCGCAAGGCACCCACCCCCGACCATCCTGAGGCTTTGGAGGCCGTCAAACGACATTGCGCCTCAGGCCCTTGAGTGGAATCCAAATGGTGAGTCGTCAGTGGGAGGGTGTCACGGAGGAGATGAGAGATTATGGGCAGTCGTGGAGCTAGTCAGTTGCAGAGGACAGCAGGAGATAGAACGAAGTGGAGATGTGTTGTTGAAGCCCTATGTTCCACTCGGAACCCAAGGGAACAATAAAAGTTTTTACTCGTAGATGTTTATTTTATTTGGTTGTTGGTTTTTGTGGCTGAATGAATAGTTACGCATACTAATACATACAAATTTATTGATTTTACAATTCTTCCCTGGAAAAATATAGATATACCGTTTTGTAGATTATAACATGTTTACAACTAACTGCCTTGCTAAGGTTCTCTTGTCAAAAAAATAATTTGTTGTCTAAATGGACTGGGTAATTAAAACTCAATACTTTATTGTTTGTGTCTAGCATACAATATTTCGTTTTTTTCTCAATCAATATAATATTACGCATGTGTAGCGTTGAAAATAATGTATATACATTTGAAATAACACTGTTTTTTCTTCTGTTTTAAATCTTAGCTCTTCCGTAATACCTTTTCAAGTGACTGCATGCATTCCACTGAACGTTTAGATTCAAGAGTTACACGTAATCATAAAATAAATTGGTCTGTTGGTTCTTATGGAATATTCGTTCGATATCCTAGACGGCGGGTGAGTATAAACTCTACATTGTTCATGGGGTTTGATGTGTATGTATATAACTTCACTTACCTTACTTTGTAAACTTTCTTTCTCATTTCATGGAGTATTGTTCGTTGTAGTGTTGTTTCACTCTTCCTGCAGTGGTGAATCATCCATACAGGAAAGTCTGTCACAGTAATACAGACAAAATCAGGGGGTGATGATGGGGTTCAATCACTGAGCAGTGAATATTTTTCAGAATACCATGAATAAATTTGATTCCGATTAGTTATATTATGCTTTACCCATAGAGATCAATATTTCGAAATCATAGAGAAGATTTATAGATCGGGTGGATGGTTTCGATGTAGGTAGTGTTCTCTGAGCTAGTTGATTTCTACTGCAAAGGTTTCGCTGTCCTTCTAGCTTGCTCCGTGGATGTTGTCTGCAAGGACAACGAAACCTTTGCAATTAAATCAACCAGCTCAGAGAATACTACCTAATCAAAAGATCAATATTTTATGTTGTTGTTGTTGTCAGATACAAAGTATGTTATTGCAGAAGACACATCAACTGAAAGTAGGATCTAGATAATAACTGGGTTTAAACCCCAGTGAGTGCGTACTGATGAAGAGTCTCAAACTAGGACGAAATAGCTGTCCATTACTCCGAGGTTTACCAATGGTTCTCTGACCGATGTCAGCTTATGATGAAATCCTTTAACCAATGGGAGCGCTATTGTTCGTTTCTAAGGTCCTCAGTACAGCTTGGATACATATCAATGAATATAATTCTTACCGTTAACCAACTATTGTCATTAACATAATATGTACCGGCATCTTTTATTCTTATATCAATGATCTTTTGCCTGTATGTGGTGAAAAGTATGAAACTATTTAAAAATGTCCATGCTTAGTGTATTCCTGTTAGATGTCCAACTGATGTATTTACCTGTGGTATTTAGGATTGCATTCTTGTTATTACAGGTGAGCTTCTTTGCGTTAGCAATGAAGTTGAGATTTATGCATGTACTGACACAGTTTAGATTCGTTTATTTATGGCTTACTTTTCTAATATCTTATAAATATAATATATATAAATGCTGCAGTTATTATCGTTCCGATCGTCGTTTCTCCTTCCAGTCTGACTATTTTGTCTTTTTCGAAGGGAGAGATATTTTAGTGTTGTTGTCGTGTCCGGAGTTGGGACTGAGGGTGGGCTCATCATAGTCAAATCAGACAGATGAACCTATAATAACCCCACCCTCCGCCATTATAACACTTCGTCAGCATAACAATTCTATATAAATGTGTGACAGTGAACTCTAGTAGGAGTTTTTAACCAAAATATTGAACAGCAGATCTATTCATGTAATTAAATATGTGTGCATATTAAACTTTACTGAATTCATAAATAGTAGTCATACATTTAAACTACTTTTTGTTTTTGATAATTTTTTTTCTTCTTCTTCTGAAAATTCAAGACTTGTCGAAGTTATCCCGTAGAAAAATGGCATAAATTTCATGCTGATTGGTTAGCAAAGCATATTGGCGGCTCTGATAACAATGATGATGATAATGATGTTGTCCAGCACAAAGAGGAGGAGCATGAGGAGGCGGCGGCGGAGGAGGAGGAGAATGAAACATTGAATCCAGACGATGGAGGAATACAACACTCTGAAGTGCAAAAATCGAATGACAACGTTATCGAGTCAGAGAAATCACAGAAAAAAGAATCATTGACTGTAGAGGTGAATAATAATAATAATAATCTGATCAGTGGTCTTGCTGAAGTTGGTCAAAGTTCCTCAACTTGTGAAGAAGAAGAGGATAATGATGAAGAAGAGGAAGAGGGGGAAGAGGAAGGGGAAGAAGACGATGATGATGATGGTGAGAGGGAGGACGAGGAGGAGGAGGATGAAGACGATGATGGTGATGATGATGATGATGAAGAAGAAGAAGAAGAAGGACAAAGAAATCTCATTGTAGATGCAACTACAACAACTCCCGTGGAATCAGATACTTCATTTTCTTCTTGATAAATTGTCTTCATGATAGGCTGTGTATATATATTATATATGTTTTCTTTTCCTTGTTTATTTTTTGTCTTTATTGAATTTTATTACGTGATATGTATGCGTGTGTACATAAATTAATATCAATGCATATATACTTATGTATGATGACTATGACACCCCTTACTTTTATGTTATATGTACTTGACGCAATCTGTGGGGGTGTGTGTATGTGTGTACTTTATTTGTTTATTTGTCACACAATAATTCTATTTTCATTTAATGCAGTTATTATTATTATTGTTATTATTATTTGACACGATTTTTATACATACACATCACTTGCTAATTTCAGCTTGAAAGCTAGTTAGTTTTTTCTTTTTTTGTTTTGTTTTGTTTTCTTTTTATTTATTTCTTTGGTATTTTATTTTGCTTTATGATACACTTGAAAGCTACTCACACCACCTGTATATGTACACATTATTATTGTTATTTATCTGACTGACAGATGTATATGTATAAACTTACCTACCTACCAGCCTACCTACCTACCAACTGACCGACGGACCACCTACCAATCATCCCTCGTTTTCTCTCCCCCTCCCCCTCCTGCATTAATATACTTGTTTGTATAAGATTTTAATATATCCTCTAACCCTTTGTTTTAACACATTATCCTTATTATTATTATTATTCGTTCAAGTATGTGTTGTAATAATAATAATATTATTATTGTTATTAATATCCCTACCGTTATTATTATTATTATTATTTCCTATCTTCAATATATGCATGTATGCATGCATACTACTTACAAATGGATATATGACAAATGTTGCAGCTAAATAATGATAATGCTGACATAATAATAATACTGATGATAATCTTTTTCTGTGTATCTGTAGTGTGCGTTGTTTGGCGGCTATCCTATCCTCTCCTCTCCATCCGTCTATCACGTCTGAATCCTTCTGTTTTTACTGTTATTATTATTATTATTTTATTTTAGAGATTATTGTGCATAATTTAGTTTTTTTTATCCATATTTGCAAAGTAACACTTCAGCCTTCTTTTGTTTGTTTGTTTGTTTTTTTGTTTCTCTTCTTCCTAATTTTATATTAGTTATCTAACTGTATTCATTATTAATTAATTAATTGTGAAGCAATCTGTTGTTCAATGTTTTATTCTCATTAGTGTATGTATGTATGTATGTATGTACGCATGCATGCATGTCGGTTGGTTGGTTGCTTATTTAGCCAACTGACGACTGCCTGCCTGCCTGCTTACACCTGCCTACCTACCTACCTTACCTTACCTTACCTTACTTTACCTACTTACAGTGTGTATAAAGTTTTTTCTTTAATACCAATTGATGAATTTGTTTAGTTTAATCAATTTTTTTACTTGTTCTTGCTTATTATTATTATTGAATATTTATGCCGATATTTGATGTGAAGGGGGATTTAACTGCTTATAAAAAAGTTACGTCATGGATTAGGCTTTATAGTTTTAGGTAGGAAACCAAGGTGTTACTGGACTGGACAACTACTGTTTAAGACCTAAATCAAATTGTGGTTAGCGTAGCTCTCTTGACTACTATCATTTATAGTAATCAAGTTGATCACATGGATATATTGTGATGATCAGAATCAGAATGAAGCCTATCACTGAGTGGAGTCTAAGTGGTTTAATTTAATGCCTAAAACTAATAATGCTAGTAGAATATATGGTACTATTAAAGTACGTAAACCAGGTTACCCCTTACAGCCAATAGTAAATTTCAGAAACACCCGTACTTATGAATTATCAAAACACTTAGCTCTAATATTATGTCCCGTTAGAAATAGTTCAAACTGTAGATTAACCAATTCATATAAAATGATGAAAAAGAAACTAAATAACATTCAACTAGAGAATAATGAAACAATGGTTAGTTTTGATGTAACTGGTCTTTACATTGATATACCAATCAATATGGCCTTAGAAGCAGTTAACAGAGAACTAACTGCTGATCCTGAACTTAGTCGTAGGACGAAGCTGCCCGTTGAGAAAATTATTGTAGGAATTCAGTTATGCCTCACATCTACTATCTTTAAATTCCAAGGCAAAATATATAGACAAACAGAAGGTGTAGCAATTGGATCACCAATATCCCCTATCTTAGCAGTTATCTATATGGACAGTTGCTAAAGTATCGCTCTTAATACATTTAATCCTACTCCAAAGATGTAGTGGAGATGTGTGGATGACATTTTCATAGTGTTAAAACAGAACATATCTCTAGATTCGTGACACATATAAACTCACTAGTAGAAGGAATAAAATTCACATTTGAATCAGAAAATGAACAAGGAGAATTAGCTATGTTACATTGTAAAATAAAACGAATAGAAGAAGGTAAACTGCACTGCACACTAGCGTTTATAAAAAGCCAACGGATTCTGCGAATAGATATTCAGACTTTAATTCATCTCATCCGTTATCTGTCTGTGAAGGCCGGCTTAAGTGTTTAACAAACCGAACAATAGCACTGAGTAGTATAAAAGAGGACCTTAATGATGAAATGAAACAGATAAAATAATAGCTGGTTGGTGTTAAATAACTATCCTATGAAATTCATTAGGAGTATCAGAAAAGGTCAAAAGCGAAATAAAACTAATTGTGAAGATAGTAATTATAATATAAATAAGAGAGCATATAAGGCATCTACTGTTATACCATGTAATGAGGGGACATCTGAGACCTTACGTAAAATTCTTAATAAAGCAGGAATTAGAGTGGCATTTAAATCTAAAAGCTCCCTCAGGTAGGACAAGTTCTGTAGTCTAAAGGACCCGGTGGACCCAATTAAACAAAACACATTGCAATGAGTGTGAGTACAGTCAACTGCATAGGTCTAACTAGTAGGTCGGGGGTAGTCAGATTGTCGGAACATAAGAATTTAACTAGGGTCTGGATAGTTGGTCCCACGAAGAAAAAAGCTCAGCAATTGCATTGCATGATCACAATCACTGAAATTTCATTCCTCGAAAATTGTGCAGATTGTGAATTTTGATTTTTATGGTATAACAAGTTCGTCCAAATAGCTAGCCAAAAATCGGGTAATTTGAACTGTTTCGATTCTCTGAGATAAATCAAACCTGGTATCCAGTGTCGATAAAGCTTGGCCCCAAATGAGCCAAACGTCCACCGATCCGGTGTTTAGACCACTTCGATTTGACTGGTCAGCAAACACTCTTGGTTGATATGATGAGTGGTATATAACAATAACAACTATCACTACAACTCATCTCAACCCATCAGTAGTATATAGTTTTCTGTTTAAAACTGGTTTGGAATTGGTCAGATACTAGACCAACTTTTTTTTTCCTTCACGTTCTCCAGTGGAACATATGGCTTCAAGCTGGTCGCTTGAAGTTTCTGTAGCAGTGTTTATTTTACAAGATGGGGTTACCAGCCTCATGACCAACCTTTCCTCTTTACCAGCATTATTTCTGGCTTAGCGAGGTAAAGGAGTGCGTCAGCCAAAGATCGAACTCCGGACCATGTACATGGTCGGCGAGCGTCCTATGTATATATATATATATATATATATATATATATATGATCATATATTTACGTCCGTATTGATCATATATATACATTCACTGTGTTAAATCCTGAACGTATCCCTAGGTTACTCACACATATAAACTCAGTTGTATGTGGAATCCGGTTTAGCTTTGAGTTAGAAAACGAAGAAGGCGAGTTAACCGTGGTAGACCAAAAAATAAAACGAAAAGAAAATGGAAAAACAACCCATTCTCTAATAAATACTTAGACTTTAGTTTATCTCACCCAGAATCGGTAAAGGTGGATAGTTTCACCACTTTAATATCGATGAGATACTCACTGGTGACTGGCCCTATTCAGGTAGGTAGTTCTAGTGGGAAGTCGTGACCAGTAGGATAAAGCAGGTCGGGCGTGAGAACAAATACTCGCCGCTATTTCGTGAATTGTCAGAAGTTAGAATTCATGGGCTGGCCATTGGATCAGGTCCCAGTGGATTAACGGTTCTCTACGAGCTAGCTAACCTTGTAACATGAAGTTCCTGGGTTCGAACCCCGTGGTGTGGGTGCATACTGTGAAGAGTCCCAAACTAGTGCGACGAAACAGGTTTTCCAATGGTTCTCTAACCAATGTCACAGTTCATGATGAAATCCTGTAACTAATGAGTGGTTATCCGGTCAGAAGCCTAACTAATAGGTGTAAAGATATATACATAATGAAATCAGACAAAAAATTACTAGTGAATAACTACCCATCAGATTCTATTCAAAAATGTATGAAGACAAAGAAATTAGGATTAGTAATGGAAATCTTATATCTAATAAGGAATTTAAAGCTTCGATGGTACTACCCGACATAAAGAAGGGAAATCAAACGTCCTATGTAGAACTTTTAATTAGGGTGGTATTTAAGCCAACTAACTCTGTCAGAGATCTACTTTATAGTCTTAAGGGACCTATAGGTCCATTGAAAAAAAATAATATAACTTACTATATGCCATGTAGTGGTGGTGAGGTCAATTAAATAGGTCAAACTAGTAGGTTTGTGTGAATTAGATTATTGGAATATAGAAAATTCAGCTAGACCTAGAATGATTGACCTAGAAAAAAAGCTCGGTCATTGCAATGCATTCATTTGCGTGTAGTCACACAATAGGGTGGGGCAGGGTGAAAGTATTAAATAGTAATATAGAATTATATGGAGAGAGAGGTTAGTCACTGAGTTAGTAACGCACACGTGAAATCGTAATGTCGCAACGCCTATGTCGGATATGTAGAAACTTACAATGAACAAGGGAGGGGCGGGGGGGGGTAGAAAATATAAAGCGAATGATGAAGCCGTATGAATTTGTTGGTATGATTATAAGCAATGCGAACTGTGCTTGAAACGTCACGCAGTTAATAATACTTATGTGTGTTATATCAGGTAAACTTATCTAATATGGAGTCCCATTTTCCGTTATTGCGCGATATTATAGCACAACCACCAGCCAGTTTCATTCGTGAGTAGTTGTCCTTACACTCAATTTGATCGACCCGATTAGCCATAAATTTTCGCTAGAACTTCAAGTAAATTTATACTAGTGTTCATCAGATTAATTTTCAAATGTTGATTTTAAAGAACAAGGTTGATTTCAATTTGTTAATCACGAAGGTCCTTGGTTCGATTCTCTGTAGGGTCATGTATGTGTTCTGCAGATGAGTCCCAAACTACAGTCAAAACAAGTTATTCAGTACTCCCTGTATTTCAGTGGTTCTCTCAATAAAGTTGTAACGACAGAAGACAAGGACCAGGCAACAGAGCGTTTATTCAGAAAATCAAGAGACATTTACAGATTTTTAAGTATTTTATTATTCGTTATTGTTAGCGGAGAGGAAAACGTTTTCTGATTGGTTGTTTTCTTGCTAAAGGTTATTCTGTCATCTCTTTGTTGCAGTTTCTTAGACAGTCCGTTGATATATCTGCGAATCATATCCGCCCACGCTAAGTCTGCTGTGATTGGTTGTTGACTTCTTAAAGGTTAGGCTTTGTTCTTGTTTTTTCTCATGACCAATAATATTTGGGGCGTAAACACTGATGTAAATTGCTGCCTATCAATTTTGGCTAGCAGACAGCTCTCACCATAAAGTTATTTCGTGGTCTAACTTATACAATATATAGTTCGTGACATGACAGTTGTCCAGCACCCGTATGAATATCATCATTACTTATGAAACACTACATATTTATCGTCTGATGACTGACTGACCGGTTTAAACATATAACTTTGCACCGATGTGCAGCAGTTCGAGTCGCCACACTCCCTCCATGTAGCATACAAAGCGACAGATGAAAATAAAAGGAAATGCAAAATAAAGACAGTAAACAGATATACAAGGCTAAAAGAATAGTAATATCGAAGAACAACATAGTTTTATTGGGTATTATAAGTCACAAGGAGTGGATGCATCTGCGCTAGCCATTGAGAACGATGAGTTTGAGCCATATCACCGATTGTTTCCAGTCATTGGTGTTTACCGTCCCGAGGACTCCAACCAGGAAGTCTACACCTTCCTACCTGGCTTAAACTAACTGTTGTGGATTTCATTGACTGATCGTCTGACGGGACGACTCACCTGTAAAGTGAAGGTATAAAGCTGTGGTGGATTAGCATATTTGCGAAAGTTGATATCGTCATTTGCAGACAGAGAGAAAAAATAAGCCTTTGAGACCCTCTGACAGCACCTTTTCAATTCTCACCATTGTTACTTATTACCGTATGATTGAAATTTATAAATATGCGATCAGGAGTTAGTTTGAATATGCAGGTTTTAACCGAC